TAATTACAGATAGAAGGTTTTATTCCTTCCAAATTCTTTTTTTTTTTTTTTTTTTTGTCTTTTTCTTTTTTATGGATACTGGGTATCAAACTCACGACCACACAATTGCAAGGAAGGCACTTATGCTGCTAAATCCCCAGCCCTGCTTCCAAATTCTTGTAAGAGATCTCTGCTAAGCAACCTCCAAATAATTCTGGCTAGTCTATATATAATTACAAATTTGTAAAATTGTAAAAGATTATTATAAAATTTAATTTGGCCAAAAATACATCTGAGTGACCTCTGGTGTTGTAGGTAAACTGTCAGTCTGCCTGTGTTACTGTCTACTTGTCCAATCTGTTAAGCTGTGTACTTGTTTGTCCATTTGTCCAATAATTTCACAGCTTTTATTTGAACTCAACTGTTTTCATTTTTTCTTTTGCATTTTGGATTGTTCATAATTTCATTTGGCTTATAAATTTTTTTTAAAAAAAATTTTTGTTATCGGTACCAGGGATCAAACTCACGAGTGCCTGCTTGCAAGGCTGGTGCTTATGCCACTGAGCTAAATCCCCAACCCTGGCTTATAGATTTAAAAAGCATGCATGGGTTGCCAGCTGGTCAAAGTGATGCCAAAATTGTCTGTGTGAATGTAATATATATTGTTTATGAATGTAATATATATTGTTTATTGTTTATATATTGTACCTTGAAAGCCTCTCATTGTTCAAAAATAATGTGTTAATCATTGTGATTGGGTTTTCATGAGTCATCAAAAAATTATTACGATAATTAAACAGAAATCCCTTGGGGATGTAGACAAACTATTGGACAGGACTTTAATTGATGAATAAGGAAGCAGCTACCTGAATAATTATCCAGTCTTAGTTCATTAATAGGAAGCCCCAGTGATTTTTATTGCCCTACAGGAGACACCCCATTAAATATTTAAAAATACTATTATGTTTACATTGCTCATTCATCAAAAGATTAAATTTTCTAGACACAGAGATTTTTGATTTAAAGATGCTGTGGTACAGAGGCTTTCACATGGCTGTAACTGTTGGGTTTTGTAGTGTACTGACTGTGTTCGTGGCTGGAGATGTGCAGGTCTCCCAAAAGGTGAAACAAGAGTTGCTTCTAGTGGTAGACTAGACTTTCCTTCCAGATTCAGACCTCTGCCTTCAACAGAACCTTCCGTGATGTGTGTGCCACTAAAGGTCAACAAGTTAGGCAAGAGTTCCCTGTGTATTAGAGATAGCTTAAAAGGTCATACTGTGTTGAAATGGAAATTCAGGTGGTGTCACAAATGTCATTCTGTAATATTATGTATGGTGTTTGATTTCTAATTTGCTTTGTAAAACGTGTAACTGTTAACATTCTACAGGGATTCAGCTACTAGTGTCAGGGCAATTTTAAATGTATAAGGGAAACTTTTAAAACCTATATTCCTGGGCCGGGTGTTTAGCTCAGCGGCATAAGTGCCTGCTTGGCAAACGTGAAGTCGTGAGTTTGATCCCCAGTACTCCAAAAAAAAACAAACTTACATTCCTAACACTGTTCAAGGATGGGGCTGGGACGTGCAGCCTGTTCCCAGTTAGAAAACTACAAAACCAGGGATTTAGCTCAGCAGCATAAGTGCCTGCCTGGCATCCGCAAGGTCATGAGTTCAAACCCTAGTATCAAAAATAAAAAAGAAAAACTACAAAGCCCAGCTGGCCTTGCCATGCCCCATGCCAGGTGCAGCTTATAAGTGTAACAGCCACACAGCACATCTTGTTAGGTTTTACTTGCTTCCAAGTTTTTACCTCAAGAACAGCTCAGCTCAGTCTTAGACAGTAATTGGTCCCTCATGTTCCTATAACCTGGAGCTCCTGTTATACGACGTTAACCTCAATTAGCTTACGGGACATGAATCTTGCCTGGTAACATAAGACACCTATGACCAACTATAAAACACCTGTTATCTGCCATCTGTGTTTCCCTCTGAAAACCCTAAGTAACTGTTTGCCCCAGGGCCAGGGCTGCCGATCTGGAACTGTGATGTTGGTTAGCCAACCAGCATCATAAAGCTGATCGCTTTCCCAAGTTCCTTGGTGCTGTCTTCCATCTGCTCTGGTCCTGAATTTCACAGCACTACAATGCCCATGGTTAAGTGGAAATAACAGTTTTATTTGTATCTCAAAGTGCTTGAAATGCGGGTTGGAGATTTAGCTCAGCAGCATAAGCGCCTGCCCTGCAAGCGTGTGGTCCTGAGTTCAATCCCTGGTACCAGTAAAAAAAAAAAAAGTGCTTGAAATGCAAATAAAATTACAATGTAATATCATTAACTTTCTCTTCTGGATGTTCAACAACTGAAGTTTGGAGCCCAAAAACTAGAAAGATGGATAGGCTGGGAGGACAGCCAACATTGTGGCCCGAGCCCTGAAGTCAGTAAGGACCCAGGACATAAGACAACCTCGCTGCAACACCTATAACTTGGCAAGTCCCTGGTCTTCTGACCAAGGGGATTGTAGGACCACAGAGGAAAGTGGTCAGTGGTCAGTAGTGCGCCTGAGAGTCACCAAGAGAAAAGTCTCCCAAGCTTTCACAGAAAACAAGTTGGTGGAGCACCGGCTGTGACTCACCCAGAGGTGACCCTGACAGAAAAGCTGAGCAGTGCGGTACATGGTTCAGGATAAACCGAGAGGGGCCGTGACTGGCCTTGGCTGACAGCCAGAGGCTCGCCTTAACTCTGCCTTGAACATCTGGCAGGAAATAACTATGGAATGTGTACAGCAGCGTCACAGTAGCATGGTGCTATGAAAGGAACGCAGTCACAGACACCGTCTGCCCACTGCCAGCCATGCTGGTCGGTAAGTCCTGTCGGGTGAGCGGACTGTATAGGGTCAAACTGCAGACTACAGGGACCTGAAATCTTCAGACTAAAAATCTTTAGCCTAAACCAGCTCACTCAAAATGGAAATGGTTCAAGAATGAAAGGCCTTCCACAGAGCTTTCCAAACAGCCCCTCCAACTTCCACTGACTTCCAGCCGCTTATAAGTGCAAAACAGAAACGCGGAGGTAGAGGGGGCAGCTGAAGCTGGAGAGGATCACTCACGCCAGGACAAGCAAGGCCCCCCTGAGAACAGGAGGCTGAGGCAAGCCACACACACAAGCTGGTCCAGCCCCCTGCAGGCGAGGGGCCCAGGCCAGACAAGTTGCTAGGCAGTGGGGTTGGAATTGACATGGACCTCCCAGTTCAAATGCACTCCTGTGGTTGAGCACCCTCTTTTCTCCCAGCCAGAGGGCTCCACCACCTCGGCTTTCCGTGTACTGTGTCACTTTTCTCTCTCTATCCTCTCCCCCAGGAACTCCAGAGCTGCACAACAGATGCAGCTGTTGCCAAGTTGTCCAGGCTGGTCTCAAGTTTGAGACCCTTCTACCTCAGCCTCCCCAGCCCCTGGGATGACAGTGAGCATCTGTGCCCTGAGGGTGCGTTACAGCGGTGTCACATGGACCCCGTGTGTGCACAGAATGTTCCTACTCCACTGAACAACTCCTGTAAACCTCATAAAACATGAGCGAACCCTTCCCCTGAACACTGGGTCCCTGTTCCCTGTTACTGGATGGGGGACCCTGGGACAGGCAGGGAAGGCATCACCAGCGCAAAACCACTGCTTCTCCTCCTCAGACACCCGAGCTCCACCTTCACGGACGCACTGGAGCCCAACTTTTCCTAACTGCCTCCCTCCCCAGTGCCATAGTCATAGCCTGCGCTCCGGTCAGGATGTGGACCCAGGTGTCTCGGAGCTCGTGGCCACCAGCTGTGTGCAGGCTGTAAGGGCCCTGGGGAGACAGCCCAACTCCTGAGTAGCAGTGAGCAACCAACCCCCTCCCCCCCACCGTGTTGCTGCACCCTTGGGGGGGTTCTGGCTGTGTCCCCAGGGAGTCCACCTGCTGAAATCCCAGCCCCCAAGCCATTCAAGACCGTTCTATTTAACTTTGGGGGAAGTCGTCTAAAATTATGATTTGGGTTTGTCCAGGCCCTTGTCTCTTGCCACGCAAGCCAGCTGTGGCCTGGCACCGTGGGGCAGGGTTACATCAGCTGCAGACATCCTGGTTCCTTCAGAGCCCGGTAGGAACTAAAACACAGGGCTTCACCTTGAGAAAAGGACAAACCCATCGACTGGCTATCTCTCTCATCTTCATCAACACAGGCCCCCCGTTAGCATGAGGGCCCCCACCACCAGCTTCCGAGTCAGCCAGCACCCCCTCACCACTGTCCCCGTGTAACTGTGAGCAGCAGGCCACCCCACTCCACCACCTGTCTTCTGTGCCTTTTTGCAGTGGACCATAACACCTGGCAGGAGCCCGGGGTCTACTGCAGGGATCCCCACACCAAGCAGTGACATACGGTGTGATCCAGAAAGGCCCTGAAAATGTTTTAGTAAAAGGAAACACCACCAATGCCCTCAGGACCCCCTTCCTGGCTTCTCACACACTCAGCTCATGGCTCTTGCACTCTCTGCAGCAGGCCTAGAATCTTCTGAGTGTCATGGGTTGCACTGTCCTGGCTGCCTTGATGTCCATATTTCCCTTCCATGGTCATGTGGAAGAAGACTGGAAACGCCAGGCAGAGCAGGCACAGATGTCTGATGAACCCACTTGCTGTTGTGACCCAGCGGCGGCATTCACTTGGTTTTTTTTGTACCGAGGATCAAATTCACAATCTTTGCTTGCCGGGCAGGTGCCTGTGCTGCTGAGCTACATTCCCCGCCCACCACGCACATCTTTGGTCACACCTGTCGAGCGCTTCCATCAGGTGATGGGGCTCTAACAGGTGACGGTCATGGGGCCAGTCCTCAGAGATGTGATCAGTGCCGTCACAGAGCCCTGTAGCCTGGCCTAGCAGCACACGCCCGTCACCCATCACTGCAGGAGGCTGAGGCAGGAGTACTGCAACTGGACATGGCCACACAGGGACCTGGCCATAGTTGGTCGCAAGCAAACACAGAAGTAGACAAGCCAAACACACAGCTGGTGTGGAGGCCCTGGGTTTAATCCCCGGTGGCACCGAGAAGCAGACAGCTGTGTATCCACAGTAGACACATGTGCCTTCTCAGCCCTCCAAGCCCCGCAATCTCGCATGTTTCTGCAGCAGTGCCTGCGCCTCCATGCGCCGGCCCATCTTGGCGGCCTTGCCCTGGTAGCGGCCTTTCTTCCCGGCTCCTTTTCCTTCCAGGACCTCAGCCACCCTGAGGGACAGAAAGGGCTTTGGGAAAAGGTAAGCTCCCAAGGGCAGCCCTGGGACCCTTCTTAAAACTGGCAACTGGGGAAGGTAGGGTGCAGGCTGGCAAAGCCAGGAAAGGACGAGCACTGGGGGAGGGAGCACTCCCGGCTTGCCCAGCCCCCACTGCACATGTGGGTGACCACGCTGGTGACAGGTGTATGTCCACACGAAAGGATTCAAGATGGGCGTGGGGCCCACAGCTGTCCTCCACAGCAGAAGGACTGTAAGTCCTAAAGACCAAAAAACGTGAGCGCAGGATACCTGGAGCCACAGACCAGGCTGAGTCTCGGCTGAGTCTCGGCTCTGCTGTCTGCCAGAGCCCTGGCGGGGACACGAGGTCCCTCGTCTGCCAGAACCTCCCCACACTGGCCCCGTGGTGACAGCTGGGTGCCAGCCTCTGACCCACATGGGGGCCCCAAGCCCAGAAGAGCTTTACCTGGGTCCCAGGGTTTCTACGGTTTCAGGGGGCCCAGCCAGTAAGAAGAGCCCGGCCCCCTTCTCGTCCCCCACGGTTAGGAACAGGAGGGTATCCTGGAAGGGAGGGACAGCCAGACAGTGAGGGCCCGGCCCCAGGCCGCAAAACCCCCTGAGCCACCGCAGGAACCCTGAGGCAGTGAGAAGGAGGAGGAAGAAGAGGAGGAAGAGGCAGGGCCGCTGGCCACTGTCAATGCCGGCCACCTCAGCCTCCCAGCCGAGTCCCATGAGGGGCTTCCACAAAGGCCCCAGGGCCTCGCCAGGCCCAGCCCCGTGCTGCTCTCACCTCAGCCCCAACCTCGTTGGCAATGATGTTCATGAACTCGGAATCGCCGTCCTTCCTGCGACACAGGACACAGGCTGAGACCCAGGCACCCAGACCCTGGCTCAGGGCTGGGTGGGGCACCCCCGGCCCAGCCCTATGAGCCAGCACAGCTCAGGGGGCCAACACAGGACTCTGGAAGCCAGGCCCAGCTGGGAAATTCTGGGGCAACCAAGCCCAGGAGAGTGGGCTCTCAGGCCTCTGGAATCCCAGCTCCTCACCTGTGCAGCGCCACCACTCCACCCCAGTCTGGATCAGCCCTGAGGCTGCGGGCCACGTGCACGGCCAGGTCTCTGAGCAGGTTCAGATTGTTCTGAAATGGAGGGGACAGGGTGGTTGACAGGCAGAAGGGGACAGATCAGGGCGCCATCTCCCCAGCCTCACTGTTCCCTCCCGATCCCCTGGACACATCTACTCAAGCCAAGGCCAAGGCAGGAAAATCTACTCCAGGCGGGGCGGGTCCTCTCCACACCCGTGGACCAGTTACCTTTTGCAGGAGCTTCACGGAGCTCTGGAGCTTGGTCACCACTTGCACATGGTCCTCGGCCCCACACCTATGGGAGGAAGGAGGCACTGCTGCCCGGCCTGGGGTGCTAGAACAGGCCCAGGAGGACCAAGTGGGGGACAGAGGAGGAGGTAGCTCCGGGTGGGCCTGGCCTACACCCCCAGTCTTCCCACGGATGCAGACGGCACAGCTAAGGGCCCAGGCCTGGGGGTGGAGACAGAAAGAGACGGACGTACTTGAGCAGCGAGGTCAGAGCCTTCTCACTCTCGTGGCTCCGCTCCACCCACTTCAGCACACGCTGCCCAGCCAGGAAGAGCAGGTTGGTCTTATTCTTCTTTCCCTTCTCGGTGCCCAGGATCTTGATGATCTACGGTAGGGCCACAAGATGCGCACTGTCACATACAGGTGTGTACCACCTCAGGCAGGCAGGCAGCTACCCCACCGCCCAGGAGCCCCGCCCCACCTGCAGGTCACTGAGGTTGCTCACGTGGGTCCCACAGCACATGCTGGCGTCCACACCTTCGATGGTGACTACGCGCACCGGCCCTGCGTGATCGTCCGGCAGGCCCCGGCCCCGCACCTGCTCCACCTCCGGGTTGTCGGGGCTCAGCTCACGCACACTCACCATCAGCCGCGCACGGATCTTCTCATTCACACTTTGCTCGATGGCAGCCACCTGCTCCGCAGTCACGGAAGGGCTGTCCAGCTCAATGGCACTCCGCAGGCGGCCCAGCTCCCTGCCCAGAAGGAGGGCGCTGCCAGGAGCCACTCGCCACCAAACCCCTCAGACCAACAGTTTCCTTTAACCCTCAGAGACCCTCCAGGGCCAGGTGTGGTACCCCGTGGCACTCACTGCCCAGCCTGGGCACTCAGCGGCAGAGGCCCCAGTTTCAAATTTAAATAGGGATAGGGACGCAGCTTTGTGCGAAGGCCAAAAGGCAGAGCCATCCTTCCTGCCTCACAGGGAAGTGTTAGGGGACAGGATCAAAGCCATAAGGCCAGAGTGGCGGCGTCTGGACGCACTCTGGGTCTCTGGGTCCCAAACACCAAACTCTCCCAAGTGAAGGCGGACACTGCTTCAGTTGCCCTTGTGTTCCCCTGGGCAACCTGAAGTGGCCCCCTCTGGTCCTCCCCCCTCTGTCACCTCCTACTCCCAACCCATCTAGAGACAGGGCAGGGCTGGTCGCTCACCATGAAGTGGTCTTCAGTCCAAATAGCTGCTCGGCAACTGCGGTGATGAGATGCTGCCCTAGGTGACAAGAGCGAGGGACAGGAGCAGAGTGAGCCACCAGCTGGGGGGCGTGCCTGTGACCCCAGTGCTCAAGAGGCTAAGGCAGGGGGACGCAGAGTTCGGTGCCAGCCTGGACTGCATGGTCAGTCCTTGTCAGACCTAGACCTTGTCGTCTCAACCCCTCCACCCCTAAAGGAAGCACAGTAAGCAGCTCAGCTCCAAACTTTGCCAAGGTGTGGCCGCAGGCCTGGGGGATGCAGCAAAGGTCCCTGCTGAGGTCAGAATGACCTCAGCGACCGCTTGCTGAAGCAAGATTTCAACCCCTGCTCCTCTCCTCCTCAAGTATGCCACCAACTGACTGCGGGACAAGCATCTGAGCCAGGATGACTGCACTTTATGTAGAAAACATGCGTGCAAAGCAAAGGCTGAAGATAAACACTACAAACATGGTCCCCTGTGACAGAGCCAAGAGAAAACAGCAGTGGCAGGTCGCTGAAAAGTGTTTATCTCATTCTAAAATAAATAAAACAAGGATAATTTAAGTCTATACTTTTTATCCTGGTACATGTAATTAAATAAAGTTGAAACTGTAAGAGAGAGACTTGTTTGTTTTTTGAGACAAAGTCTCACTATGTAGCTCAGGCTGGCCTTGAACTCACAGCGATCTGCCTGCCTCAGCCTCCCAAGTACTGGGGTTACAGGATTGCACTACCACACCTGGCTGTAAGTTAATTTTTTAGTAAGCTGCTTCTTTCTAATGAATTGACCATTTCACTGCCCCAAGTTCTGAAACAGCCAACAGACCATAGAAAAACATCTCTTTAGGCTCCTGCTTGAAACCAACAGCATTAGGAAGCTGCTGGCCTTGATTCAGGGCCAGTACGTTCGGGTTCCAGCATGTGGTATGTGGCGTTCCTCTGTTCCCTCACTCCTACACTCAGTCAGCCCAGGTGCCCCGCATTCCAGACTTGGGGCTCAATCCCAGAGGCCAAGCAGTGACCCTGAGGGTGACGCCAAGGGTGAGGGGGAAGAGAAGACAGCCACTCTGGGGCAGAGCGAAGGGGCAGCCAGGGTGATCAAGAGCCAAGGGATGTTGCTGCAGCCACAGGCTGTGCACTGCCAGGTGAGACCTATGGCTCCACACAGCCCCGGGCACAGGTGGCCTCTCCAAGGGAGCCACAGGCTCAGGTCCTGTAAGGCCGAAGCCTGGTTTGATGCCTGGCCTCTTGCAACAGCAACAGAGAGGAGTGGCTAGACGCCAGCACCCATGGCTGCAGAGCCTGGAGGACAGGGAGCACCGGAACCAGGACACACAGTGCCAGGCCACAGTGCTAAGGGGCCGCCTGGGAGGCATGGGGGTGAATTCCAGACAGAACACCAGGACACCAGGGCACTAAGGAAGGGTGGAGCCAAGCAATCGCATTCCATCTGCACCCTACGGCTCAAGAGAGGCTGTGAGACAGCCAGGCGGTGCTGTTACCAAGGGGGACTCTGGTGACACCCAAGGCCTATGGTGACACCCCGTATTTCAATGGTTCCTGTTGCTTTTATCCAATCTGTCATATCCTGCTGAATCCGGGCTGACTCAGAAGGTCTCTTCCAGGTTGGCTCCAGGAAACCCCAAATTACATCCCAATCTCCATGGCAACTGCCTGTACATGTGACGCGCCCTTGTCCCCTTACCCGAGTGCTGCTGCATGTGGTCAAAGCGCCTCTCCCAGTCCACTCGGACACAGACCTGGCTCCCCGGGGCCAAGGGCATCTCTGTGAAGTGATCGGCTTCGGCTCCCCGGCGGGTCACTCTGAGCACAGGGACATCGTCAATCGTACCCCGGTCATCAGGCTGGACAAGAACAGGGCAGCTGATAGCCATCGCTTGGCCTCTTGCTGCAGGGTATGTCCGCAAGACAGTCCTGACCCAGAGCCCCGGGGGCATACAAGGGTCCCCTGTGGTCCATGACAGGCACCTCTGGACGCCACCTAAGCTCCTGTGCAGCCTGCCCTTCGGAACAGATGACACAATTCACGCAGGAAGAGACTCTAAGCACAGCAGCAGTGGTTTTATTTGGGTTTTTTCTTTTTAGAGGTTTTAGTAAAACCCAAAGAAAGTGTATCCTTGCTGTTGTTTCCTAGCGTATATTCTTCTCTTTATTAATCTCTAAAATGGCTGGGCAGGGAACCCAGTCCTGTAATCCCAGCTAGTCAGCAGGCTGAGGCAGGACAACCCCAAGTTAGAGGCCAGCCTGGGTAACTAAGCGAGACTGACTCCAAATTTATTTATTTATTTTGCATCCAAATTTAAAACAGAAAAGTCTCTGAAATGATCTGAGTTTTCCTGCCTCTCACTACTCCATTACTACCAGGATAAGATTCAAGAATGTTCCTTCCCTTATGAAAGTAGCCAGGGTCAAGCGCTTAGAAGGCACTGCGCCAGCCCAAAGATAAGACAAGGGTCCCCTGAACAGACACAGAGACGCGGCTGCGGCGGGATCTGGACCAGCGCTGGTGAACTTTTCGGTGACACAAACAGCCCACTGAGGCACGTCTGCCCTGGGCTCAGCACCACTGCTCTGTGCCTCGCCACGGTACTGGAGAGCACGTGCAGCTAGAGAAACGCAAGACACCGCGGAGATCCGGCCGGGCAAGATTCCTGCACAAAGAAGCGCTGACCACAAGAGGCCTGGGGGCCACCTGGGGCCACAGGTTTCTCCTCGGGACGCTTTCCGGCAGCGGCGTCTTCTCTGTCCCCGACCTCTCTAAGGCACCTCCTCTCTCAGGCACTGCCTCGGCCTTCCCATGCTCTCGACTTATTCTACGCGTAGATAAAGCAGCCGCCGCCCTGTCACTCCTCTTTACAGCCGGGAGTAACACTGGGCTGATTCCGTAGGTTTTGGTGTTTCTGAGCCAGGCTCTCACTACGCAGTCCAGCCTGGCCCGCCCTCGCGGCGAAGCTTCCGCCTCGGCCTCCCGCGCGCTGGGCGGCAGGCGCGCGTTCGGTCTGAACACATGTGCCCCAGCCTCTGCAGACACCACCACTCCCCCCCCCGCCCCGCCCCGCCCCGCCCCGGCCCCGGCCCCAGCCCGGGCCCGCACCTGGCCACCGCCCTCGGGAAAGAGCAGCGTGTCCTCCAGCACCACCCGGAACCCGCGCCGCGCCGCCTTCGGGTCCTCGCCCGCCAAGGCCGGCAGCTCCGTGGGGCAGCAGGCGACCACAACGGTGGAAAACTGGCGGGAGGGCGAGAGTCAGCCGGCCTGGCTCCCGCCCTCTGCCCCGCGCCCCCAGCCGGCCCCGCCGCACCTCCCGGGCATAGCTGTCGCGCTGACACTGGAACGCCATCGCGGACACTGGACCGCAGACGCCGGCTACGGGAGGCGGCGGGGACAAACTTCACCCGCGGCGCGTCTCTGCGCAGGCGCGTTGGAAGGAAGACGGCGCGTGGTTTGGCTAGTGTTCCTGAAACGCAGCGTGTTGAGTTGGTTCGGGACTGTTATAAAACTTGCCAGGGGCCGGAAGATTTAGCTCAACGGCAAAAGCACCTGTCTGGCAAGTGCGAAGTCGTGAATTTGATCCCTGGTACAAAACAACTTGCCGCATAGATGGCCAGGATGGTGCACGCTTGTGAACCCAGCACTTGGAGAGGATCGACAGGTCGAGTCCAGCCTGGGGCAACTTATGAATTTAGAGAAACCCTGCCTCAAAATTTAGAAATATATTCTATCCTGTTCTGTTCGATTTTGAGTATGTTTGAAGGTGGCATCTGCAGCTATTTTGAAGACAACAAAGGCACTGTACTATTGTTGATTTCATAAGATTTGGAAGTCCTGTATCACTTATTCTGGTTTTTTAGTTTTATTTTCCTTGGTTTTATCCTCTTTAAAAAATATATAAAAATAAAAAGTTGTCACTTTCTGTCGTTCAGGGCTCCAAGCCGCCCACAGGAGCTAAGTATTAGATACTGTATTACTACAGTATATAAAGAATATTTAAGGAGGGCTGGGGATTTAGCTCAGTGGCATAAGCACGTGCCTTGCAAGCAGGCAGTCATGAGTTCGATCCCTGGTACCGATAAAAACGAAAAAGACAAAAAAAAAAAAAAAAAAGAATATTTAAGGGCTGGGGATTTAGCTCAGCGCTATAAGCACATCCCTGACAAGTGAAAGGTTGTGAGTTCCATCCCTGGCAACAGCAAAAAAAATTAAAACATTTGTGACAAACCATAATTCCAGGACTCGGGAGGCTGAGACAGGAGGATCACAAGTTCCAGCCAGCCTGGGACACAGTGAACTCAAGGCCAATCTGAACGACACAGTGTAGAGACCCTGTCTCAAAAAATTTGTTTTTAAAGTATCTAAAGGCTGGGGGCTGGTGATTTAGCTCAGTGGCATAAGCGCCTGCCTTGCAAGCAGGCAGTGGTGAGTTCGATCCATGGTACCGATAAAAACGAAAAAGACCAAAAAAAAAAAGTATCTAAAGGCTTTGGGATTAAAACGCTCTCCTATTGGTGGGAGAGACACTTACAGTTTTATCAAAGAACTTGGGAAAGTAGGTGCAGACATGTCTGTATCCCAGCACTCCGGAGGACGAGACAGAATCAGCTAAAAAACAGGGCTGAGGATATAGCTCAGTGCAAAGGGCCTGGGTTCAATGCCCAGGGGCAAACTAAAAATTAAAACACTGGATTTCAAAGCATCTCTGACTTTGGGTTTTCAGAGTAGGGGTATCTGCCACCATGCCTCGTCACAGTTTTTTTTTTTTTCAGTACTTAATGGGGATTAAACTCAGGGCCTTTGCACTAAACTATATTGCCAAGACTGTTGTATTTTGAGTCTTGCTAAGTCATTAAATTGCACAAGTTGGGCTTGAATTTGAGATCCTTCTGCCCCAGTCCCTGGAACAGTTGAGAGATTCCAGGTGTGCGCATCATACCTAGCTCACCAACGTTTTCTGAGTCTAACATGTAAAAGACTGCAATTAGCCAGCTACTTCAGGACTTGAGGCAGATGACAAGCTCGAGCCCAGCCTCTAAATTTAAAAGGCCTGGGGATGTAGCTCAGCTCTCCCTGGGCTCAACCCCCATGCCATTACATGGCCGGCTAATTTAAAGGCTTTCATAGGCAGAGAGGGACCCAGCCCTGGAGGAAGAAGGCACACTGGGGTGGTGGCTGGAGCCTCCTTTTGAGTGGGCCAAGGCCTCAGCCTACAGCATGTGTACCTCCCCGGAGAAGCAGCACCCTGGGCCAGGGGCCCAGCCCGGCACAAACCCATAGGTGGCGGCCAGATCACCCTGGCCCGTGGGCCCTCCTTCCCAGAATGCCTTGTTCTTCTCTGTGCCCTGCCCCATGACTCATCTCCCATGTGGATCAATATTCACTCAGCTCTGTCCTTGTGATGCTGTAGGTTGACTGGGGTCTGACCCACGTGGTACCCACATTGTGACCTTGCTGTATGAATTGCCCGACATAGGGCCTTGGTGGCCACCTGCGTGTGACCCCTACTAGAAACCCAGGGTCTGTTCTTCCCCTGAAAACTCTCCTAACTTCTTCCACAGCAGACTGACACCCTGACACCCAGCAGGTGGGGGGTTATGATTAGTTCTGGAAACGGAAAGGAGTTTCTGTACAGAGCCAGAAGGGACTGCATGCTGGCTCCAGGGATGATGGCCCAGTGGCCCAGTGTAGCTCGTGGCTGTCCCTATAGCCTGTCTTCTCACTGCATCCAGGAGGCCAGAGACCCTGGGAGCCCTCCCCTGCCCAGAGGAGCTCGCAGGGAGCCACACATAAGAGGCCGAGGGTGGGTACCACAGATTTATTGTCATCTGTGTGTCTCTGGCTTTTGCACACGCATACACACTCAGGTAATCAAGCAGACCAGAGATTGTAAATAAGTCAGCAGGAGGCTAGGGGCCTCCATATGCCCCTCACTCTCCAGCCACCTGCACAGCACCTACACCAGAGTCTGGGAAGAAAATCCAAGGAGAAAAGGGAGCTCCACGGAAGCACTTCTGGGAAGCTCTGAGCACAGCAGGGCATGACAGAGAGGCCGTGGTCAGGCACAGTGCTCAGCAGCAGAGACATCTCGGCCTCCTTCCAGCATAGAGCGCTCTCAGAGACTACTGCCAGTCATATCACCGCCATCCGAGTCATCCTGGGGGACAGGATGGGGACGGGGCACTGGTGGGCCTCCACAAGATGCCCATTCCCCCGGCCGCACTTCCCACCTGACTTTCTAAACTGCACTTGTGGGGAGCAAACAGTGGAGGATTAGATCTGTGGACAGTAACATAGGCCACTAGCTCGCACCCCTGCCCTGCACCCCAGGTCTCGGGATTCCAGGGAGCACTTTGCTGCCTATGCCCTGAAGACGCTGGGCAAGGGCAGCTGCCCTGGGGGAAGAGCAGAGTGGAGGGAAGGGAAGGAGTCTTCCTGGGGATTTTTGGGTTTTTTGGTCTTGTTTCTGGTTTTTGAGATGGGGGTCTCACTATATGGTCCAGGCTGGCCTCAATCTCACACAGATCCTCCTGTCTCAGCTTTCTGGGTGCTGGTATTACAGGCATGTGCCACCATACCTGGGTTCACTGGGGTATCCTAAAGCTTGGCAAGGAACACATGCCCTTCTATGCCAAATTTGTTAACATGGACTGAGAACCAGGACCTCACCTAGTCGGAGCACGTGCTCTTCACGTGCTTAGCAGTCTGGGCTGCTCCCTGGAAGGGATCAAGGGGATGGCACTACTTACATCCAGGTCATCCATGGCGGGGGGCGGTCCCTTGGTGCTGACCTTCTGCAAAAGCTGGCGGGAGAGAAAAAGGTCACAAGAAAGGGCAGAGCCAAGCATGGGGCACAGGTCTGTCATCCCAGCACTTGGGAGGCTGAGGCAGGACGATCACCATGAGTTCCAGGTCAGCCTGGACTACGCAGCAAGACCCTGTCTCAAAGAAAGCAAACCAAACCACAAAAATACAAACACTCCACAAAACATGCAGAGCACAAACACCACTATACGATCTGTCCGGGGAGCGGGGAAACACGCCTGAGAATGCAGAGGCACCCGAGGGCCGGCGCGCGAAGCTCACCTCTGCATAGTGCTCCACCTGTGCCAGCTCCATCTCCTCGTCCCCCTCCCAGTCTCTCCAGTTGTCGTAGTCTACGGACAGCCACACTGGCTGCAGGAGGAAGCAGAGTTACTGGCAGGGAGGTTCAGGAGGCTGAATCGAGCAGGAAAGGGAAGAAGACGGCAGTGGAGGAGTCTCAGCCATCTCCATCCTCAGCATGGCCAGCCGTACCAAATGGGTCAGATGAGGCGGGCATACTGCCCTGGAAGGTTGGAGGCCTCAGGGTTGAAAAAGAAGCCAAGTGGGGAATAAAGAGGACAGAGGCTGAAGGCATGGCCTCTACTCAGGGCTGGGGATTTATACTAGGATGGCCAGATCCTCCTTGTTTTTCTTTCTTTCTTTTTTTTTTTTTTTTTTTTTTTTTTTTTTTTTTGTCTTTCTCTTTTTTATCAGTACCAGGGATCAAACTCACGTCTACACACTTGCAAGGCAGGCGCTTATGCCACTGAGCTAAATCCCCAGCCCCAGATCCTCCTTGTTTTTCAAAGACGCTAATAATCTGGGTTTGCAAGTAAAAATCCACTTTTGGAGGGGCAGGCAGCACTGAGGACTGACCCATGGCCTCAAGCATGCCAGGAAACACGATACTAAACTAAACTACACTTCCCAGGCCTTTTTATCTTTTGAGACAGGGTCCAAGGGTCTCACTAAGTTGCCCAGGAGGAATTTGTGATTCTTCTGCCTCGGTCTCCTGAGCAGTTGAGGTTATAGGCAAATATCCACTTTTTTTTTTTTTTTTTTTTTTTTTTGGTACCGAGGATCGAACTCGCCACTGAGCTAAAATCCCGGGACCCAAATATCCACATTTTTAAACGCCTGCGTGAATCAAAGACTGTCAATCTCAGTAACCAATCATAACAGTTTTCACACTGTGCCGCCTGCTCAAAGGGACGCAAAAGCCAGGTTCGGCCAGCAGGTGGCGCACTTTCCACAGCAGGGGAGAAGTGGCCACCAGCGCGTCTCCGGTGGGAGAGTGATCGTGAAAGGCAACGCAGAAGAGGACTGGAGTATGGGGTCCAGAATATGCAACAAGCCTCCCCACAAACCCAGACGGGTGAGGTTTGAGCCAGGAAGAAATGGATTAAAAAATATTTAGGAGTACATAGGCCGGTGGGTGCCAATTCCGGAAGGCTGAGGCAGAAAGAAGATCCTAAATTCCAGCCTGGCAGCTTAGTAACTCTGGGAGACCCTGTCTCAAAAAGTAAGGGATGGCATGCCGCCCCGTCAATCCCCCGTACCAGAAAATAATATCAAGAAGTGTAACTAGGCAGGAGTGGTGAGTTACCGACACTGGGCGGGAAGGAGCCGGTCTGCCCCGCTCACTTGGGGAGCTGCACCTGCGGGCAGCGAGCCATGCGGAAGGCCAGGCCCGCCCCTCTCACCTTGATGTCCTCCTTGGTGAGCCGCGGCCAGGCCACCTTCTCCTTCCACTTCCTCACAAAGCACGTCACGGAGCGGCCGGAGCGCTTATCCTGGGAGTCCTGCCGACAGGGCCTCGCTCAGTGCCTGGCTTTTCGGGCGCCCTCCAGAGCCCGGGGAGCCTGCGCGGCAGCCCTCACCTTGGAGTTCACCTTGGCGTAGAACTCGATTTCGTTGTACAGCTCCACTCCGTCGCCGTTCCTGCAGCTGCAGAGGCAACGAGGCCCAGGCGAGGTGAAGGCTGCAGCGGGCGCCGGGAAGGGGCGTCCGGGGAGCCAGCCCCGAGGGCAAACGCTACCTGAACACCACGCGGTGGTCCTCCAGGAGCACGCGCACGTCCGTGCTGTCCTCCACGCAGAACTCCATGAACACGTACTTGGGCCTGTCGTACCACAAGGTCCGGGCATGCTGCCTGCAGAGGGGTCCGCGTGGGGACGTTGGCAGGGCGGGCAGGGGGCGCCGGGAGCGTGGATGTGGATGCGCGGCGTGAAGGGTGAACCCGGGGAGAATCGGGGGCAGGAGGCAGCATAGGGGGAGCATTCGGGTCTCGCCGCCCTCGGCCCGGTCACAGAGCCCAGGGCTCCCAACGGCGCCTGCAGCTCGCAGAAGACCTGGGACAGGGACCGTGGGGGGAAGCCAAGTAGGTCCCCTGAACCTCTCACCGTGCCATGAGGATCCTGCTGCCCGGTGGTGTCTGGAGCCGCAGGCCTGGCCGCTATCTTTAGATCCTCCGACCGCCCCGGCAGCTGCTGCTCCTTATATGGCTGAGACAAGGGGAGCGAGGAAGGGACGAGGCTGGGCTGCCCGGGATCTGCACGGGAGGGGACTGGAGGAGCTCGGCCCAGCAAATGCACTCTCGGGGCCTCCAGATTCCAGGCGCGAGGGAACGACCCGTCCCCGGCCTCCGGAGCCCAATTCACAATAGCCGCTCAACCACACAGGACTGGCCAGGACGCCGGCGCCACGGAGCCGCCCTCCTCAGGACGTCCTCCCGGAAGTCCCGCCCCAGGCTTCCGACCCGCCCGCTGTTACCATGGCAGCGAGGCAGTGGGGCGGCTGTGTGGCTGCGCTTCCGGGAAGATGGCGGCCGTGCAAGCTGCCGCGGAGCCAGTGACAGCGGCGGCGGCGATCGCTGTGTCCAAGGCGAAGGACGCAGAAGAGGAAGAAGAAGAGTCACCGCCGCCGTGCGAGGCGGTGCGCTGGGCCCCGGTGGGGGCAGTGGCCGAGGCCGGGCCGGGGGTGGTGGCGTTCTCTGAGGCGGCGGAGGAGCCCGGTGCGGCCTCCGGGTCTCCCCCGGACTCGCCGGGCCGGGCGCTGCGGCGGCTGCGGGCTGAGCGGCGGCGGCTGGACTCGGCGCTGCTTGCGCTTTCCTCGCACTTCGCGCAGGTGCAGTTCCGCCTGCGCCAGGTGGTGCGCGGGGCGCCGGCCGAGCAGCAGCGCCTCCTGCGCGAGCTCGAGGACTTCGCCTTCCGCGGCTGCCCGCATGTGCTGGGGGACGAGGGGCCCAGGGACGCTGTCCACGACGAGGACGACGATGAGGGCGACAAGCCGCCCGGGCAGCGGCCGCGGGTGCGGTTGGAGAGCCAGGTGAGCAGTGGGGGGTGGTGACGGAGATGCAGGTGGCTGAAGCCACTGGCTGGATGGCGTCGGGTGTACCCGAGACAGGCGACATGTGTCCAGGTGTAGGTGGACAGAGAGGCCTGGGAACTGGCGTGCAGGATGCGTGACCTGAGGCGTGGGAAGGCGTGCACATCCGTGAGAACGTGAGGCTCAGGGAGTCTGCAGAGCGTGGAGAAGGCACCAGAGACCTCCCAGCTCTGGCTTCCTTGACCTGCGCCGCATCAAGTACTAAGTCTTTAGCACTTCTGGTGGAATCGGCCTGGCACAGGCTAAGTCCACACCCTGACCCTGAGCACGCAGCTCTCCACGCGCACCCTGCACTTTTGCTGATAGGAAAAATGGGCAAGTGAAAAGTGAGTTGGAATCCATCCATGGAAACTTAGGTTAATTCCCTTGGTTTCCTAGAATCTAGGCAGCCCATAAAGCTTGACATTCTGTTATCTGAGCTAGGCTTGGCTATCAGCCTCGTCTCTGAGCAAAAGGTCTAGGAGTCCTGATTGTACGAGTTTTATGACTGTAATAAAATTCTGCCACATCAAGAAGTTCTTTCCTGGGGCTGGGGATTTAGCTCAGCAGTGTAAGCGCCTAGCTGGCAAATGCAAGGTCATGAGTTTGATCCCCGGTACCAAAAATAAAAATAAAAATAAAAGAAGTTGTTTCCTACCGACCTTGAATCCCTGGAAGTGCTGTCTGGGTGCACTGTGAGACTGAGATGCGCTGCTTTCCCCATTTTTACTCTTGCAAGTTACAACCCACCTGTGGCTTACTGCTCACCACTCATTTTACAGGAGAAAGCAGATGCTGGCTTGTTTAATTTAATCAGAACTGTTCCTGAGCAATCCTGCTTACTTTCCCACCCTTCATTCAGAGACCCAAGCTCCTTGCTTGGGAGCAGCCACCTCAAATGACCACACTTAAAGACAGAAACCAAAGCTGGATGTGGTGGTGCACACCTATAACCCCAGCACTCAGGAGGCTGAGGCAGAAGAATCTCTGTGAGTTCAAGGCCAGCCTAGGCTGTATAGTGAGTGCAAGGGCAGTCTGAACTCCATAGGGAAACCCTGTCACAAAAAAAGAAGCCATAGAATTACTGTAGCCAGGACTTGCTTAGGTGCAAACAGCACCAAAGGTTCTATTGTGGTGACCCTGTTTTACTGTTCATTGTTAAGTTCAGAACACTGAAACACTTTAAAAAGGAAAAACAGTGCTTGATCTTCCCCGTGGCTTTCACACCCCCCCCCATAACCCCCTCCATAACCCAGAGTTTGCTTAGCTCAGGGAATGGCATCTGTTCTTTCCTGCCAAGCCCCAGAGCCCTTATCTGTCCTACAGAGTTGTAAGTCACTCTCCAGCCTCTACTGCAGGTGACAACATCCAGGGAGATGGGATCAGGATTTATGGCTGGAATACAAATCAAACAAAAACCAAACTCAGTTCCCTGTCCTTGGGCTGGCTGACTTCCTCCTGTCAGAGTTCAGTGTTTGAAATTCATTCTGTGCCTGACTTAGTTTACTATCACTCAGCAAATATGTACTGAGTGCTGCTGGTGCCAGGTGCTGCACGGCGCTTTGGGGATTCAAGGTCAGGGCCTCCTTGAGTTGATCCCTGGGTAGGGGAGCACAAAATGCAGAGCAGAAAGTGGCTCCCAGTGCCCACTCTCCTCAGGGCAGGGGAGCCCTTAGAGGAAAACCGGACCTTTGCTAGGTGGAGGAAGGATACAGGGTTCCAAAAAAAACCATGACTTGCTTGGGGGCACTCCAAGAGAAGAGTGTTTTCATGGAGGCAAGACTGAAGTGGAGGGTTGCTTTTTAAACAGTGAACAAAAGGTTAACTTGTTGCATTTCTTGTTCCCTCTCTGCCTCACCTGTGGAGGGCTTGGTAAGTACCATTTAAGGTTAAGTTTAATTCCGGGGACTTCCAATGCCTTTTACTCTCTTCCTCACATACACACACCACAGTGCAGCTGAGCTGCACCCCAGCCCATGTTTGCAGAGTTTGGCTACTCAGCATTGAGGAGTGAATGTCTGGCGATACATTCCCAGGAGACCATTTTGGCCAAGATTAGTTTTCTCTAGAGTAAGGAGACCTTTGAAGCACAGGAAGCAATCTTAACAAAAGGCCCCATTGTATTTAGACCCAATTGCCAGTGAAGGACAAATGTTTTCTTCATTTTTTTTTTTTTTTTCATTTTTATCGGTACCAGGGATCGAACTCACAACCGCCTGCTTGCAAGGCAGGTGCTTATGCTGCTGAGCTAAATCCCCAGCCCGACAAATGTTTTCTTAAGGGAAACACAAAAACAAGAAATCAACTTGGTGGTGCCTTACACTCAGGAGGCTGAGGCAGGAGACTCACTGTGCATTTGAGGCCAGCTGGGGCTACATAGTGAGACCTGCCTCAAAACAAAAATCGTTCCCACTCTTGAGTTGAGGGTTTCATCTGGGTGATCTGGAAGGAATATTGGACTGTCATTACCAACCTGAGCATTTTGTCTGTCAGGTACTGGGGTTGAGTGAGTCCCATGGGCGTAAGAGGCCGTGGGCCTCTACCGCTGAGTTTAGCCCAGCCAGAGAGGCTCTGTGTGTAAACAAGCCTAGTACGTTCTCTTAGAGTGAGCAGGAGCGCCAGGAGCGCCGAGAGGCCCAGCGGGAGAAGCAGAAGAAACTGATCTTGCAGCTCAAGAGCCAGTTGGATGACCTGGAGACGTTCGCCTACCAGGAGGGCAGCTATGATTCCCTGCCACAGTCCGTGGTCCTGGAAAGACAGCGGGTGAGTGGCCTGGGCCAGGCCAGCACTTCCCTCGCTGTTGGCGGCCTGTCCCCAGGAGCCCTTGGCCGACCAGGGGGCATTTACTGCCCCTCATGGAAGACGCAGGTCATCTGCATCCCAGTGTCACTAAGCCTTAGGGTGGTTGCAGTTCACCTTGGTGTTCTGTGGAGATTTTCCTTTTGTTGTCTAGAGTGGGACAAGAAGAGATGGAAGGACTCAACATGAGGAAGTCATTCTGGCTGGACCAGCAGTGTATGTGAGAGACTGAAGCAGGAGGATCAGGGAGCCCAGCAGTTTAAGGCCAGCTTTCCAACCTGACTTCTGTTGGAAGCCTTTAAAGAAAGTAACTATGAAACAGGCATGGTGGGACATGTCTGTAATCCCAGCACTCAGGAGGCTGGGGCAGGAGAGTCATTGTGAGTTTGAGACAGCCTGGGTTACAAAGTGAGCTCAAGACCAGCCTGAACTGCATGAGGAGACCCTGTCTCAAAAGATGAAGAAAAAAAAAAAGAGCCAGGGATTGAGCTCAGCAGTGTAAGCGCCTGTCTGGCAAGCATGAGACCATGAGTTCAATCCCGCTACCAAAATAAATAAATATAAAACTTCCTGAATCGTCGTCAGCAAATGTAGATTATTCACACCATCACTGAGTGAAAGTTGAATGGCGCAACTAAACATTTGCTGCATGGCTGGGCATGGGGGTACATGTGTATAACCCTAGGCTGAGGCAGGAGAATCACCGCAGCAGAACGACATAGGCCAGCCTCGCCATGTAGTTCAAGACCTGCATTATAAAGCAAGATCCCGTCTCAGAAAAAAAGAGTGGTGGTTCTCTCAGGGAAGAATGGAGAGGAAAGGGAAGAGAAGGCCTTGGTGAGATTCCTTCCCAATTGGGTACAGTGGGACGCCTGTCATTCCAGCTGCTCAGGAGGCTGGGGCAGGAAGATGGCAAGTTCAAAGCCAGTTAAGCAACATAATGGGGAAAAAACAGGATGGTGGCACATGCTTGTCATCCCAGCACTTGGAAGGCTGAGGCAGGGGGATAATGAGTTTGAGGCCAGCCTGGGCTACACAGAAAAACCCTGTCTCAAAAAAAAAAGCACCTGCACCCCGGCCGTCACCCAGTGGCTCCCTGACTCGATCTCCGCAGGTGATCATAGACGAGTTGATAAAGAAACTGGATGTGAACCTGAGCGAGGACATCGGCTCGCTATCCACCGAGGAGCTCCGTCAGCGCGTGAACGCGGCTGTGACGCAGATCATCAACCCGGTGCGCGTGAAGGAGCAGCTGGTGGAGCAGCTCAAAACCCAGATCCACGACCTGGAGATGTTCATCAGCTTCATCCAAGGTCAGCAGGGTGGGGGTGGCATCGGTCCAGCCCGGCTTGAGCCAAGGGCTATGCCCCATTAGAGAAGTCCGGCCACCTGGTGGAGTGCAGGGGGGCACGGGCCTTAGAGGCAGAGCTAAAATCCCCACCAGACGCATGCCGGCTTCCTCTGCTCCGGCAGCTGCCCACCTCTGGCCTCAAGTGTGCCTGTAAAGTGACTGCTTGAGCTTCTTGAACATTTATCAGGCCAAGCTCTGGTCACCGAGTTCACGGTGGCGTGGAGAGGGTTTGCAGACTGGCTGCCGGGCGAGTGCCCTTTTGCATCCCCTCATGTAACTCCTGGTTGCAGATGAGGCTGGGAGCCCCCTGCAGACCAGCAGCAGACCCTGCACGTGCAAGGCCAGTGAGAGGACGGTGGGCAGCTGTGGCAGGCCAGGTGTCGGCCAGGAGCCCCCAGAGAGCAGCACAGGTGAGGGGGGACCCCAGGCCACAAAATAGTGCGCAGCAGTGCTGGGGCTGCAGAGCAGGAAACTGCTGCGGGGTTTCTTGGGCCAGTGATGAAAATGCTGTAGACTCAAGTACAGAGGGCTGTACGCCTCCGGGAAGCCGCAGGGTGGGGGTGGCTCCGCACAGAACCCTGCCTGGGAGGAGGTGTGTCGTGGTGTGTCGACACCAAGTTGACGGAGCTGGTATCAACTGACGGATCGGAAGAGTCCAGCTCCCCTGGGGGGTCGCTTCGAGGTCCAGGCCAGCCTGGGCACCCAGCCAGACCCTGAAGCCTCTTGCTGACAAGCCACTGTCTTCCCAAACAGGGAAGGCCCACGACGTGAAGCACTCCAGGGAGCCGGGGCCTCACCTGCTGCGCCAGGTGCTGGCCGTGCTGCAGATGCTTGCCATGAGCCAGCTGGGCTGCGCCTCGGGCCAGGTCCCATCCAGCCTGTGGCAGGGGGGCCAGGCAGACAGGGACTACACTCCCCTGCTGAGGCGGCTGGAGGCCTCGGTAAACAGGGTGAAGCAGCTGGCCCTGCGCCAGCAGCCACAGGCCCACATGGCTACCACCTCCAGCCTGCAGGACGCTTCCTTGGGGGCCAGAGATGAGCTGACCACAGTGGTGCGGAAAGAGCTGACGGTGGCTGTGCGAGACCTGCTGGCCCACGGGCTGCACACCGCGTCCCCTGGGGTGAGCCTGGTGCTGGCGCCACTTGCCTGCCTGCTGCCAGCCTGGTCCTCAGGCCCCCAGGCGATGCATCCCTGGGAGCTCTTCGTGAAATACTACCAGGCCAAGAACGGCCGTGCCTACATGGAGTCCCCCGCCCGCAAGCTGTCCCAGGCCTTTGCCCTGCCTGTGGGCAGCAGTGCTGTGGTGACCCCCAAGCAGAGCCTGCTGAGCGCCATCCACCTGGTGCTGACCGAGCACGGCCCCTTCAAGCGCAGTGCAGACTCTGAGCTGAAGGCACTGGTGTGCTTGGCACTCAATGAGCAGCGCCTAGAGTCCTGGCTGGGCCTCCTCTGCAGGTCAGGCGCGCTCATCCAGCCGCACTACCAGCCCTGGAGCTACATGGCACACACCGGCTTCGAGAGTGCCCTGGATCTGCTTGGCCGCCTCAGCAGCCTCCACTTCCAGCTGCCTGTGGACCTGGCTGTGCGCCAGCTCAAGAACATCAAGGACGCCTTCTGAGGACAGGGCAGCGTCTGTGTCTCCTCCCTCCTGCATGCATCAGCAGTGCAGACCCCTTTGCTAGAAAGCAGGATAGAGCTCTGGGGCCCGACACCTGGCACATGGCTGGCAGGTCCCCCGGGTTCCGAGTGATCCAGCAGCCATCCAGGTCGGCCACCAAGGCACTGAGCCTTGTCTCAAGAATTGGGTGGGCCCAGCTCATGCCCAGCCCAGCATCTGTGCCTGGCATTGCGGGTCCTTGTGGTGATCACAGCTGCTGTTCCTAGTGCCTGGGTGGCCCAGAGCCCCTCCCCCCATCCAAAGTGGTCCAAGTGGAAGCTCCTGACTGAGCATAGCTGCCTCCTCCCACTCCAGTGCCAGCCCAAGCTGGGACTGGGCTCACAGCCGCCTTCCCACAGGGAGGGCTGTACTGGGACAAGGGAAAAGGTGATGCTGTTTGTCTGGAGGACCAGAGCTGGTGTCCTCTGTGGTCTTCGGACAGGACAGACACAGGAAATAAATCCAAGACCACGTCTGGAGCAAGCCCTTAGCACTGGAGTGTGCACTGGCCATGCATCCCCAGCAGTGACCGCTGCCCACCACTGGCCCTGGAGCAGGATGGCAGTAGGGCTCTGATGGCCTGGTGGGTCCTTTGGAGGGGAGAGGTGCTGCGGACCCATGTCCACTAACTCCCAGAGCACCTATGGCCTGGTCAGCACGACCTTTGAATCCTCATGTCACTGGGCTCCCGTGGGCCCTGCTGCACCTGAGCACTGCGGACTCAGCATCATGCGTGCAACTTGCCACTCCCCTGGGTTTCTGCATGTTGATGTATGTTTTAACTTAAATTGTGATCAGCAGCGTGGTACTTATCTAAGACGCATTACTGCTGTTAGAGCTGGCCCAGTTTCCCTGTAAGCAGGGTAAGTGAAGGGGCCAGGGCCAGGGCCGGGGCCAGGCCACTGCTCGAGGAGAATGCTTACCTGGTCCAATCCCCAGCACAAAAATAGTAAAAAAAAAATACACTTGTGATCACCAATAAAGTTATTTTGTGTAGCTGTCTGGGCCTTACCCCCCTCTGACCCTATCCTCTGTCCTAATACTGTCCAAATCCTGGGTCTTGATGCTGGGCGTGGTGGCATACGCCTGTAAGCCCAGCATTCAGGAAACTGAGGCATGAGGATCACCAGTTTCAGGCCAGCCTGGTCCGCTAGCAAAACCCTGTCTCAAAAAAAAAAAAAAAAAATCCCTCTTTATCACATAACTTTGTGGTATGATGCTGTCTGGTTCATTTCTGTTCTTTACTCACCCTCCGATTTTACCCTTTCAGGAGGAAAAAGTGTTTTTACCATACCTGCCAGAAAGCTCTGCCCAGAGCTCTGGGCTGGGTGGAGGTGAGCAGATGGGCCTCACTCTGCTAATGATGCCACCAGCACCCCAGGCCCCAGGTGCCTGTGAGGCCCCAGGATGGGGGAACAGCGCACTGCCCTTGTGGGAGGAGTCAAGTCAGGCCTGCAGCTGTGCAGTATTGGCACAGACTGTTCACAGATGTGCAGCCACAGCTTTGGGGTTGTGGTACAATAAAGCTGGAAGGTGCTGAGCATGGCAGTACACACCTATAATCCAGCTGCTTGGGAGGCTGAGGCAGGAGGATTGAAACTTCAAGGCCAGCCCAGGAGATCAAAAGAAAATGGGGGTAGGGTATGCTGGGATTCATCTGGGTGGCTGAGCGTTGCCTAGCATGTAGCCCTGGGTTCATGCACTGGACACACAAACAGCCCAAGGTGACTGCAAGGTTGCTGTTACTGTTTTATAAGAGAACAAAAGGCCAGCTGGGAGAAGCCCATGCAGGTGGGGCATTACGGGACAAGCCATGGGGAGAGTCTGTGCCACCAGCTCCAACTGCTGCTCTAGCACTGGTCCAGGAGGCCAGAGTAGTTGACCGCTGAGGTCCCTTTGCTTCCAGATGCCCTGCTCCAAACAGCAGAAAAGAACTGGACGCAGCCAGGTGCGTTTGCTTGCCCTGTAAGCCCAACACTGGAGGCTGAGGCTGGAGGATCACTGAGTTGAAGGCCAGCCTGGGCTACATAGGGAGACCTGTTTCAAACTAAAGTAGATATATAAATAAAAGTACTTTAAGGGGCTGGAGATTTAGCTCAGCGGCATAAGCGATGGCCTTGCAAGCACATGGTCGTGAGTTTGATCCCTGGTACCAATAAAATAAATACTTTTTTAAAAAATTTTCGTATCTTCCCCAAGATGAAGCCCAGGGAGGCCCTTACATGTTCAGAAGAGCAGGAACTATCAGACTTTTCCCTTTGACTCAGATGACTCTCTAGGTTCACAGAGTTGAGCCAGGGATTTTTTTAAGTGTGATGGGGGTGCTATCTGAGCTCGAAAATACCTGAAAAGGTGCGGTCAGGAAGTCCTGGTGAGCGATGGAAAGGAATTCACTTGGAAGCCAACTAGGCAGGTGGAGACCTAGATCCCCACTCATTTGCAAGACGGTTTAGAAACGATCTAGCAAGAAATTAACTGATCCTTTGAGCTGCATGCAATTCCTCCAATTCCCCCTGTCTAAAGGGGAGAAAAAACCGGTGTGAGCCACTACACCTGTAATCCCAACACTCAGGAGGCTGAGGCAGGAGGATTGTTGCAAGTTCAAGACCAGCCTGGGCTACAAAGTGAGCTGGAGATCAGCCTGGACTATCTCAAAGGAAAAAAAAAGGAGGAAAATAACCAAAGAGGACGCAGCAAGCTGCGGCTCACATATGTTGCTAGGCATCCTGCCAGGCACACAGTGGATGCTTGGTTTGTGGGGCGCTGTCAGGAGCGTGGGCACCAAAGCTGGACGGCCTGGGTCTCAGTCCCAGTTCCACTGCCCACTCTCGTGGACTTTGGGGAAATAACTCTCCAAACCTCTGAGCTTTCAGGGCAGGGCTGTCTCCTGGCAACGTGAGGTCAAATCAGTGTAAACATCGACCAGGCCTGGCAGCTGCAAGGTCTGTACAACGGCAGCTGGGACATCGCCAGCCTGGATGTCGGAGGCCAGGACCCTCGCTCCAAGTTTTTCTCCCGTCCTTGACAACAGTGAACACGATGGTGCCCCGTCCTAGCGCAAGAGGGCAGGAATGCAAGAAGGGATCGCAAAGCCCCAGGCCCACGCGCAGACACACCTCCGCACTTCGTGGCTGGAGACTGGACTCCTTTGCTTGCTTTTGTCTACGGCTACACCTGCTAATAAAGTTTCATTCAAATACAAGCGTTGCCAGGCTCTGCTTTCCCTTATGAGCTTCTTCCGCCCACAAGGCAGCCTCACCACCATATGCGTTCGGCTAGGCCTGAGGGGCAGGGCCGGAAGTGACGCACAGCCCCGTAGGGTGAAAGGTTAACGGAAGTTGGCTTCCTTCTTTTCCGCTGTGGCCCCGGCGCGGTACTGTCGGTGAGTAGTCTCAGTTCGGGTCTCCCAATCCGCCGCCATCCGCGATCGGGGGGCGGGTCTCCCGACGAGTGCGTTCAGTCTCTAGGTGCCCGAACGGCGGTGAGCATCTTAACGCTGCGGGCCTGCTTCCTGGGCTTGTAGGCTGGGGGTAGCCTGGGGCTTTGCGGAGTCCTTAGCAGCGCCTCCTGCCCTGCAGAAATGGGCAAGTTCATGAAACCGGGGAAAGTCGTGCTGGTCCTGGCCGGACGCTACTCTGGACGCAAAGCCGTCATCGTGAAGGTACCGGGGTCGGGGCGGCGGGCCGGGCCGGGCCGGGCTGGGCCGGGGCGGCGGGCCGAGCGGGGCCCGGCGGGAGGAGCGCAGGAGCGAGCGCCGTGATCAGCGGCCCTGGCCGTGCGGCCGACGCCCCGGCCGGAGCCGCTCCTCTCCTGTAAGGCAAGAGAAGCTGCTTTAGTTCCTGCCGCGGGCGAGGCGCTTGCATCTCAATCCGCGAAAGGCCGAGGCAGGACGATCTCGGCGAGTCAGAAGCCGCCTGTTTGGGCCCTATAGCAAGACTCTGTCAAGGGAAGAGGGCACCGCTTGGGGGACTCTGGTCCCGCTGCCTCCCTGTGGCAGTTCTAGCCACGGAGCACCACGGCCGTGCCGCCGTGGGGACCCTAAAGGGCTGCCAGCCGCCCCGTTCCGCGGGTGACAGGTGCCGCCGAGGCAATCACCTCTTCCCAGCCCCAGGGCTCTGCGTGTTCTCTGGAGGGGTGAGCACTATCCCTTAGCCCACACGCCCAGCAGGCTCTACCCCTCGGTGGAGCGGTCCCAGGTGCCTGCTTCCCGCGCAGAGCTGCCGCGCCCTTCTGACTGCAATTCTCCCTGGCCCAGAACATCGATGATGGCACCTCCGACCGCCCCTACAGTCACGCCTTAGTGGCCGGAATCGACCGCTACCCCCGCAAAGTGACGGCCGCCATGGGCAAGAAGAAGATCGCCAAGAGATCGAAGATAAAGTCCTTCGTGAAGGTTTACAACTACAACCACCTCATGCCCACCAGGTGACGCTGCAGGCGGGCTGTGTAGTGAGACCCTGCCCGCCGGCTGCCCTCTCGAGGGTGCGCGGGGACTGGAAGCCAGTGGACCTTGACCTTCATATGTGAGGCAGCTGGTGCTCGGTGATGGGAGGGGGCACCTGCTCCCTGGCACAGGTGTAGAGCAGAGGCTCCTGGGCAATCCTCAAAACCCCACAGCCAGGTGCCGCTGGGACTGCATTTGTCCTTGGGGTGCAGTGTAGGTTCTTAGTTGGAAGGAGAGTTGTGGAAATTTTTGACAGTTTTTGAATTTACATGAAAAGCCATTAAAGTAGGGGCTCCTAAAGAACACTGTGAGGACTTCAGTGCGGGTCCTGGGGTTTGGCTCTGAGCAACCCAGTGTCCCTGGAGGACCTGGGACCCTCAAAGCCCTGGCTAACCCTGCCCCGGTCCCCAGGTACTCTGTTGATATCCCCTTGGACAAGACCGTGGTCAACAAGGATGTCTTCAGAGACCCGGCCCTGAAGCGCAAGGCCCGGCGGGAGGCTAAGGTCAAGTTTGAGGAGAGGTAGGAGGCTCGGGGTTGGGTTTGGGTTTCCGGGAAAGGAAATGCCTTGTCTCCCCTCACTGCTGCCTTTTTCCTTCCCCTCTAGGTACAAGACGGGCAAGAACAAGTGGTTCTTCCAGAAGCTTCGGTTTTAGATGTGTTTTTGTTTCTCTTATTAAAATTTTTGAAAACCTCTGCACCTGCTGTGTATTGCTGGGGAGGGGCCTGGGGAGTCGGTCTTGGGGCTCAGTCTGTCACACCTCCAAAGATCACTGGTCTTGGAGTGGGCCATGTCCCCTCTGGGTTGGGGCACATCCCCAGTGTCCCTAGGAGGCCGAGCACCCTGCTCAGTCTGCCCTGGGCCAGTGCCGTGAGACAGCCCGGCACCCAGCCGGCCCTGCCTGAACCCAGTCTGTAGGGGCCTGACACGGCTGCCGCCTGCTGGGCCATGGGCCCACTGTACTGGGAAGCTGGCAGCCGTGGAACCCTCAGGGTCTCTGTGTCCAGGCACTGAAAGTCTGAGACAGGCTCGGCTGTGCCAGCTCAGGATCCAAGGGGCAGAAGTTGGGGCCTTTGCACTCACCCCTCTCAGCCCTTAGCCTGTGGTGCAGCTCCCGCTTGCTCCTGAAGGCGGGCCCAAGCCTGCGTCTGGCAGCGCATACAAGTTCATCAATTCGTGGTTCCCAGCGTGGCCCGGGGTTGGCGAATTGTGAGCCAGGGGCTGGCTCGGCCTCCCAGCCAACAGCAAGTGTGGGCCAATGAGGCCCCGCCTGGGGGCGGGCGCCCGGCAGCTTCTCAGAAATGAAAGTGGAAGTGGAGCAAGCAGCGGCGGCAGGGACTGGACCGGGCCTGGGACACCTAGGCTCCCGGGGCTAAGGGAGGCACCGGCCTTGCACTTGGAGCCTAAGCCAGCGCTGGAGACCATGGATGCGGTGAGCAGGCAGGTGGGGTACTCTCCGGAGGGGTCCCGGCCGCCCCCCACCTGTCCCAAGACTGGGAGCTGTGGAGCCCCACAGCTTTTCCTTGGCTCTTCTGAGACATGAGCGGCTTGGGTTGGCCTGGGACTCACTGTGCAGCCCAGGCTGGGCTCACTCTCAGCCAGGCTCCTGCCTCAGCCTCCCAGGTGACGGCCGCAGACCACCAACACCCCGCAGGCAGGCTGGGGGCATTTCTGCTTCTGACAGTCGGGCTCCTGGGGAGCACCCTGGTGCCCAGTCTCTCCTAGTAGAAGCCCACCCAGCCTGTCTCCCGTCCCCTGCTACCTATCCTTGTCTGCCGGCAGGAAGCTGAGCTGCCCTCTCACTCTGGCCCTGCTCCGCCGGGTCCCCGTCCCCAGCCAGACCAGCAGCACAGCCAGGCTGTTGACTGAATGACCCTGCCCTATGTCAGCATTTCAGCTTTGCCCTTCCTGACCCCGCCCCTCTGTCCCTGGTTCGGGGTCTGTCCGTGGTCATCCTTGGAATGTTACCCATGTAGAAAGTATAGAGAGAAGCTGGGCCTGGGATGGCAGGAGCCTGGGCTGGGCTCCTGCCATCCCAGCAGGCACTTGGAAGGCAGAGGCAGGAGGATCCTCACAAGATGGAGAATGGCATGACCTACAAAGTGAGTTCAAAGCCGACCTGGACTACATAGACCCTTTATACAAAAGAGAAAGTTTCAGGTCAAAGTTTGTTCCCGTGTCACCCAGGGAGGTCATGAGGCTGTGTGGGGTGTGATCACACCTGGTTTCCTCTCTCAGATGGGAAGATACTCAGCTTCCTCACTGGTGCCCGGAAGGATTAAGCTGTAGAAACCACACTGGAAGGTTTACCACGCCTGTAATCACAGTGCTTGGGAAGCTGAGGCAGGAGGATTACTGTGGGTTCGAGGTCAGCCTGGGCTTATACAGCCAGACCCTGTCTCAAGAAGGAAAGGACAAAGAAAGGAAGGGATTGGACTGGGTACACACACCCATAGTCCCAGCCACAGGGAACCTGACCTCTACAGTTTCGCCAAGATGCTATCAGCAGGAGCCTGCTGTGGGGCCCAGGCCTGTGATCTACCACTGCAGGAGGCTGAGGCAGAAGGGTCACAGGTTCAAGCCCAGCCTGGACAATTCAGTGACTTAGACTCCGTCTCAACTTAAAAAATGGGGGTGGGGTTGGGAAGTAGCTCAATGTAAAAGCCCTGGGTCCCAATGCTGTTAAAGGACATTGCTGTTCGATTTAGTGTGAGCCTTTTTTCAGCTCATTAAATGGCCCTCAATAGCACATTTTAAACTGGGTGTGGTGGCACACACCTGTAATCCAGGCCCTTGGGAGGCTGAGGTAGGAAAATTGCTAAGACTTCAAAGCTGGCGCAGCTATGGAGAAAGACCCAGTCTCAAACTCTAAGTCAAAAATACAGCTAAGGTGCATTTAATGATGCCACCCTCTGTACACCATCCTCCTTTTCCCTGGGGCCTGTGTTACAAGAGATGATGGCATCACCTGTCAGTGCACCAGGAAGAGGTCAGAGTTCAAAGTCCACTTCCTACCCTGTGTCACTTTCCTGCCATTGCAGTCAGAATACCAAGGCTTGCTCCAGCCATAAGTTGGAGACATCTGTGCATCAACTTCCTGTCCTTTCCCATGACATGCGTGACTGTTTTGTAACTGCCAAATTCAATGCCACCAAATTGCTAAACTGCCTGCGGTTTGCTGCTTTCCGAGCCGAGGCTGGGTACTGGCACAGGCCGACCTCGTCCTCGGGGCCCTGTGCCGAGCTTGTCCCAGGCTGGGCTGGGCTGTCTTGGTGCTGAAATCAAGCCCTGGGCTCTTTCTGCCCCTGGCCCAGTGCACCACAGCTTCATGACTGGGGGAGGAGCCCCGCCCCGCCAGGCCAGGCAGACCACAGGGTCTCCACAGCCCCCCCTGGACCGAAGCAAGCTCCTTTGCATGTTGGTCCCAGTCCTTTAGTTTGCAGTGCCAGGGATGGAACTCAGGGCTTTTGCATGGACCTCCATCTCCAGCCCTTTTTAAATTTCAAGGCAGCATCTCACCAAGTTACCAAGCTATCCAGGCTGAGCTGAACTTGAGACCCTCCTGTCTTGGCCTCCCAGAGTGCTGGGGTGACAGACGTGCATTCTCCTGCCTGGCTTGCACCTGTTCCTTCTGTGCGGCTGTCAGAAGCCCAGCTTGCCCCCCCACCCACTCCCCACCCACACACACACACCCCACCCCCACCCTCACCCCCCATCACACCAGGTGGAGTGAGGGCCACATGCATCCTCCTGGCCCTGCCAGATTGGCCTTGTGTTTTGTTTAGGGGGCTGGGCCTGCAGCGTGGCCTCATGTCTGCTTCCCAGGGCTGTGCTGCGGTGCTGCCCCCCAACCCAGCCTGAGTGCTCACTGTATTTGCAGAGCTGAACTTGGAACGCTCCAAGCTGCTTCCCACACTGGCCGGCACCTGCCAGCTTCCTGCCTCAGCTTCCAGGGTGTCTCAGATGCCACATCCAGATTGGGCTGTAGCTCTGTGACAGGGGGCTTTGCATGCAGGAGGCCTGGGTTCCATCTCCCAGTACCAAAACCCAAAGCGAAACAAAAGACAGAAACCACACCTTTCACCCTGCGCCTTTTCAGGAGTCTGCTCTAGTTTGTTCACTTCCTGTTGATTTCAAACTGAAGCTTCCTGTTTAAATTTGTTTTGAGAAAAAATTTTATCGGGGGTGGGCCTGAGCCTCTGGGGCCGGGCTCCTGCCTGGTTCAAGATGTGAAGAGAGCACCAAAGGGAAGGCAGGTTGGGCTGGACTGGAGACTGTGGTCATCTCACCCAAGTATTTCTTTTTTTTCTTTTTCTTTCTTTCTTGTTTTTTTAATTTGGTTTTGTGTTTTGAGACAGGGTCTCACTTTGCAATTCAGGCTGACCTTGAACTTGTTTATGGAGTCCAGGTGATCTCCTGCCTCAGCCTCCCGAGTGCTGGGATTACAGGTGTGCGCCACCATGCCCAGTGTCACACTGGATTTCTTCCGTGCCCTCTGCCACAGGCTCCCACCCTTTTCATTCGTTCACTGCATTCATTCAGCACACATTTTCTTTTCTTTTCTTTTTTTTTTTTGTACCAGGGATTGAACTCACGACCTCGTGCTTGCCAGGCAGGCACTTATGCCATGGAGCTAAATGCTTGGCCTTCAATACATATATATATATTTTTTTCCTTTTTATCGGTACCTGGGATCGAACTCACAACTGCCTGTTTGCAAGGCAGGTGCTTATGCCGCTGAGCTAAATCCCCAGCCCCAATACATATTTTCTAAACACCTCTGTGCCAAGGACTTTTCTGGGCCCTGGGGACACAGCGGTGACTGAGACAGAGTGCCGTCTGTCGGGGCAGCCCTTTGTGTCGGACGGGACCCCATTCAGCCACTTACTAGCCATAGACTCGAGGCCTCTGCCAGCCCTAGCCACAGAGCCTTGATTGTTCCCGCCTGAGTCGGCGGCGGTCACTGGACCAACTCCAGATCGCAGCAGCTGAAAGGCCATTTGGTGAAAATGGCAGACATGGGACAAGCTGGGGACAGGCAGCCTGTCCTGGGAAGCCCTGGCTGAGTCCTGCCTTGGGGGTGCCCAGCCCCTTCCCAGCTGTGAGGGTGTTGGAGGTGCAGAATCAGGAGCTCAGTGGTACCCACCATCAGGATAAAACCTCAGCTCAGCCCAGAGTGGAGGCAAGGCACCTATAATCCTATTACTTGGGAGGCTAAGGCAGAAGGATTATGAATCTCAACCCACCCTGGGGAAATTAGCAATGTAGTAAGAATTTGTTTCAACATATTTTTTTTTTTTTTGGAGACAGGCTCTTACCTAGCCAGCAAAAATAAAAGAATTAGCTGGTTATGATAACACATACTTGTCACCCCAGCACTCAGAAGGCTAAGGCAACAAGATCGTTGCAAACTCAAGACTGCTCTGGGTTACAAAAGTGAGCTCAAGGCCAGCCTGAACTGCATAATGTGACCCTGTCTCAAAAAAAAAAAAAAAAACAAATAAATCAATGAATATTTTTTAAAAATTTTGAAGAACTGCAGGTGTAGCTCAGCGGTAGCGCACTTACCGAGCTCGCAAGGCCTGAGGTTCAGTGCTCAGAACTACACTGGAGAAGACGCCAGCCTGGTGTCTGGCAGAGGAGGACTGAGCAAATGCTTGTCTGCACGGCCCAAGGTTCAGTCCTGCAAATCTAGGGTGTGGTGAAACAGGCCTGTGGTCTCAGCTGTTTGAGAGGCTGAGTCAGGAGAATTGCTAAGTGTGAAGCCAGCCTGGGGAATTTAACAAGGCCGTGTTTCAAAATTTCAAAAACTGAAAGCAAGAGCAGGGGACGTGGCCCAGGGCAGAGCAGCCTGGGTTTCTTCCCCAAGGCACAGACATGGGTACTGGGGACTGTGTTGCTGGGACATTTGCCATCAGCCCCACCCCTCCCGACTGGCATTAGCCCCCAGGACTGTGCCCCTCTGGAGTAACTGAGGGGCTGCCCCCGCTGTGGGTCCTGTTCTGTACCAACCGGAGGGCTGGACCTGCTGTCTGTGTCAGGTCATAGAGTGGAGTTGTGTGGGTTTTTTTTTTTTTTTTTTTAGTCTTTTTCCTTTTTATCAGTACCGGGGATCGAACTCACAGACTGTCTGCTTGCAAGGCAGGCACTTATGCCGCTGAGCTAAATCCCCAGACCCCTGTTGTGGTTTTTTTTTTTTTTTTTTTTTTTGTCTTTTTCCTTTTTATCGGTACTGGGGATCGAACTCATGACTGCCTGCTTGCAAGGCAGGCACTTATGACACTGAGCTAAATCTACAGCTCCCTATTGTATTGTTTTTGCAGCACCAGGTTAACCTGGAGCCTTCACAGTGAGCAATCCCCCCAGCCCTTTTTAAATTTGAAAATGAGGCCTCTCTAAATTACCCAGACTGGACTGGCCCTTGAGTGTGTCCTGCCTCAGCCTCCCAAAGAGCTGGAATGCCGGCATTGCACTGCCACCCTTGGGTGCTGAGCTTAGCTCTGCAGTATCGAAGCAGCCTGGGCTGCAGATGGGACTTCCACCCTCCTGGAAGCCACTGCACGGAGGCCGCCCCACTGGATAGGGGACAGAACAGGACCGGCCAGCGCAGGGCAGGGGCTGGGGCTCAGCACAGCAGCTGCCCTCTCCCACTCCCAGGCCCTCTCCGCCCTCCTGGAGGAACAGGCCAGGCTGAAGAGGAGGCTGCGGGAGCTTCAGCAGCTGAAAAGGAACACCAGGGTCACCCCCAGGCACAAGGTAAGGGAGGACGATGACCTGGGAAGCAGGGCAGGGGTCTCCTCTGGAGCAGGGCTGCCATTCCCTGCCTTGTGACCTTGGTGCTACCTGCGTCTCTGAACCTCAGCTGTCTAATCTGGAAAGCAGGCCAAGGTGAGGTGCGGTGTATGGGGTGGGGTGCCATTGTGCCCCCCACTCCACACCAGGTACTGGGATCCATCCCTCAGCACTGCTCAAACACAGGCTGGCTGTGGTGACACACACCTGTCTTTCCAGAACTCGGGATGCTAAAGTAGGAAGGTCTCTGTGAGTTCAAAGCCAGCCTGGGCTCCTTAGCCAGGCTCTGTCTGAAAAACTCAAAACAGCAAACCCCTCTGTGTGCAAAGCAGTGGCCCAGCACCTTTGCCTGAGCTCTGCCTGGAATACCCAAAGGACTGGTCTGGAGCTATCTCCATCCCTTCCCAAAGCAACCCTCAGCCCCCGTCTGCCCGCAGGTCCCGTTCCAAGTTCCTGAGGTCACCTTGGAGTTCCAGGGACGCACTGAGCAGGCCCAGGATGTGGCCAAGCCCTCAGTCTCCAAGCTGCGTATCTGCTGCCCCCTCTCAGGGGGCTCTGCCCTGGTGACCTTTGATGACCCCAAAGGTACGCCAGAGCCCGAGGAAGGGTGGGTGTGGGGTGGATACTTGGTACTGAACCTGTCCCTCCAACAGTGGCCGCACAGGTGTTGCGGCAGGAGGTGCACCAGGTAAACCTGGAGGAGTGCCGCCTGCGGGTGCAGGTGCAGCCGCTGGAACTGCCCATGGTGACCAGTGTGCAGGTGACCTGAGGCCTGGATGCGCAGGGCAGTGGGGCGGGAGACAGGACACCCGGTGACACCACTGTGCCACAGGTGTCCAACGAGACCAGCAGGCAGCATGTGCTGGTGAGTGGGCTGCTGGCAGGGCTGGCACTAGCCGAGGAGACACTGCTGGACAAGCTCGAGCTCTTCTTCAGCAAGCCCCGGCATGGAGGGGGCGAAGTGGACACCCGAGAGCTGCTGCAGGGCGGTGCTGTGCTGGGCTTTGCTGACGTGGGAGGTGAGGCCCAGGGGCTGGGCACTGGGGCGCCTGAGCCCAGAAGGAGCAGACTCGAGGCCGACACCCTCACTATCCTCACAGTGGCCCAGCACCTCTGCCAGGTTGGCCAGTTCCGGGTGCCGCTAGGTAGCCAGGAGGTGCCACTGAGAGTCACCCCCTATGTGAACGGAGTCATCCAGAAGGCCGTGGTGAGTGCCCTGCCCTGCCATCCCCCCACCTTGGTCCTCCTGTGCACTGCCCTGCCTCAGCCTCCCACTGAGGCTCCAGCTCCCTGTGCAGATCCAGTGGCAGCCAGTGCCCAACACAGTGCTGGTGCTGGGCATTGCCGACGTCCTGGATGGCCCAGAGCTGCACGACGTCCTGGAGGTCCACTTCCAGAAGCCCACATGCGGTGGCGGAGAGGTGGCGGCAGTGGCTGTGGTGCCGCCTGGGGAGCAGGGCCTGGCTGTGTTCACCTCGGAGTTGGGCTAGGGCTGGGGGCAGTAAAGTACAATCCACACAGCGGTATCCTCCCTGGCTTATTATGGGATTCGGTTGAGAAGCGGCTGGGGGGTGCGCCCCAGAGGAAGACCCGGCCTGACCAGGGTACCTGAGATGCAGAGTGACAGCGGCAATGGGTTTGGCTTTTTATTGACACAGACACAAAGACAGCTGCGGCACAGGCACAGAGAGTGGTGGCTCCCTGGCACGGCTCCCAGGGCCTCCTGCCGACTGCTACCATGAGGAAAGAGCTCAGCTGCAGGCCACGTGCCTGCCCAGTGGGTTGGGCCCCTGGGGAGAGCCGCCTGCCTCTTCCTCCTGCAGCTCCTTGGGTGGGAAAGGCACTGGGGCAGGCAGAGCGGCCGGGACTCAGCTCACTGCACAGGTTTCCGGTGCAAAGGCACTGAGAGCAGATGGCAGGGCCTCAGCGGCAGGAGGGGCACAGGGACCCAGACTTGGCCCAGGCCTGGCTCCCGGGGCCCCAAAGAGGCAGGCTCAAGGCCAGGAGGTGGACACGTCCTGTTGTGCTTAAGCAGCTAGGGACGGAAGCCCAGGCTGGGGGCTGCCAGCAGGAGGAAGGGGAGGGATGGGGACATGCAGGTCTTGAGGTGCGGCTGGGAGGGAGGTTGAGGCAGGGGGTACGAGGGAGAAACGGGGTGGGGGTGGTGCCCTCGGCACAAAAGTGGCAGGGAAGCAGCATGGCAGCAAGGACAGTGGCTGGAAGCAGCAGGCTCCCTCCCCGCCCTGTCCCCTGGCATAGCCTGGACATCCAAGCAGTGACTTCCCAACTCCTGGGAGGATGGAACGGGAAGGGGTGGGGCAGCCCACGAGGAGGGGGACAGGCACTGCCTCTGGCCCTGTCCCTGCCAACTCATCCCCAAGGGTCCCTAGTTCTCCTTCTCTGGCCCAGGCACCAGGATGACCTTGCCCACATTCTTCTTCTCCTGCAGCTGTCTCATGGCATCAGTCACCTGCAGCAGAAGGGAAGGCTGTGCTCCAGATGCCACCAGTGCCCCAGAGCCAGCCCAGAGGGGTTGCCCCTCGCTATTCCCTAGGAACGGTCCTTTCTTTGAGACACTAGCTAGGGACTAAACCCAGAACCTGCACACTGAAGGACACCCTCAGCCTCTTCTATTTTTAATTCTGAGACATGATCTCAGTCGCCCAAGGTGAATGTGAACTCGGGACCCTCCTGCCTCAGCCTCCAGGAATGGTGGCACTAAAGACCCTCACACCCACCTTCTCGAAGGGCCACACAGAGTCGATGCGGGGCTTGATGTGGCCCTGGCTGTACAGGGCAAGCAGCCGGGTTACCACACCACGCAGCAGCTCCTGGTCCTCCTCCAGGGCCCCCAGGTAGAAGCCACACACGGCCCGGTTGGACTGCAGCAGCTGCTGGGCCGTGACACTGAACTGGTTCCACCAGGTGCGGGCAATGGCCATTAGGTTCCGCTTGGGGCCGGTCATCATGTTGGCCACTCCTGTGGTAAGGGCACCCGAGCTATGTCCACTTCCTCCACGCCAGCGGCCTGCCCGACTTTGACACCACCTGACTTCACATTTACTCCGCTTTTACTTTTGTTACAGTTCACGAGGAGCTGGCATGTGTGCAGAACATGCTTGGCTTTGTTTTGGAGACAGCATCTTGCTATAGTTCAGGCTGCTCTTAAACACATAGCAACCTTCCTGCCTCAGCCTTCCAGGTGCTAGGATCACAGGTGTGCGTCATCACACCTGGCCTCAAATCTTAGTTTTTATGTCCTTTCCTTTGGTCTCCCCTTCCCCACCAATTTACTTTCCATGTAAAGCAGCAAAAGGTTTGACACAGTCTCCCTATGTAACCCACGCTGGCCTGAAACTCTCAAGGCTCCTCCTGCCTCAGCCTCCTGTGTGCTGGGGTGACAGGCGTGTGCCACCATGCTCTGCCTGAGTGAGTGTTTTGAATGGAACTGCACCTCACCCAGGGAGCCCAGGGTGGGATGGGAAGAAGGCAGCCTGGCTGCTGTTGCACCCAGAATGGAGCCCAGGGGATGCAGAATTTACACAGGGGACTGCCCAGGTCCTCCCCAAGACTGTGGTAGCCGAGGCCCCCACCCACCCACCCACCCGCCTGCCTCACCATAGGTGATGAGCCTGCCCATGGGTTTGAGGAGGCTGTAGCCCTTGGCAGTGTCTGAGCCGCCCAGGGGGTCCATGACGATGTCCACTCCTGTCACAGGGCAGGGACAGAGGTGGCTAGTGGGTCTGCACACTGAGCAGCCCCACCCTGCCCGAGCCGACCAGCCCACCTCGGGGGGAGATCTTCCTGATCTCCTCCACGTAGTCCGATGTGTGGTAGTCAATGGGGTGGGCGACCCCCTGCTCCCGGAGCACCTCATGCTTGCTGGCCGAGGCTGTCCCGAACACAGTCACATTCTCCACCGTGCGGCACAGCTGCAGGGCGGCCATGCCCACTCCCCCTGCAAGGACACAGCCCAGGAGTGCGTTCAGCTCATCTGGGGACCCAGGTCCCCAAATTTCGACAACCAAGCCAGGAGGAGGGCAGGGGAGGGTGCATTGCCAAGAACACCAGGCTGGACCTGAAGCCTGTGTGTTACCACAGCAACCTGGCTACAGGGGCCTCTGGGCACCACAGGCCAAAGCAGCCTGGTGTTGCCATGGTGACAGGCCAGCGGGGTTGGGCAGGGTGCAGAGCAGGATTGGGGAAGGTCGGTCACCTGCAGCCATGTGTACCAGGACACTGTGGCCTGGCCTCAGGTTGCCAAAGTCGAAGAGGACCATGTAGGCTGTCATGTAGTTGGCTAGCAGGGCTGCAGCCTCTTCAAAGCTCATGGCCTCAGGCATGAGGAAGGTGTGGGCAGCAGGGACTGTCACCTCCTCCTGCCACATGCCCCACCGAGTCAACACCATCACCCTGTCTCCTACCTTGAGGAAGGGAAGAAAAGCACCACCTGGTCACTCATTTGCTGCCCCTAGTGATCTCCTCCCCTCCCACATTCCAGTCCATTTTCCTAGAAGCAGCATTGAGGCCAGGGGCCTGGCTTCCCTGAGTGCTCACCAAGATCCAGGCCTGTTCCAAGTACACTGCACAAAAGTGCTCTATCATTAGACATGGCGGTGCACACGGGTAATCCCAGCAGCGGGAAGCTAAGGCAGGTGTGAGTTCAAGGCCAGCCTGGGACATATAGCCAGACTCAAAAGTCTCCAAAAAATAAAAAAGCCAGGTGTGATGGTGTGTGCGTCTGTAATCTTGGAGGCTGGGGCAGGGGAATCACTGTGATTTGGGGGCTACCCTGAACTACAGTGAAACCTTGTCTCAAAAAAAAAAAGTTAATCATCCCATCAGTGTTGAGGTGGCCCTACACTTCCTTCAGTTCCCTGATTGCACACTCCTGCTTTGTGTAAGAAACTACAGTTAGGCCAGCAGGCCAGCATAAAGCCCTCCATCAATAGCCAGCAACGTGACCAGTGTTCTTATCTGCAAAGCAGGGAAGTTACCAGGCTTAAGTGGAAAAAACCCACTCAGCAACCTCCAGCCCCACAAGCTCCCAGGGATCTGGTACAGTTAGGAGGGGGTGTCACCATCCAATAACCAAGGAAGAGGCCAGTGGGTGGCCAGGATCCACCCAGCACAGGACCTGGGATCTGGGGGTGGCCACATCACTAGCACTGAGACCCAGAAAACCTTCAGCCAGATCCAGGGCAGGGCCAGGATCCACAGGCCCCCTCTGCCTCTGGAGGGGAAGGAACAAAGATAACGGGTCTCTGTGCCTGGCTGCAGGCAGGACCAACACGGAGTTGGAGGACAGCCCACACCTGGCCTGGGGCCAACCAGGAAGGAAAGGAAGGCTAGGGGTCGAAGCAGGAGGGGATAGGACTGCACCAACCTACACTGTGGCCTACTGAGTTCCCAGCCCCTGGACCAAGGACAGCTTGGTGGGAGTCGGGATCTGGGCAGGAAGCCTGCTGCCCAGGCCCAGACCCACAGAGCTGGGCACAGGACAGCAGCCAGGTCAGGTAGTGGCCAGTGGGATGTGGGGCCCCGCAGGCAGGAGCTTCCCTCAGAGTGACAGCTTGCATCTAACCTGCTTGCAAGCTTGCAACGGGCCAGACACCGGGAAGCGGCCCCTCCAAACCGGTCCTTACATCAGTCTTGCAATTTCCTGTATTTACCCAGCGAAAAGCGCGGTGGATGTGTGTATGTGTGTGTGTGTGCATGGCCCCGCTGGGCACCCAGAACTGCACCTCCTTCCCCCAACATTCCTCTCCGAGGGGGTGACAGGCGTGGGGCGGGTGGGGCCAGAGCTGGACTAGGTGGGGGGACTCTGAAGAGGGAGGCTGTGCAGTATAAATCTCAGCCCTGCTCCGGGAGGGAGCTGGCCCTGAACCCCTGAACGCATGACTTGCGGAGGCCACACTCCAGGGTGCTCAGAAAGCTGGTCATCCAGAGATGTCCGGTGTCAGAGTCGTGGCCAGATGAGCGATAGACAGGAGAAAAGGCCTGGCAGAGCTGGGCCAACCTGCTTCCTGAAGCCCTTCCCACTCGGCCCGTCAAAGGCTAGATCCCCCAGGGGAGGCCAAGGTCCAGCAGAAAGTCCCCAGGCAGCGGGGTCTGGGCGAATGAGTCACGGCAGAAGGGGGGGCGAGGTCAAGGAAGACAAAGATCGTCTTCCCCCTCCCCCGCAATGGGCGTGTCCCGCCCACGCGGCTGCACGTGACTCTGGCTCGGATGGATCCCGCCCAGCCCCATGATACGGCCGCCACCCAGGTTCACCGAGCAGTTGCCTGGGTGTCCCGAGGTCTGGGGTTTGGGGTGCACTGATGGGTCAGGTAGTGGGAGGGTGCCCAGGTCACGGCGCCCATGCGCGTAAGTCTTACTGCCCCTACCACACCGTTTGGGGCGGTGGCCACGACTCAGAGTGTCAGGGACAGGACGATCACTCTATTCCTCCCCCAGAATAATCAATGCCATTCTGAAGCACCCCGAAATCTCAGTTCTGGCGGGGGCTCAGCTCTGGGTCAAGGAGCCCTGGTTCACTTGGGCGAGGCCCTGGATTCGAGCCCCAGCGCAGCAAAACGCAGAAAAACAAAGCGGGGCGTGGTGGGCTGGCCAGCAGCCGGGCCACTCCGCATGGTTGCGCCAGAAGCATCGAAGGTTCGAGCCCCGCCTGGGGATTCAGAGGCCGAGCGAGACCTCGTCTCCGACTAACGCGCGCTGGGGGTGTGGTCCCGCCGAGGCCTGGAGTCCCGCGCTCACCTTTCGGTCGGCCACGCCCTCGCCCACGGCCACCACCTCGCCCGCGCCCTCGATGCCGGGTGTGAGCGGCAGCGGCGGCAGGTGGTCGTGCACACCCTGGCGCGCGAACAGGTCGGAAAAATTGAGGCCGCAGGCGCGCACGCGCAGGCTCAGCTGGCCCGGCCCGGGCGCCAGGGGCGCGGCCGGCCGCCGCTGCAGCTTCACCTTCTCGTAGCCGCCAAATCCGGTGAGTACCAGGCAGCGCAGCGAGGGTTGGGCCGCCTCGGCCGGCGCGGGCTTCGGGGCCACGTCCTCCACGGGCGCCGCCTCCTCGGCCGCCGCCGCCGCCGTCGCCGACACTGCCGCCGCCCCTGCTCCGTCTCCCTCGGTGGACATAGCTGGAGTCGGGACTTACGCTCGGCAGCACCAGGGCGCCGCTGCTAAGGTCCGGGCCTGCTGGCGGGTGGCAAACTCGGGGGCGGGGCTGGGGCGGGGATATGGGGAGCTCGCGCCGATTGGGCTAGGCAAGTTCGGGGCCGGGCTACATGGGGGCGGGGCACCAGGTGGTGGTGCTCTGGAGGGCCCATCGCTGGCGGGGCAAGGTTGGGTCCGTGGGCCAGGCGCCCGGGCGGAGGCGGGACTTTAGGGGCGTGGCCTCGAATAGGGTTGCCTAGAGGGGCGGGGCTATGGGAGGCGGGGTGGGGCTCTAGAGGGTCTATCGCTGGCCCAGCTAGATTGGTTCTGGGGATGGGGTCAAGGGAGGGGCGGGACGTCGAGACATAAGGCAGGTCTAGAGGGGCGGGACTCAGGAGAGTGGGAGGGGCTTTCTGCCCATTTAAGGGGGTCATAGCCCCTGCTGAACAAACAGGAAACCGAGGAAAAGGGTACAAAGACGTATGAGAACATTCTTTGGGTTCATGGAGTCTTCGACTTAACTCATAATAAATCCCACGCACATTAAAAGCTCTGTGAAGGGTAGCCTAAAGGATGATCCCCACAATTGGAGACACGGAGCTAGGCTCCTCGGACCTGAGCCCCACCTGCCAAGCCTGCCTCTAGCCCTGGGGCCGCGGCGCCCTTCGGACACGCGCGGGCTGTAGCTCCCACTTCTCCCGAGCCCGAGGCGGCAGGGTCGCACCTTCGCGGCCAGCAGGGCCCCCTAGCCAGACCCGGCCTCAGAATACAGGAGAAGGCCGTGGAGGCCTGCCGTGGCAGTGGGCCGCCCGCAGGCGCCAGACTCTGGGCTCTCTCCCCAGCACCGCACACGCCAAGCACGCGAGTTATGACTCGTGATCGTCTGTGCCTCCCTTTCCTTTGGTGCACTGGACCCGCGGCTGCGTGTGGCGGACATCTTTACGACGCTATCTAAATAAACTCCAATTAAATCACGCACCTGCCACTTGGTTTTCGACCCTGGGAACTGAAACTGGGAACTTCGCACTGAGCCTGCCCCTATCCCCTGGTCCTTTTTTATTTCTTAATTTTGCGATAGGGTCTTAGTCACTAAGTCCCCAAACTGCTCGGGCTGGACTTGAACTTGCGATCCTCCTGCCTCGGCCTCCAGAGGTGCTGGGATTACAGGCGTGCGTCCCATCTGCGAAGAAATACTGACCAAGTAAGGGTGACCTTACCAGGCCATCTCTGGAGTGCCAGCTCTTCTTTCTCCCTTTCTCCTCTCCCCAGGCATCCACCAGAGGACGCCTGTCCCCTGACACTTCCTACCGCTTCGCGCTTGGCGGGAAGATCTCTGCTCAGCAGGCCAGGTGGCTAGGCCTGCCCCGCCCTCAAGGTCGCCAGCCCCTTCGTCGCCCAGGCGACGGAAAGCTATGACGTCATCTGGCGAGGTGTGTTGCAGTCTGCAGTCCCAGTTCCTCCAAACCCAGCGGTGGTCCTGACAGCAGAGTAGACAAAACCAAGACTCACACTTCCCGGGACATCTCTGCCTGTATCCAGGACGGGCATCACCTCAGCTCATGGTCGGCACGAGCACACCCGCGTGCACTCCTGGGAGCACGGAGGCCTGAGCTTCGCGCCTGTGCGTCTTGCACCCTACTCTAGGGATCTCTGCGCCAGCCAACTCCAGGGCGCGCGCCTGTCCTCCCAGCACTCTGGGAAGCTGAGGCAGGGAGATTGCAAGTTGGAGACCAACGTGTGCAACATAATGAGAGCCTGTCTCAAAATATAAAAGTTCCGGGGACGTGGCTCAGTGTGGAGGAGTTCAATCCCTAGTACTGGGGGTAGTATGGAAGGCGGTCTCAGCGGGGTTGCTGAGACTATTCCAGCGGTCTGGAATCCCACTCCGACTCTCTTCTCCAGGCCCCGCCCAGCCCTAGGGTTCCGCCCCTTGGATTGCGGCGGAGGCGGGGCGCCGGAGGCTACAGAATGGGAAGAGGCTGGGGAGGGGCCACGGGAGGCTGGAGGCGGTGTGGCTCGGGGGCGGGGCCTGCGGAGTTGGGCTCCGGGGCGGGGCTGTGGGCGGGGCTGGTGGGGCTCGGCGCGGGCCCGCGCGATGCCGGTGTCCGCGGCCCGGGTGGCTGCGGCGGCGGCGGCGAGAGGAGCGGCGGCGGGGGAGGCGGCGGTGGAGGTGGGTTGGCCCGGGCGGCGGACGACGCGGAGGTCGGCAGCGCGCAGCCGGGGCGATGGAGGCGCAAGGCGGCCGCTGCAAGATCGTGGTGGTGGGGGATGCGGAGTGCGGCAAGACGGCGCTGCTGCAGGTGTTCGCCAAGGACGCCTACCCCGGGGTGAGCGGGCCAGGGCGGCGAGGCCGGGCTGGGGCGGCGAGGCCAGGCTGGAGCGGCGGGCACGGGCGAGGGCCGGGGTCCTGCGCGGTCCAGGGGCGGTGGGGCGGGTCCCCACCGGCCCCAGACCAACTTATACAGGGCCGCGGGCTACGTGGGCTCTCACGCCGACCCCGTCCGCAGAGCTACGTCCCCACCGTCTTTGAGAACTACACTGCGAGCTTCGAGATTGACAAGCGCCGCATCGAGCTCAACATGTGGGACACTTCAGGTAGTCCGGACCCCTGGGTCCCCTGGCCTTCATTCCTGCCTCCGCCTGTACTCAGCCGGCCCCGCACATCCATTCCTGTGTAAGGAAATCTGTGTTCTATTGAATGTCGGGGAAACTGAGGCAGGACTGGGCGAGCCTGAGAGACTCCCAAAGGAGAGGGCCTGGTGCCGGGCTTCCCAGGCAGTCAGAGCCGCTGAGGGACAGATACCGGCTTTCTCCCACCGGGTAGAGCTGGAGTCATCTAAGGCCAAGTCCCAGGAGGACGCCAGAGCACTCTCCCTGGCCCACAACTCATTCCTGCAACAGGACAGGGCATGTGTCTTCACACACTTCCCAGAGAGCTTTGCAGGACGCCTGTCAAAGTCCAGTAAGCACACTTAAAATTTCCCGAGGGTCTCAGAGGGTTCCAAGCCTCAGGCTGGCACTGTGATGCACACCTGTAATCCCAGTACTGGGCAAAGAAACAACTCAACAAGACCCTGTCTCAAAATCCAAAAAAAAGAGGTGGCGCTGGGGAGGTAGGTCATTACTGCAACAATAAAGAAAGAAAAAAGTTAAAACTAAAATACAAAAAAAATCAAAACTCATCCAGCCTGGTGGCACATGCCTACAATCCCAGCACTGGTCCACTGTGGTCCCTTGGTCTCTGTCCCCCTGGAGCCACCACCATGGGGGCTGTGTTTTCCCCTCACTGCTGCCTTCACTCAGGTTCCTCTTACTATGACAATGTCCGGCCCCTGGCTTACCCGGACTCAGATGCTGTGCTCATCTGCTTTGACATCAGCCGGCCAGAGACACTGGACAACGTGCTCAAGAAGGTGGGGAACTGGGCGGCCGGCTGTGGTCCAGCGGGAGTGGAGAGGAGGAAGCAATATCTAGGGCAGCGACCTGGGTGATGGGTTTGTTCCTCCTGCTCCACCCCTTTCTGAAAATAACCTGGGAGCAGGACGAGGAAACAAGGAACTGGGCAGGGAGAAACACTGGGGGCAGAAGCCCAGTGGGCCTGCTCCTGGGCTCAGGGGTGCTGGCAGGGGTGCAGGAAGGGGGTTTTCTCCCCAGACCCTGTTTCAGGCAGAGTGGCAGGGAACAGACAGGAGTCGGCTGGGGGGGAGGGGCTGGTTCCCCATCTGGAAGGTGGCCCCTCTGTTCCCAGAACGCCAGGCCTTCCCAGCCCCCTAAAGGCCTCTCCTTGCTGTCTCTGAGGACCCTGGGCTCTCAGCCCACAGCCTCCATGCACACCTCCTGCACTACAGGCTGAGGAAGGGAACCGCCTCGCATCCCCAACCCTGTTTCTCCCCCCAACAGTGGCAAGGGGAGACACAGGAGTTCTGCCCCAACGCCAAGGTGGTGCTAGTTGGCTGTAAACTGGACATGCGGACTGACCTGGCCACCCTGCGGGAGCTGTCCAAGCAGAGGCTCATCCCAGTCACACACGAGCAGGTGGGACCTTAGACCTTTGACCTCTGACCCTCTCCCTGATTTAAAAATTGCTAACAGGGCATGGGGCACACACCTGTGATCCTAGTGCTATAGGAAGCTGAGGCAGGATGGTTGAAATTTCGAGCCAGCCCTAAGCAACTGTAGTGATTCATCAAGATGTGTCTCAAAATTAAAGATAAAAAAGTACTGGGGATGTAGCTCAGGGCAGTGGCCCTGGCTTTAGTCTTCAGTTCTGTAGAAAACAAAAACAAAACCACACTAGCCAGCTCATACTTTTGCTCTGGCCTCTGACCTGATCCTGTGACCCACTCCCTCGGGTGAACCCCAGCCTACTGCCCTGTGGACCCCTTGCTGGGCTGCATCCCAGGCTGCTCACCTCTCAGCTCCTCCCCCAGGGCACTGTGCTGGCCAAGCAGGTGGGTGCCGTATCCTACGTGGAGTGCTCCTCAAGGTCCTCCGAGCGCAGCGTCAGGGATGTCTTCCACGTGGCCACCGTGGCTTCCCTTGGCCATGGCCACCGGCAGCTGCGCCGCGCAGACTCGCGCCGGGGCCTGCAACGATCCACGCCACTGTCGGGCCGGCTGGAGCGGGGCAGCGAAGTCGAGATACACAAGGACCGAGCCAAGAGCTGCAGCCTGATGTGAGGCCCAGAGGGCAGGGTAGGAGGGCACCACTGCTGAGCACAGCCCGGGCCTCACAGGGCTTCCTGAACTCTGACACCAGCCAGAGGACTGGGCCAGCAAGTTCTTTCGGGGTACAGGGGCTGTCCAGATGGCTCGGCCTCTTTATCCTCTCTCTGCTGGGATTTAGGGGAGTTCAGGGTGGGCGTCGTCGTCGGCCCTGGGAAGCTGCGGTCACACAGTGACCCTGCTGCCCCACCACGAAGATCCCCTACCCCTTGTCCCGAATCCTGGCCCTGGCTTTTGTCCCCACGGTGAGTGCCTATCTTGTGAGTTTTGTGTCCCTCTCCTCTCCATCTCTTGCTGTCTGCACAGTTCTAACCTCCAGGCTGGCCAAGCTGGGAGAAGCCCCTGCTACCCCTCACCCCCACCAACTAACCTCCCCTTCCCTTCCGCAACAGTCCCCAAATAAAGCCAAGTCCATGGAAAACAGCCGGGGCTCTAGCTATGTTCCTTTTTTCCAAAACCAGTCTCCCCTCATCTGCCCCAAGAGGGCAGCTAGTCCAGGAGGGACTTCTGGTTCATGGACTTGGAGGGAGCAGGGTGGTAGACACGGTGGAGCAAGGTGACCTTTGGGAGCCAGATTTGGGGGTCCAGCTGACGAGGTGGACAATCCTCGGCATTAGGGGGTCCTGGTACACTCGGCTGGCCCACAACACTGGGACAGATGTTGGAGTCGCCCTTCCACAACTGACTACCCAGGGGGCTGTGGAGACTGAGACATCTCTGAAGCTGACCCCACGTAGACCTGAGTCTCCCCACAGTCAGCCGCTCGCTAGGTACTGGGCTCCCTTCTTCCATTCCGAGCCCGTGGATGGCTGGGGAGCCTTTGCTGTGAGCTGGAATCTGCTTGGCTGCACCCTTGGAGGATGGGAGCTAGGGGCACCCGTGGGGCCCAGGTGTCAGGTGTGCCTGAGTCTGTGCCTGTCCTGGTTTCCATCCCTGGCTCCAGTCCTGCTGGCCTCTTTTCAGGGACATCCTCCCCCGGGAGCCACACCAGGCCTTTCCTGCCCCTTCTCCCAGGCCTTGCCCTCTGTCCCGGATCCCACCTGAGGCACAGCCGCCCACTGCAGCCTGTGTGCCTTGAACTGGCTTGTGCTTAGAGACCCTGGTCCGTCTCCAGCCTGGGGAGGCCGCACCAGCACGGCGGGAAGGTACACGGTATGCAGGTGTTTGGGCAACAGGTGTTCATATCACACCTGGAGAGAGTGCTGAGGGTTGAATTTGCTGGGCAGTTCGGGGTTAGGAAAGCTGCTCTGGGCCAAAGGTCCAGAAGGCGCCAACTCTGGGCTTGAGAATGAACTTCTCCAGTGGAACTGAGAGGTCCATTGAGGCACTGCAGGGCCCAGGAGGGCAAAGGGACCTTATTCTGCGGTAAAGGAGCTGATAGGGACTTTAGGGGTGAGGTGACCAGGTTTGTTGTGTGTGTTTTCTGGTGTTTTTTGAGGCAGGGCCTCACGCTGGTAGTTCAGACTGGATTTCAAGTCACTATATAGCCCAGGCTGGCTATGAACTCCTGGAGACCCTCCTGCCTCAGTCTCCGGAATGCTGAGATCACAGGTGTGTGCTCCACATACCAGTTTCCTCTTCAGTGTGGCTCATTCTGCAGAGAACCTGCTGGAATCTGAGGCCTCCAGATTACAGGGAATTCTGTCCTCCTCTCCCTCCCTCCTTCTACTGGCCCTGTGCTCAGGGAATGCAGACAATCTCAATATCCGGCAAAGCAAAGATAATTAGGACGATAAATCAGCCAGAGGAGTCCCCAAAGTTTAATGTACTGCCATTCCTGCCAGGATAGCTGCTGGCCCTCTCTAAGAGCCCAGCACCAGCAGGAGGCTGGGGAGGGACTGGGCCTGTCCCCACATACCCTGCAGGCTGGGGTGCAGGAGTCACACCCCACTTCCGCTTCACAATTGTGTTTCCCCGACAAATTAGACACTCTTTAGGGAAACAGTATAGCTGTGTTAATCACTGAATGGAATAAACAACTAATCACTTTGTGATCCACCCAGGTTTCTTATCCTATTGCCTTTTGGGAGGAGCCAGAGGCTCTGACCCAGACAGATGGCCCCAGGGACAGAAAGGAGAGAGACGGAGCTCTGGAGACTGGAGGCTTTGGACCCATGTCCAGCCCCGAGCTTCCCAAGCTTCCTCCCTGGGGAGTGTGGCAAAGCCCCACGGCTCTCTGAGGTTCAGTTTTCACGCCTAGAAAAGGGGTTAATCGGCAGAGTGTGGTGGTACACACCTGTCATCCCAGTACTCTGGGAGGCTGAGGCAGGAGGATTGAAAGTCAAAGTCCTTGAGCTGGAGATTTAGCTCAAAGTCAAAGTCCTGCCTGGACAGCTCAGGCACTCTTAGACCGTCTCTCAAAAATAAGTGAAAAAGATCAAGGAGCTCAGTGCAAAGGCCTGGGTTCACTCCCCAATGCTGTGGGAATAAAGGGACTCATCTCCTGCATGGGTCCCCTTGTGTCACTGAGCAGTAAGACATCAGCACCCTCGATATGCAGGGGGTGGGGGCGGGGTCCCCAGAGAGCCTGAGGCCAGCAGGCCGGCTTCGACTGTGGCTGCTTCTTCAGAGGCCTCGGTCCTTCGGTCTCCATCTTTCCAACCCCCCAACACTTTCCTGTAGGAACTGTAGGACCCCATGTTGCCATGGTAATCCATCCCGGCTTCCCAATTCTCCAGTGGGCTGGAGAAGGGAGCTCTGCCCCTCAGTGGTATCTTTAGTGTCCCAGGGGTGATTCAATAGCTCTGCCCCTGCCTGGGAGGAGCGCCCACCCGTCTCAGCAGTGGACTCCAACCCCTCTCCTGTATCTGGCTGGCCTCTCCCTGCTTTCCTGGAGAGTGGGGTGAGGTGGGGGCGCCCTCAGGTCTGCAGGGTGGGGTGAGTCTCAGGAAGCTGCCCCCCAACAAAGCCAAAGGCAAGGGAGCCAGGTACCCTCCCCCAGCCTCTGCTGTTGACTCCTAAATAACAGATGTGTATCTGCATGTAAATGAGGTTGGGTGAATAATGGGGAGCTTTTCACTCAGCAGATGCCCCCTCCCCTCCGCACCCCTCTGCTGGCAGAAAGCAGGTCCTGGCTCCATGGCTTTGACCCCTAAAGGGGAGCAGCGCCTGAGGAGGACGGGGGAGCCTGGGACTGGGCCGGCCAGGGGTCTCTGGGGGGACCCTTGTCTCCCACCCTTTTCTGCAGGTGAGCGGTGGGCGCTTAGGCACTGGCAGGAGTGTTTCAGCAGTGGGGAATGAGAAGATGTCCCTGAGCCTGTCTGTCACCATCTGCCACGTTGGAGGAGGGACTTGGCCCCTCTGAGCCTCAGTGTTTGCCTCCTAGAGCAGGGAACAAGCAAGGTAAAAAGACAAAGCCTGAGGTCCCACAGCTGGGCACACGGCACACACTGGCTCCCTGCTCACCTCGCCCAGAAACAGAGACAGCTGCGTGTTCGGGCCTCTCCTGCTAGACACACTCTGGTTAGGGAATGAGGGAAGTTTAGGGGCTCAGGCCTGAAATCAAAGCACTTAAGAGGCTGAGGCAGGAGGGCTCCAGGCTTTGGAGCAAGACTGTCACACAAAGCCAAAAGCAGCAGCTTAGGAATTATCCTGGCTGCCTGGGAACGAGAAAGTGGTGGCCAGAGCAGAGGAAGAGAATAGATGGACACAGGAGACCAGAGGATGGAAACCCAAGCCCAGAACAGAACCAGGGCACCAGATGGTAAGGGCACCAGAAGCTTCTAGATGCACTGACACTGCCATCAGCTTGCTATTGTGCCTTTGGCCAGTCTCAAGTCCCCTCTTCACACCTTCCCCCCTCCTCTGTCAAACAAGTGGGTCACACACCTGCTTGCAGCACTCTGGGAGGCTGAGGCGGGTGGACTACAATTTAAAAAATAAAAGGTCTGGACTCAGTGGGAAGAATGGGGTTCAATCCCCAGTGCCACAAAAATAAAATGTGTGAGGGGCCTGGTTTGCTCGCCAAGGCCCCACTCCTGTGAAGACAGGAGTCCCCCCTCAGCCCCAGACCCATCCTTCTCCATCACTGACTGACCGATCTGCTGCCAGCAAACAACTGTCCATTGTGCCCTAGGAGGACAAGGGGAGGGTGCCCACTTGTGATGTAAATGAGCAGCACTGGCCCTGCCTGTCCCCATCAGTTGGCAAAAGCCGGCTCAGTTCCCATCTGGCCCTGGACGCCCGGCCCCGACTGGGTGCCTTTGTGTCTCCCTGGTGGCCACACCCTGCCAGGAGCCCAGGGCCAGGCCCCGCTCCCCTCTGCACCCCACAGTGGTTCTGTTTGGTTTTATTTTTTAGGAAACTGGGTGAAATCCTCAGGACACACACACACACAGCCACTGTGGGCATGTGGTTCAGTGGCACATGGGGTCATCACAGGGACAGGCTCTGCCCTTCCCCACAGCTGGAGTTGGCCGGGCTCCAGGAGGCAGGAGGGCACAAGAGGAGCTCTGAGGGGCTGGGGGGGTGCAGCTGGCCCTGGGCAGGCAGGGGAGCGAGGCTTTGGGCCCTGGGTTCAGCGACCAACTTGGCCGTCCACACTTCTCCCCTTCTCATCCTCTGGTGCTGGGTCAGGAGCCAGAGCTCTAGGGCTCTGTAGGCTACGAGATGACCCCACGGTTCTTGGGCTCCTCATTCTGAGGGCTTCAGGGAAGGACGGGCTGCAGGGAGGTGGGCATCCCCACCTCCTGGCCCAGGGAGCAGGAGCAGCTCAGCCCCCAGGCCTTGGTGTCCAGTCCTGCCACGGATCTCTGGGTGATGCTCACTGCCACTGCTCTGTGTGGGTTCCACAGCAGGCATCTGCTCACCTGTGTCGTGTACCCTGGGGTACACCCTTTCACTTCCCCTTGCCTGGGACATGCAGTATAAAACTCCTCTGGAGCTGGTGCCAGCCACTTTCTCATTGCAGAGCAGAGGCTTCCCGGAGCCACAGCCACCGCGCCCAGTGCCTGAGTCCTGGCTCCCCCGGCTCCCTGAGCCAGGGCACTGCTACCTGAAGCCAAGGAACAGGGGCGCCCAGCCTGCCACCCGCTCAGGAAGTGCCAAGGCCAGGCCTTGGTTCTGTCATCTGGAGAGTAGACCAGCAGTCCCTGCCCCAGCCAGGAGCTTCCGTGGCAGCGTGGGTCTGTGTATTTGGAGGCAGGCAGGCAGGAGCACCCCCATTCCCCTCAGTCCCCAACTGGCCGGCAGCCAGGTGGGTGACTTTAGGAGAGGCAAAAGAGAATCCAAGAGGAGATGGAGATGAGAGCGCATTCAGAAGGGGAGACATTCAGACATCCTATATTGTGTTCAGAGTAAGTCGGGGCCCCAAGTGGGCAGGAGGAGGGGGAGGCAATCGGCTCTTGCAGCAGACTTAGGCCAGCGTGGCCCAGTCTGCAATTCCCAGGGCCCGCAGGAGCACCCTTTAGTTCATGTATTTTCGGCAGATGCATAGCAGGTGGTAATGAAGCAGACGCCAGGTGCAAAAAATCCTGTGTCTTTTTTTTTTTTTTTTTTTTTGTCTCCTTTGACACGGTCTCACTATGCAGTTCAGGCTAGCCTGGGACTCACTTGAACCCAGGCTGGCCTGGGACTTGTGGCTATCCTTTCTGTCTCAGTCTCCTGAGTGCTGGGATTCAGGCATGTGCCATGACACCCAGCTTAAAATCCTGATTTCTAATAAAGACAAATGATTCAAACTGCCTGTACAGGATTACAAGGACTTTCTGGTCAACTAGAGAAGATAGACTATGAACACATATAACATCAATTAAAGTATAATAAATAAAGCAGAACTTTTTTTGTGGCACTAGGAAACTGAACTCAAGGTCTTCTGCACTGAGCTACATACCCAGCCCTTCTTACAGATTTGAAAAAAAAACCTTTTTGGGCTGGGGATTTAGCTCAGAGGCCCAAGCACTTGCTTGGTAAAGTGCAAGGTTGTGAGTTTGATCCCCAGTACTGGAAAAAAAAAAAAAAATCTTTTTAAAGACAGGGTCTCTTGCAGGTGCTGGTGGTGTACGCCTGTCACCCAGCACATGGGAGGCTGAGGCAGGAGGCTCACTGGAGTTTCAGGACAGCCTCAGCTACATACTAAGTCCAAGGTCAGCCTGAACTACATAGTGAGACCATGCCTCAAAACAAAACAAAATGAAAGACGTGGCTAGGGCTGTGGCTCAGTGTCCAGGTGCTGGGTTCAAACCCTACTCCTGCAAAAGAAATGGTGACAACTGTGTTGCTCCCCGAGAGGGAGCGGTCCCAGCAGCTGGGCTCTTGCTCCCCTTTCCTCCCCGTTTAGCCATGGCCTCCCACAGCCCCCCGCGTGGCCGTCCATGTCTGTGCCCAACCCTTAGGGCTTTGGGCCTTACATAGAGCCCTCTCTTCCCTTGTCAATAGAGATAAATTACAAAGCCATTTGTTTATTTGTTCTGTTACCTGAGGGCTGACTGGAACGGCCTGGTTTCTGTCAGAATTTGCTATTGCTATGCAGGAGTCAGAGCAGCAGCTGGGCTTTCACTGCAATTTAAATATTAATAAACCTGAAGCTGGGTCGGGCTTCTCAACCAGCAGCCCTCCTGCTCACAGGATGCTATATAATTTAATCTTTGTCCTTGGCTTGGCGCAAGGGAGCAGTCCTGCAACCTCAGAGATAAGAACTCTGGAGAGGGGCTGGGGATTTAGCTCAGGGGCATAAGCGCCTGCCTTGCAAGCAGGCAGTCGTGAGTTCGAGCCCTGGTACAGATAAAAACAAAAAAGACCAAAAAAAAACCAAAACCCTGGAGAACTGCTTTTGGATCCCCAGACTGGAGACACCTTGATCCCAGCTCTGAGGGGTGCCTGGGCCCTGGCTCCCACTCCGAGATCTCCAGCTGGACTGTTTTGAGAACCACTGTGTTAAACTGGAATGGAGATCTTCAAAGTTCCCAGTCCAAAGCTGGGTATGGTGGCACACTTTGGTAACCCCAGCACATAGGCTGAAGCAGGAGGGTCTTGAATCTGAAGTCAGCCTGGGCTATAAATCAAGACCCTTACAGAATCCTGAACACAAGAACGCAGAAACCCAAAGTTCTCACTCCCCAGCCTCCAGGTTGAGGTCTCCCCAGCCTCAATCCAACCAGTGCTTAGGTTTGCCTGACCCTCAGGAAATTTAGGACCAGCTCCATCTATACCTCCCCAGTCCCTGAGCCCACAGAAGCCAGGTGTTCCCAGCTCTCCTCCATTGCCCAGAGCCAATCTATTTCTTTAATTTCCTCTTGGTTCCGGGTAGGTTTCGGGCTGCTTGCAGGAGCTGAGCACCCTGAAGTACAGCGCTGCTGAGGACCATGCCCTCTGGATGCAGGTCCCATGCCTGCCATCCCATCTCCTCTGTGCAGGAGTCAGGGCTGCACCCTGGGCCAGCTCCTCCTCCTCTCCCAGGCACCGCCCACCTGTCCCAGCTTTCCAAGCACTTTGTTTCGCTGTGGTGGCCTGGTGTCGGGAGACAAACTGCAGCCCTCCACAACTGCCCTTCTTAGTGCAGGTCACTTTGGGAAAGGAGAAGCCTGGCCTTGCAGTTCCCAGGGCTGCTGGGGGGTCTCCGGTGGGAAGGTGCAGCGACACACCCCCAGGTGGGGGGGCAGAGGGGACCCAGAAGACAGGCACCTCCCAGAAACCTTATGCAGGGCTTGGGCTGGGAGACTGAGGGAGTCATGCGTACCTTCTGGTCTCACTGCAGAGCTGGCAGTGGCACCGGGGCCTGACAGCAGGACCCCAGACCTTTCACTGCCAGCCTGAGACAAGGTTTCCTACATTGTCCCGGCTGGCCTGGATCCTCTTGCTTCAAGCCTCCTGAGAACCTGTAACCATAGGAAGGCTTCCAAACACCTACTTATTATTTTTTAAAAAAATCCTTTTTTAGGCTAGGCGTGGTAGTGCATGCCTATAATCTCAGCACTGAGGAGGCTGAGGCAGGAGGATTGCTTCAAGCTCGAGGCCAGCCTGAACTGCATAGTGAAATCCTGTCTCAAATACTTTTTTTTTTAAAAAAAAGCCCTTGTTATTTTGAGACTGGGTCTTGCTATGTCACCTAGGCTTGGCTTGAACTTGTGTGATCCTCCTCCCTCGGCCTCCCAGCATGCTGAGATCCCAGGCTGTGGTGTGGGATCCGTGCCTAGCTGAGCTATGGAAACTCACACAGAATCTTTACCAATGAGGAAGTTGAGAGTCAGGGGCCACTTTTCATACAAGGTAATGAAAGCCCCCTTTCTAGGGATGGGGGAAGACAGGTAAAACACAAGCCTGACAGTGCTGGGTGCAGCGGAGGAGGCTCCCCTCTGAGTGGTGCTGGCCCAGGAGGGCTGTGTGGGCGGTGCCTGGGGCCTGGCCCAACACTAACCCGGATAGGGCTGGGAAGGGACCGGTGGCCGGAACCAAGGGTCCACGGACAGTGGGTGAACCCAAGCCCTCAGACACGGACCCAGCTCCACACATGGCCCTGCCCAGACCCCAGGGTGCAGCAGAGCCTCAGCTGTGCCCTGCGCACTCAACACTAGCAGCCACAGAGTCTCACCAGCCCGACCTGGACCCCTGCACCTGGAATGGAATGAGAAGCTACAGCTACATCTGTGGCTCTGGGACAAAGACTGGCAAATGGAGCTGCTGTTTCGGCTGTCTCTCACCCTGTGGGAGATGGGGCCACACCCTGTGTCATGGATGAGGTGGATGATTAAAAAGGGGCTGGGCTAGCGTGACAGGAAGGCCTGGTTCAGCCCCAGTGCCATAAAGAAAAGAGGTAAAAAAGCCTTCAGGGCTGAGTCCCACCAACAGCCATTCTTAGCGAGGTGGGATGGGGTGGCCCTGGAATCTAGGCCGCAGGATGCTGAGGCAGGAGGACTACCTGGAAGACAGAGCAGGAATAAATGACACGGTGCGACCTGTCTCAAAAAACAGAAACAAGAGTCATTCTTGGTTGCAGTGTCTGCTACCAAGTTTATTCGCAGAGTTAACAACACAGCATTTACACACGTTTTGCACCTTCAGGTCCGGGCTGTGCACCAGAACTATGAAGGACCCAATGTGTTCCATAGCCAGGACCAGTCCTGGGTAGTTTATGAAAACCTCCTTTTCCTTCAGCAAAATTGTTTATGGAGCTGTAGCACTCAGCAAGGGGGAAGGAACTACCTCAGGGAGCTCCAGCCCCTCCCGGGCTCACCCCTCGGCCCTGGTACACCTGCTCCTGGCACCACAGGTGAAGGCTAGCAGACATGGGGATTGCAGACCACTCTGGACACTGGTGCCAAGGTGGGAGGTGTTGGACAGCTCCTGCATCAGATTCCAAGATCCCTAACTACCTGAGCCCCACATTCAGTTCTGTGCCTTATCTCCCCAAGGCTTCACTTCCACATCTGCCTCAGCTTCAGGCCCCATTACAGGTCCCAGCGGCTCTGCCTCAGCCGAGGACAATGAAGGAACCTGCCTCCTGCACATCGGCAGGCTTAGCCAGAAATCACACAGCTCTGCAGAGCCCAAAGGCAACCCTGAGCGGGAAACCTGGGGGCCCAAGCCCTTCCCAGGCTTTTCTGCACAGAAGCTGTGTGGACACAGGACTGCAGAAGGAATATAGGGCACTCCCAGCCTGTGGAGCCCCACCCGCCCATTCCTCAGTCCAGGGAAACCCGGAGCCTTTGCACTGACCTGCACCCTGGCCCCTGCCTTTTTTTAAAAAAATTTTTAATTTTTTTATTTTTCCCTTTTATTTTTTGACAGTGTCTTGCTGAGTTGCCTGGATACTTGCAATCCTCCTGCCTCAGCCTCACAGACAGGTCTGGGATGACAGGCACGCAACACAACACTGTGCCTGGACAAGGCTGCTTCTGACGTGCGTTCTCCGGGTCCTGTGGCCCAGGCCTGCGGGTGGCTGCAGTCAGCGGGGTCTGTGAGGGCCATGTGGAATGAGATAGGCAGCCAGCTCCTGGCACTGGTAGAGGGCCACGCTGTCCAGCACCCACTCTCTGGTCACCACAGGTACCTGGCACAGCTGGCCTAGGGCTGGGGACAGACACAGGGATGTCAGCACTGATGTGACTCCCTCTGGGGAGCCCCAGTGTTGCCCCAGAAAGCTGAGGGCAACGCCTGATGGGAGCCCAGCCTTTGGCAGCAGGGTCAGCACTGCACGGCAAGGATATGGGAAACATCCTCAGGGGACAGTGACAGTGGCATTCAGACCCGGAAAACACACATGCGTGGGGAGCCTGCTAGTGACCAGCTGCACATCAGGGATGGTTGTAGTCTTCTTTGTTTTGGGGGACTCTGACTGTTACCCAGGTCAGCCTTGAACTTACAATCCCCCTGACTAGCCTCCTGAGCCAGCCCATGTAGCGAGCTACACTGTATTTCCTGTGGGGAATATTTGTATTTAACCCCAGTTAGCCTCACACACCAGCTGCACTGCTGCACACCCGCAGCCTCAGCTTTTCAGAAGGCTGAAAAGGAAGACCTCCTGCACTCAGGACTTTGAGGCCAGTTCAGGCAATTCGATGAAACCACATCTCAGACCAAATCTAGAACTAGCCAGACACAGCGGCACACACCTATCACCCCAGGACTTGGGAGGCTGAGGCAGGGGGACTGCCGGGAGTTCAAGGCCAGTCTAGTATACAATAGCGAGTTCAAGGCCAGCTTGAACTGCATAGTGAGACCCTGTCGCAAAAACACAAGGTGAGGATGGAACCAAAACTAAAACTGAAGCTGCCATGCCATGTAAAAAGGACCTCGAGCAGAGAGTCCCTGGCTCAAGAACAAGCCCCATTCTGGGTAGACTGTGAGGCAGACCTGCCCGAACCTGAGAGTGAGTCTTATGCATCCCCGGAAGTGTACACTCAGGTGCTAGGGAGTCAGGGACCTACTATCTTACTCTTATAACCCAGAACAAAATATGCTGAGGCGGTTCGGTCACTCTCTGAACCAACACAGCCTTCCAAGGCACCAGGATGGTGCCGCTCAGCTGCACCCCTGGAGAGCCCTTACCCGGGAAGCTGCCATCCTCTGTCCAGGCGTCCGGCTGCGTGACCACAATGGAGCGAGCTGCCTGCAGCAGGAGGGAAAGGGCACAGCATATCAGGGCACGACTCCGGCGTGCTCATCATGCTGAGCAGGGACACCTCCAAGAGGGGGTTCACACCGGGCTCCACCCCCCATCTGGAGGGGCCATGGTGGCACCGCACAGGGTGCGCTGGCCCTCATTCACCAGGGCCTCACACTTACGGTGCCGAGAGGCAGCAACGACAGCTCCTTGACCACAGTTGCCCCGCACAGCTGCAGCATCCACTCAAGCTGATCTGCAGGGTGACAGCCAGGCCTCTATCATGGTGACTCGGGAATGCACACTCCCAACCCCACCCCTTGGGGACAGAGGTGTCTCGGCCAGTGGCCACTGAGGCACTGTGCTCAGGACTGTCGCCAGACAGCGGCCGGGTTGGGGAAGCTTTAGTCTTTCACATCAGAGGTTCCCAAGGGGAAAGCCCCAAGGTCCCATTCCCGCTAACTGATAAACCGCCACGTAAGATGCTGCGTGCTAACCCTGGCTGGCACTGCAGGGCAGTCGTGACAGATGCCATGAAAGAGGGCAATTCAGGCATCAGAGAGAAACAGGCAGCCTGGTCAGGGCCTTGGTGCTGTGGAGGGTAAAGGCCACAGGTTGAACTGGATTCCGTACCACAGAAGAAATTCAGGTCTGCAAGTCAGGCACGGTGGTAGCCACCCTGAATTCTTGCTACTGAGAGGCTGAAGCAGGAGGATTGCAAGCTTGAGCCCAGCAAATTAGCACACCCTATCTCGAAGAGCTGGGGATGTGCCCTGGAGAGGGAACAGGAGGTAAGGGAGAGGAGGAGAGCAGGAAAGGATGGAAGGAGAAGACCATAACCCTGCAGGGCTGTCCCTTTTGCACCTGAAGAAGCCGCACCTCGGCTTGTTGCTAGAAACCACCGAGGAGCTCCCAGTTCTTTTTGTTTTTGATTTTTGAGCCAAGGTCTCATTACACAGCTCAGGATGGTGTTGAACTCACACAACCCTCCTGCCTCAGCCTCCCGAGGGCTAGGATTACAGGCATGTGTCACCATGTCTGGCTCCTAACTGACCAAACTAAGGTTCACTAACACCTCCAAAAGACGAGAAATGCAGTTTTTCTCTGCATGGCACAAAAGCATGGAGAAACTGTGCAGTAGCTCTTGGAAATCCCAATCCATTGAGGGAGGAAGCCGAACTCTGTGGCCAGGCCTTGTGCTACACCCACTAGCCAGCAGTGTCCTCAGTTGCCAAGGCTTACCGGGGGTGAGGACCCGAGGACCCGAGGACTCTCCGAGCAAAAACTGTGTGACAGGGCTGCGCCCCACGCCCAGCCTGCCTGCCCTTGAGAAGGGTGCAAGGCTGGAGGACACCCAGGCATCATCTGGGGGGTGGTGGTGGAAAACCCCGGACACCAACCACCCAGAGCCCATACCTGTGGGCATGTTGGTGAAGGGCCCATAGCAGTAGACATCCAGGCCTCTGAAGATCTGGTGAGGACAGAGGGACAGGGACAGACAGCAGCCGTTAAATTATGACAGGGAGACTTGGGAAAGATGGTTTCCTCCCCAACACCCGCTCTGTCCTGGGGAACGTTGGCCCAGTGTAAGAAGGCTTTTTATCACCCCAGGGCCGAGTGCCTTGTCCTGTCGCCCAGCCAGCCCAGGCTCCTCTGAGATCACCTTCACAGGTGACTTTGCCTTGTCAGAAATGAGAGGGGAGGCTGGGGATTTAGCTTAGCAGTTTAAGTGCCTGCCTGGCAAGCATAAGGTCATGAGTTCGATTCCCAGTATCAAAAAAAAAAAGAGACGAGAGGGGACAGTCATGGCCTGCTCAGTTCTGGAGAGGTCAGAATGGCAGCAAAGCCGTGCCCTTGGGCTCTGGCAGTCTTGCCCTCTGCCACCTGGGGACGCCTAGGGCAGGCTTCACAGCTAAGTCTGGAAGTCAAGGAGTTTCTGATGACACGGCTGGGTGACTTCTGTCTCCAGGGCTGGCAGCGCAGCTGGACAGGCTCTAGACCTGCCAGGCACTGGAATCGTGGGTGCATCGAGGAGCCCAGCTTCCCATCCACTTGAGTCTCTACACTGTGTAATGTGGCCAGGCAGCTGGACAGCACCCAAGTTTGCGCACAGCCCAGGCAGGTTCTTGGCATTGCAAGCATGGTGACCACCCAGCATGGTGCTGTCTTGTATTTTCCTTAGAGTAGCTGGGACCTAGGGCAAGTGGACAACTCTTCCCTTAGGGTCCTGGGTAGCTCTTGTGGGCTGCACCTGCTGCCTCCCCACTCCACTGAAAGGAGAAGTGCCTGTGCTGGGGACCGAGTTGGCCTCTAAGAAACAGGACAGGAGGTGATGTCCAGACTGGAAGCAATGACCTCCTGGACAAACATGTTCACATGCCCCATCCAGCCAGGACAGAGAAAGGACAGCAGGCCACCATCTCCGTCTTCAAGTGACAGCTCGCATCGGTGTCCCCCATGACCCCCGCCAGGCTCTGCAGGCAGTCACACAAGGCCCTGCCCTGCTGAGGGCATACAGCCACGGCCATGGAATTGCCGCTCACCCTCAACACTGTGGTGACAAGTGCTGTCCTCAGAATGTCACTCCAGTCCAGGTCCTTTCTGCCACTGCCAGCTGGCATGAAGCAAGAAGCCCAGAGTGCCTTTCCAAGTGCTGCGCGAGGCAATGAAGAGCATGGCTAACCCAGGGCTGGGGCTCCAGCCTTGGCTTGAGGCCCCTCCCAGAGTAGCTTTCTGGCCAGCATGGCAGCAGCACTCAGGAGGCTGAGGCAGAGGATCATGCAAGTTCAATCCTCCAGCTGGGCAGCATAGCAAGACCCTGACTCAAAAAACCAAATCAAACCAAACAAAACCCCCAAAATAAACAAGAGTGATGAACCGAAGCTGGTCTCTGTCAAGCTTCTGTGAGGCCAGGAGGCACTCAGTGGGAGGTGCCAAAGTGCCAAAGTGCCAACTACGCACACATGTGAAAATGCAGAATGGGAGCCGAGCTCAGCCAGAGCAGGTGCGGGCAACTGTGTGCTCTACACTGCCTTGTGTAACTTTCTCAGACACCATGGTATTAAGTTTCAGCCCCGGGGCTGGGGATTTAGCTCAGCAGCATAAGCGCCTGCCTTGCAAGCAGACAGTCGTGAGTTCGATCCCTGGTACCGATAAAAACGAAAAAGGCAAAAAAAAAAAAAAAAGAAAAGAAAAGTTTCAGCCCCGAGGAAGCTGGCTAGGCTCAACTCTTGCTTCCACTACTTACCCCCTGTGTGACCCTGGGCACTACACTCACTCTCTATGAATCTCACAGTTCTCATAAAACAGGGAACAACAAACCAGGCATGGAGGCGCCTTCCTGAGTCCCAGCACTCAGGAGGCTGAAGCAGGAGGGCCGCAGTCCAAGACCACCAGCCTGACAGGCACAACACACCACACTTAATAGACCTGTAAGGCAGTTACAGCATTGCCAATTGCTGACAGCACTCACAGCAAACACTGTATAAACAAATGTTAGCTGTGGGCTTGGACCCAGAGCCTTGCACACACTGCCACCTGGGTGTACCCTCAGCTCCCCCTTACTGTGCTGAGTTCAAGGCTTGTTAACTCGGCCAAGCTGGTCTCAAGCTCTTGGGCCTCCTGGCTCCCTACCAAGGAGCTGGGCACAGACTACACCTCACTCTGTTCTGCGGTTCTCCACAGCTGTGTGCTGGATGCTGGGCCCACCCCCGATTAATCCCAGTTCTGCCGCCTCCCAGCCAAGTCTAAATCCCATGCTGGACCCCGAGTCACACAGCCTCCTCGGCCCCCACGCTGCTCACCTGCCTGTCCTGGGACTCCCTTGCACGCCTTGGACCTTGATGGCTCCTTCCGTTGATCACGTCTCCTCTGACTTCGAAGTCATGCTGCAAGAGACCCAGGCCAAAGCTTGTGGTCAGCACTAAGCAGCGGCCAGCGGGGCAGCAGGGCCAATGTGTGGGTCCATGACTGACTGGGCGTGTACAAACACAGGACCTCCTTGCTTGGGGTCTGGGTGGGCAGATAGGAGACAGCCACAGGATCTCTGCATGCAGGAACCCACTGGCTTGGCGCCCGGGGCCAGTGTGGCCGGACCTGTAGCACCTGTTGTTCCCTTCAAAGAGACCAGTGCTGTGTGGGCAAGGACAGAACCTGGCACCCCGCCTTACATCACCCTGTACTGCCCGCTGAGGGAGGAAGGGCTTTCCAGGTTTCCATGGTTTAGAAAGGTAATGAAGCCCAAATAAGCAAAAATGCAGCCGTGCACACAATAGGGGCTCTTCCTGTCGCCATGCGGGCCAGGGAGGAACAGAGAATGAAGACCAGGGCTGGGGGCTCAGACTTCAGGGGGGCATGGGAAAGGCTCTGGAAGGAGTTTCACTGAAACTCAGCTGCAGGGAAACTTGAGCACTGCTAAGCGTACTATAAAGAAAAATGAAGTCCATGACCGCCAGCTGTGACACCTCAGTGGGTACACAGAAGGCAAGTTCAGTGACACACCTGCTGCCCATGAGAGAGGACTGCCAGGTCCATGGCCCTGTCACCCTCCAATTCTAAAGCATCTCCTGCCTATTTTACCTGCCTGAGTGTACAGCAGAAACCATAGCACCAGGAAAGAGCTTCTGGCCCTCTGATTCCCTTTGCCCCATTTACTGTTCCTGACCTCCGCTGTGCCTCGCAGGCACAAACCAAAGACTACCCAGCCTCCCCCACCCCCGGGCCAGCATTGGGGAGGCTGCCTCCGCACACAGCCTGACCACTGTTTCTAAGCCTCGTTCTTCCCCAGGACCCTAGGGATACAGCGATTCCTCACCCTGGCTTCCAAGCCTTCTTCCCTGTGCCCCTCTCCCACCCCACCCCGCTCATAACTAATTCCTGCTCCCCAGCAGGACCAGCCTGGCTTTTTTTTCCTTTTTTCGGTACCAGGGATCAAACTCATGGCTTCATGCTTGCCAGGCAGGTGTTGGGCTGCTGAGCTATGAGCTACATCCCTGTCCAGGACTGACACTTTTAATAAGCCAAGCCCACTTCTCAAGACCTTTATACCTGGTTTTTCCTCCCTGACCCCCCCTACCTGGGGTTAAACCCTGCAGGTTTCTGTAGCTGCATCCTGAGGCCTTTCCGTTCACTTTTTTTTTTCCTTCTCTTTCTTTCCTTTTACTTTTGTTCTTTCTGAGACAGGGTCTTGCTGTGCAGTTCAGACTAGCCTTGAACTCACTTTTTTTTTTTAACACTGGCTGGTCTGGAATTTGCAAGGATCCTCCTGCCTCAACCTCTGAGTGCAGGGGTGACAGATGTGAAGCCCCCTCGCCTGGCACCAGTTTTCTTTTTAAAACAGAGTCTCGCAGAGTCATTAGGTTGCCTGGCCTGGATATGAACTTGTAACTCTTCTGCCTCAGCCTCCCAGGGTGCTGGGGTCACAGGTGTGCATGGTCCCATGGTGTTGCTCTCTGCATTTTACAGGAAATGTTTTCACAGCATCAAGGTCTCAGCTCAACCTCTCTACACCACCCTCCCCAGCATGCCTGTCGAAAGGGCCCTGCCATGGCCTGGCCTGCAAGCCTGCTGGCCTAGGCAGCCTTTGCTGGTGGTGAACCCTCCCCTCCATCCCTGATCCATGCCTCGGCTGGCACCACCCATCTGATCACCACTGTGCTCCTAGGGCCTGGAACACAGTGAGCCATCGCCACACAGGCACCAAAAGCAGCACAGAACCGTTTAACACTGCTTCTCCCATTTTCTTTGGCCTGATCTATTGTCATCAGCAGCTCGTGGCTGTTCTAAAATTATTCCCCTCCCCCACCTCATCCTATTTTACCTCTGGGAGCTTGGCACCATGAAGAGCTATGACTCTGGAGGAACCCCATTTCAAAAGGCAGGGCCCTGGCCTGGAGGACGCAGTCAACCCCTTTCCTACAGGGTTTCCACACCTTTAAGGTCTGTGGTCCCTGTGAGCACCACCTCCAAAAGGACAGCTTCTTGGGAAACCCAGAACCAAGGAGCTGCTGTTGGGAGAGTCTGCAGTGGTAGCCATGCTTTGGCAGAGGGAGCAGTGCAGTGTGACAGCCTCCTCCGAGCAGCGCTGCTGTACCCACCTCATCCAGTACCCTGCCCGCCTTCATCGACTGGGTCACCCCTGCAGAGAGCACAGAAGACACAGTCACCGAGGAGACAGTGTGGCCACACCCAAGAGCAGCGGGCTGTGCTGGGCCTGGGAGGTGAGGAGCCGCCCAGAGGCAGAAATGCAGAGGTTGTGATGTTGCCCCCACTGCCCCGCCCCGAAAGCACTGCAGGACAGGTTATTTTCTGTGAGTTAGTAAAGAACCCATTTCCCCAACCTTGCCAGCTTATCGGGAGGGAACAACTAGATGTGTGCTGAAGATACAGCCAGCTCTGTGTCACCACTAAAGACCTCTGGGTAATTTAGACTCAGCATTAGCAAAAAGCTGAGGTACTGGTGGGAGGGGAACACTGTACCACCACTTACAGAGATAGCTAACCACCCATCTTCCTCCCGCGATGCCCAGGAAGTACTTCAGCGTCCGCTTGCACACAAGGTCGGTGTCTGTGGGGCGAAGGACACCAGAGGATGTGAGAGACCCGAGCAGGACGGTGCTGCTTGGAGAGCCAGAGCACCTCAGTATTGCAGTGGACCAAGAGGTACGGCCCGGGACCTCTGGAACCCAGCGGGGAGGGGGCTCGGTCATGGGGTTGGTCCACACCGAAGTAGGCAGGCTGAGTACCGGGGGCTGGGATGCCTGCTCTGCTAGCTGCTAACAGGCAACAGAACTCCGAGCTAAGTGCTGGGCCGGAACCATCACTGTGATCAGCCTCCTTGCAGACTCCCACCCCCTGCTTGGTCCCACAAACAGGTGCAGCAGGTGCAGGTGCAGAACCCCTTCCATTTGTGTCCCAGAGTTTCCAGGGCCCTCAGAAGAGCTGGCGGGTCCCACAGAAGGGCCCGCACTGCCCTGCACCTCGGCAGCAGGCACTGTGGCGGGGACTCAGCTACAACACCCTTGACACGGTGTTGAGCTCTTTGTGCAGCCACAACGAAAGCCAATTGCATGAGACACTTTGAACTGGGAAACTACAGCTAACTCAGTTCAGAAGTGGTGAGCGCTGCGTTGCCTGTTTGAAGACTCAACTGCCTTAGGGCTGATCCACATTTTAAAGCTTTCTTTTCACCTTTCAACAGCTTTGATTCAAACCTGGAACTTGAAATCGTTTCATCTTCCATGACATTTGCTCTACAATAACTGGTTTTTTGTGTCCCTCGCTCTGCCACCTGGTGCCAGGAGTGCCACCCTCTGACCCCGCAGAGGCCTAGAGCTGAGGCCACAGGTAGAGCTTGGGGCGCCACAGCAGGCCAGGTATGACTTGGGGGTTGCACTCACCTGTCTTCATGACCACGTGCGTGGTCTCTTCAGTGACCGCACTGGTCAGTGCCATGCAGTGTTTCCTAGCAAACTTCTGCACCAGCATCTGAAACAAACCCAAAGTTGTGTTCCAATAGACGAAGCGGGCAGCAGTAGATGGGCACCCACAGCAGCTGCTTGTTGTCACCGCAGGCTCTGAAGGGGTCCCCATCGCTGGCCGGAGTGGAGCCACCCTCACTTTGGATCTCCAACTCTCTCAGAAAGGGTACTTTCTGAAGGGAGACTGTCCTGAAGTCTCAAAATGAATAATTTAAGACTGATGCCGAATTGGAGAAAGACATCCTAATACATTGGGTACAGGGCTGGAAGACATGGTCACAGACCCCAAGTGCTCACTCCATCTTTAACAGCAATTTTGGTTCACCCTAGACGGTCTCTTTGTGGAGCCACGCTCCACTGTAACTCAGGCTTTTCAGCCTACATTCAGGAACTGGGAGACAACTTGTCTGCAGAGAACCTTAATGCTGAAAGGAAAAGAGTATTATGTGCCTTAAAACCAAGATTCGACTCTCAGTGACACAACACTCCAGTTAAGATGCCTTGACAGCCTGGTCAAAGCTGTTGACTGTGTCCTAAGGATTGGGGCTGGAAGAGACTCACACTCCCCAGTCATTAGTTACATCTATCAGACAAATAAAAACCGTAGGCGACAAAGAATTGAGCCAGGTTCCTTAGGGGCAGGGCCAGGGACTGGTGGCTGCGGTTTGTGGGGAGCGCTGTCCTCGGGGCCGCAGTGTCCACACCCTCCACTGGCCACCCAGCCACAAGGCCTGGAGAAAGGCAGGCTGAAGGTGCCACTGCCCTCAGCGGGGTCATCAGTGACTGAGCAGTAACTGCTGAATCTCAGCAGGGAAAGTGCACAGTGGGAGCCTCCGCCGCCGCCATCATAAACCATAAGTAAACCTCTGCAGGCCTGGAAGCAGCCCCAGGCTTCCTGTGCCTACTGACAGGCCACACGCAGCCCAGGCTGCAGCTCAGGGTGGCCCAAGACAAGAAGGGCCCTGGAGAGCTGGGCTCCACCAGCCAGGTGCACTGACACCGCGGTCACCTTCTCAGGTCTCCTGTCCGGCAACAGAGAAGGCGACGTGAAACCACAGCCCAGGGCAGGCTGGCAGCAGCAGGGCTTAGGGCCCTGAAGGGCGCTGCCTTTGGGTAGGTGGGTGGCAGCCACTAATGAATCTCCTGCAGTCTGGTGGCACCCTTTTAGGGTAGCGCAGGCTGCTGCCAGTCTGGTTTGGTTAGGTTTGATCCAGGCCGTTCAGATCTGGTCTGGGTGAGCGGAGCCCCACCATGGGGACCACAAGTAGCCGTGCTGGTTTCTCAGGATGGGCAGCACCCAAACGCAGCCAGACCATGGGTGCACAGGCTCTATCAGCTGTCAGTCACCATGCCAACGCTTTCACTCTGCCTCACCACATTCCAAATGAAATGTGCAATCCTTTCCAGAAGTTTCCAGAGGGTGCCTCTTCAGCAGCCCTCCCGTTCCCTCAATAAAAAGGTTTTTTTCTCTCCTCTTCTCCCTCATACCACAGAAGACTGAACAGGCTTCGTGGTTTTTTGGGGGGACAGGGTCTCGATATGCAATTCAGGCTGGCCTTGAGCTCACTTTGTAGCCCAGGTTGGGCTTGAACTTGAAATGATCCTCCTGCCTCAGCCTTCCGAGTGCTGGGATTATAGATGTGCACCCGCACACCTGACTTGGCTTCATTCAGTGCTGTTAATTTGGGTGTTCTCTACACTGAGAAACAATGCTCCTTCTGAGGGGCCCAAGGCTGCAGGGCAGTGACGACAGGGCTACTATGAGCAGCTGTCTTGCAGCCAGGACAAAGCCAAACACACTGAGAGAGGCCACCGCCTAGCAGCAGGCCTGGGAGCAGCCAAGTTTAGCCGCACACACGTAGGCACCCAGTCTGACGTGGCTTCAGTTGGGAAGATGCCCTCCCTCAGGGGAAGCCCCCACTCAGGCGCACAGTGCGGAGAGCAAAGATTCTAACTCTAATTTGAGAGCTTCGTGCCCTATGCCAAAGCACCTATCTTCTGCTACTATTAATCTCAAGCAAATATATTAAAAAACCAGTCCTAAGCTTTACTTAGATGTGAATTTTCAAAAATTAGGAATGGAAATGAAATCAAATGAGACAGTTGTGCTTACTTCCTAGATTTCTTGCTACGGGGACCTGTCCTGGGTATTTCCAGAAACCTGTCTATGGCCACTGTGGAGCTGCATGCGACACACTCACCGACTCCCTGGCACTCAGGCCTGATACCACCAGGGACACTCTCCTGGGGACCAGTCCAGTGCTCACGTCTTCTTCCCTTGAGGCTCCCCCGGCAGGGTCAGGGGCCTGAACAGCAGCTGGGCTCCAAGCAACCTGGCCCTGGAATAATTTCCATGCCAAGGGAGCTCCATCTTTGGCGGATGTGGGTTCAGGGCTGTCTGGGAAGAGGCTGGTTCCGGATTCCAGGTCAGAGGTGCCCACTGTAGGAAACAGGAGAGGTTCAACTGACATGACAGGGACTCTGCAATGAGCAGGCGCTAGTCTCTGCTAAGAATGAAAGAGAAGCATGAAACGAGGATGAGAGAAGAAATGGGTACATGAATCCATGGTGGCAGTGGTAAGGGGACTGACATCTCCTAAAGGACGTATGGTTTCACAAGACAAAAGCCACAATGTGTTTTTGCTTTCAGTCCACATTTCAGAAATGCAGCCTCAGGCCAGGCATAGTGGTGTAGACCTGTAATCCCAGCATTCAAGAGGCTGACGCAGCAGAATCACAAGTTCCAAACATAGCAAGACCCTGCCTCAAAACAAAAACAAAGCAATGCAGCCTAAGGAAATAACGCAAAAGCTTAATCATATGTGGACTGAAATGGTATTTACAATAGTGTGATTTAGAAATGACCTAATTGTCCAATATGATTAAATACCAAACATCTATTTTTTTTTTTTTTTTGGAGTCAGGTTCTTGCTCTGTAGCCCAGGCTGGCTTCAAACTCACAGTGCTCCTCCTGCCTCAGCCTCCCCAGTGTGGGGGTAACAGGCGTCCGCCACTGTGCCTCAGCTAACCCTCACTTTTAATTTCCTGTAAAGTAGAAAATACTGAAAATTATAACTATTTTTGTCACTACTGATGACATCACCATCACCTTCTCTGACTCATGAACCAGCAGATGTGACCGTCAAAGTAAGAGCAGCAGGGACATTCTCAGGACATGCCACTGCACTAGGGGTGAAAGTACTGAGCAGGAGGCACAGATTCCCAGAACGACCCGGATGAAAGCAGCCAAACAGCACCCTCAATGCCAAAGAGCACCTTTTATGATAGGAAGGTTCTGAGGATTAATTAAAAAGTTACTTTCCTGATTAAGCTAGATGTGTAAGCAAGCACAGTGGCACATGCCTGTCATCCCAGCACTAGGTAAGCTAAGGAGGACATTACTAGCCTGGGTTGCAAAGTGAGCTCATGGGTGGCCTGAACTGCATAGGGAGACCCTGTCTCAAAAAGAGAACATCTATGGTCGTACTGCCCTGAATGTGCACGGTCTCCTCAAAAAGTCTGATTTACAAGTCATAAAATATGCCATTTGTCAGAAGTGACTTAGGAGGTATAAAATACAGTAACTTTACTGAAGATATGGATTTACTTTGGAACTGACTCCTTTTTCAACAAATGACAGGCCTAAAACTTTATTCTAGGGCTTCAAACACTTTTCTTAACAGTTGAAGTACAACATTTAGAACATAGCAAAGCTTTCCCAAAACAGAGAAACATGAAGAGCTGTAACAATTTTCAAGGAAACTTAGATGGACACTCAAGTTTTTGGTTTTTTGTTTTAAGACAGTCTCACTATGTAGCACATGCAGGGCACAAACTCACAGGGATCTTCCTGTCTCAGCCTCCAAAGTACCCGGCAACATTCAAAAGTTTTAAAACACAGGCTTAAATATAACAGAAGCACCCACAACAGAGCTGTCCACTGGAAGCTGAGGAACAGATTATCTTAGTGAACTTGTGGCAGAATAAAAGCCAATTTTCTGTTAGAGGGAACAGTACCTGGCTTCTGACGTGGCAGACATGCTGGTGCCATTGGACTGTGCGGCCCCAACACTCCCAGTCCCTCCTCAACACACACAGCCTCAGCCAGCTGCTCCGGAGCCGGGCGGCCTCTGTCCTGCAGCCTCCTGGGCTGGCTGCGCACAGACCACCTGCCATTGGCCACGGAAGACCCGGGAGGGGATGCCCTGGAGAGCCAAGGGGAGGGACACTGTCACCACCTGCCAGAAAATGACCTACACCCTGCTCCAGGGCAAGGCATTCAGAGGCAAAGAGCCCCTGCTGCAGAAGCCCACATGGCAGCCCAGACCCCCAGACCATGAGGCCACCACAGAGCAGGGCTCCCTGACCACGGCCCCCATCGCCAGCACAGGCCATCTCTGAGCTCTTCAGGAGCTCTCACTTGGTCACTGCTGCCACTCAAACTCCACGCACTGTCCTGCCCGAGTCCAGGTGGACGCATAAGAGTCTGGCCTCTTACAAAGGCAGAAAGTGGGTTCATACTGAGGTCTCCACACTCATCCTCTTGACCTGACTTTGGTAGAACCCACAGACTCACCCCACTTCCTTGCCTTTTCCATACCTAACTTTATTCTGTAAACAATAGCCAACTGAGCCTCAGGAGAGGAGTGGGCACCTAGAGCACAGGAGCCAGGGCCAGATCCTCAGCACAGGGGGGAGCCAACTCCTAAATCTTGTTACAGAAGCATCTGGGCCCACCCAGCAGTGCTCCTCTGCCAGGCAGTTAGGACTTTACAAAATAAGGATTTTATTAAGACTGAGCTCAGTGGTAGGAGATGTGTTTAGATGCATAAGGCCCTGGGTTTAATTCCCACACACCCTAGATTTGATGGGGGGGGGGAGATGATTATCAACAGGTTTAAAGGGGCTCACAGATGAATGCACTGAAATAATCACCCGGTTCTTACTATGGGCTGGCACGGGGCTTCATGGATGGAAGCTGAGCTAGACCTGCACTGCTATCTCCAACTGCCTAGCACAGGGCGGAAGTGCATCCACGTGCAGCTCCTGGGATAGAAACCTCTCAGTGCCTGAGGCAGGAAGAAGGGATCAGGAATATTTTGTCTGGTTTTTTTTGGGTCAGGATCTCACTATGCAGTTCGGGCTGGGATGATGGGCGTGCACCCCCAGGCCCAGCTCTCAGTCCACAAATGAATGGGCAGCCAGCTCACTTGGTTAAAGCTCACCAGTGAGGTGTTCAGTGCCCGCAGATCATTTCACCTTGTAGCAAAGACAAGGCCAGTAGGTTCAGAAATATATCAGCCTCAGAAATATATCCCTGGTTCTAAACTTTAAGGGCTTGGAAAAGATGGAGTGGTTAGTTACTGACAACCTGCCATCACTTCCAAAATATAAATTTTAAAAACCACATATACGCAGCATGGGTCCCTTTCTGGACTGGTAAGATGTGTGATCCCCAGGGCTCTGAGTGCTTCTGAACATAAAAGCGCCATCTATTCTTAGCCAAGCGCTGGGGGGCAGCCTGTGATCCCAGCACTCGAAGTTGAGGCAGAATAGCACCATAAATTAAAGGCCAGCTGGGCTCCATAGCGGGACCCTGTGTCAAACAAAACAAAAGAAAGCACAACACAAAGAAGCTGTGTTTCATATCAAATCCAAATCCCAGCCCATAAACAAAGGGTGTGTCCCACAGCCACTGGAGTCAGGATGCCGGTGCCACAAACACTGTGGCAAGTAGGGCAGAAAAAATCACCAGAGGCTGCCTTCGGAAAAACATCACTTTAGTGGCCACAACCTGACTTTCGTACCTTTTGGCTCCTGGCTCCTCGTCTTCATGGGTGGGACAGTGTGGAGACGCAGGGTGCTTGTCAGCAGAAAGGGCCTTGGGGCTGTGGCCCACAAGGTGTTTGTTACTTCCCTCTGAGGCTAATCCTGCTTTAATGAATGAGAAGAAAACAGGGATAGTGGCTTTACTTCTTGTCCTGGTGGGGAGCGTGCACGTGAGGGTACGGACTTCTTTTTTTGGTGGTGGTCCTGGGGACTGAACCAAGAGCCACATCCCCTGCCTTTTTATTTTCAGACAGGCTCTCACCAAATCCAAGTGGCCAGGCTGTGCTGCAGCTTGTGACCCCTGTGTCTCAGCCTCTCGGAGTGCTGCGATTGCAGGTACGTGATGCTCCGGTGCCAGGGACACTGATTTGTAAAGGCAGCCATCGGCACCTACCACATTCTGCATGTAGCTGGGATAAGACACCAGGAGCAGAGGGGACTGCTACCTCCTGGGCACACGGACCACTCTCCTCCGTGATGCCCCTCTGCCCCATCACCCTGCAGCAGAGTCAGCTGATAGTGGACGGAAACTTCTCCACACTGTGAGCTAAGTGAACCTTTCCTGTCTTAACTTGTGGGTGTTAGGTATTTTTTTCTCAGCAATGAGAAAGTAACCAAGACAGTAACTAATGGTCAAGTGGCACCAGGAGGGGACAAATGTGAGGCATGGTGCTGGCATGGCGGCATGCTTTTATTTCGCCAACTGATTTAGTTTTGGAGCAGTGAGGATTAAACCTAGGGAGGGGCTTGAGTGTGCAGGGACCCAGCCTGGGCTCGACCAGCCATCCTCTTGCCACAGGCCAGGAGTGGCCGGCACCAGCACACCTCCTTTTATTTATTAATCCCTCCAAATACATCTGCTATTGTCTTTCAGGAAGAAATGTCCTCACAGCAAAAACAAATTAGCAATTACAAATATCTTCTGTACATTACGAAGTCACTGATGACTATAATTCATTTTGAGGTTTTATTAGAAACGCTAAAATCCATAAACTGAGGAGGAAAATTGAAACAAAAAGTTGTATTAACTAGGCTCTTTTTTAAGACAGTGGTTAGCCGGGGAAAGGCTTGATCAATTTCCTGAGCTAATCTGCAAACGCATTATTTTGTTTCCTTTATGCTCACCTTTCTCAGGCCTGGAGTTTCTAGGAACACAACTCTGCCCCAAGCTACCAGCTGCAACAGCAGGGCTGGCCCAAATCTAGTGTCGACCTTCCCCAAACACTGAATGACAACTGACAAAGGGAAACACCCAGCTTCCAAAGAATGACACCAGGCAGTACTAATCACTAGAGGCTGAAGGAAAGGAGTGAAAACTTCTGCACAAGTCCAGCTATTAAAATCCTTCCGGCACTGGAGCTGGAATGTGCGTCAGGCCCTGGCTCAAACCTCAGTGCCTGTAAACAGAGCAGGAAACAAAATAAAACCCATGAGAAAAGCGTTGGTCACCGGCTCCTTCCCTAAGCTTCCCTGCTGTCCCTGCACAGCAAGCCCAGCCTGGGCGGGATTCAATGCCTGCTTGTCTGGGCGGAGGAGTCAGGGAAGCCTCAGCCCAGCCCAGCACAATAGACTGAAGGCCCCGGCCAGTGCATGTCTTAACACGTTAAGGCACCGAGTGCCTCTCAGGTAGGTCACACTAGCTGGGCCGAAGGCTTAGTAAATTCACTGCAAACTTGGTGCAAAAAGTACAGGAAGAATCAAGAATAAACCCCTGGGGAGGAAGTTAAGCACACTCAGGGAACAATAATGCATCCACCTTTGAATAGCACAGAACCCACCTGCCCCATGGGTTTATGATTCCTAGCAAGGAGCCCAGACATTTTCAACAAGCACTCCGGGGCCAGAATGTATCCTGGGGCAGAATGGCTCAGCGGGTCTGAGAAGTCTGGCTGCTCTGTGGGCTCCTGTTTCTGAGGACAGGAGACCCAAGGAGATCGTGAGGATCTGGTGTGAAAGTGCTCCCTTGTGGAGAGGGAGTGAACACACACACCTGCAGCCAGACACTAAGCAGGCTTGGGAACGACCCTCAGACAAGCAGGGACACCTGCGCCAAGGAGCAGGCCTGGCATCAATTTCTTCTTTTCTTTTCCTTTTTCTTTGGCAGAGTTTTACTGCCTTGCCCTTGTGGCGAACCTCCTGCCCCAGTCTCCCTGTCGCTGGATTACAGGTGTACACCACCACCTGACCCTGTCACTGCCTTGAAGAAGTCTGGATCTTAGCTGCATGTGGTAGTGTGGACCTATAATCCCAGCTCTTCAAAAAGCTAAGGCAGGAAGATAAAAAATCTGGGCTGCTGACATGGGAAGTTTAGCAAGATACTATCTTGACATAAAATAAAGGCCCGAGGGCCTGGGATTTAGCTCAGTGGCATAAGCACCTGCCTGGCAAGTGTGAGATTATGAGTTCAATCCCCAGTACCAAAAAATAAAATATAAAATAAAATAAAGGCCAGAAACATAGCCCTGTAATCAAGTACTTGCTTAGCACGTGCCAGGCCCTGGGCCCCACCCCTCACATGGAGGGGGATTGAGATGGACAGAAAGCCCTCTCCCAGGATGGAGAAACTTCCCTGCCAAGGAGGAGAGGGCTCCAGCCCTGGGCTGGGACTGACCAGTACTCAGAACATCTCAGAAATGCAGCACAATGACACCCCACTATGGGACAAGACGGCTGCAGATGTGCACAGCCACAGTGGCAGGCTATCTCATGCTTCTGTACCGATGCCATCTGTTTTCAGAGAACAGAGCTGCACTGGGGATGGACTTGGGCCTTCCTGTGTGGGGCTGAACTAAGCGAAGACGTTGTTACAAAGAAAGCATTTAAGAAATAATCTGGCATGAGGTCATAGCAACGGGGTTTCCAGCTCTTCCTGTGTGAGCCACTGTTCTACCCTCAACACGAGAATTGGGGGCACACACACTTGGGAATAAGGTATGGACAGACTTGGGGTTCTGGAAAGTTCCAGAGGCTTTGTGCCTCCCTGGAGAACGGATGCTAACACAGGCTGGCATGGGCTCTGAGGCACTCTTGCCAAGCACTCTGGGGCTGCAGGTCCTCTGCCTCACTGCTGGACCTGGCCCCAGGGCCTCTGCACTGAGCCGTATCTCCAGCCCTTCTGCAATCCAAACTTGTGATCCTGTCTCAGCCCCGGGCTGTGGGGATCACAGGTGTGTGTCACCACACAGCCAGCCTTTTACAGGTCTACACATTTTGCCTCTATTTATTTTTTAAATCTAAAATTTTTTCTTCCAGACAGGATATTGTCAGGTTTGTGATAACCCTCTTGTTTCAGCCTCTTCTGTGCTAGGATGCCAGGAATGTTCTAACAGGCCCAGTGTTTGCCCCTTTTAAAGACTTGCCAGTGCTGGGCTTGGAGGCACATACCTGCAATCCCAGCCCTTGGGAGGCGGGGGCAGGGACTCCAAGACACCTGCCTTAGGTACAGAGTGAGCTCAAGGGCGGCCTGCACTTTGTACTGAGACCCTGCCTCAGAAAGCAAAAATTAAAAAAACTTTTTAAAAAAAACCACAGAGAAACAAAAAAACCAACCTTGCCTAATGTTCCGTCCCTCCATTAAAAACCTTAAGTTCAGCTCCCGAAGTAGACACCTTCCTATACATCAGGACACACACTGCTCTGACCGGAGAAAAGTGCTTCAAGGAGCCAGGTAGCAGTGCTCGAACTCTCAGTCTTGCGCTTGCCAAGCAGGTGCTTGTGCCGCCGGGCTCACCCCCAGCCCTGAGGTTTTCTGTCTTTCACGGCTTTCTACAGCAGCTTAGTGGCTGCCAGTCACCCAAGTGACCCCAGCTACTCAGCATGAGAACTGCACTGCCGGCCTCAGGGGACTGCCCATGGCATCCTCACTCAGTCAGAGGGTGCCCTGATGGTCACCCTAGCTCCCCTGAATGGTGCACTAGCCATAAACTGGGATTAGAACCGAGGCTCCCAAATGCCTGCATAGTGGCTCAGTAAATAAGAGCTGATCAGAGATCAGGCAGTCATGGTGCAGAAGGTGCAGAGGGTGCAGGGAGGGAAGCACTGAGCACAGGGTCCCAACTCGAGGTCACATACAAACCTCTGCCCAGCACGTGTGGTCCCAGGGCTGGCAGCTGCTCAGAGGGGCAGGAGTCAGGCACAACAGAGGCGGAGCTGTCTGAGTGTGGGCTCCCATGCTGCTCCAGCACGGCTTCCAGGTGGGCCATCTCCTGCTGCAGCCTCAGGAGGTTGTCCTGGATGGTGTCCTTCTGCTGCAAAACAAGTCACACTGTGATAAACATGCCCTGCAGCTAAAGTCTGCCATGATGATTAATTTTAGCATGGGATGGAGGTCACCACGCAGAGTCACAAGTCCCCACTACCACCCTTCAGACCACCACCCCCGTGCGAATCCCCGCCCCAAAAGGGTTTCCCAGTATCTTTGGAATAGGCAAATGGCATCCACTTCTCCCACAAACTTGCTTTACTGTGATGCCCTTTCCAATCGGGTATTTTAGTGGGGAGGTCAGCTCAGTGGTGCAGCTCTGGCCCACTTATGGGAAAAACATTCCCCATCATCTTGTCTAGATTGGTGACCATGCATCCTGAGGTAGGAAAAAGCAAAGGGCAAACTTGGCCATGTACTCGGAGTACCTGGCAAGCATTTACCACACCAGCACCATCCTGTTCCACGTTAGTGGCTGCATCTGAGGCTGGGACAGGCCCTGCTCGTGTGACCAAGCAGGCCTTAGTTCTGATCCTCTTGCCTCAGCTTTCCCAGCTGCTGGGGTCACAGGCATGCACCACTGTACCCAGCCCATGTCCCCTGCCTGACACAATGGCACTATCATCTGTTTCTGCTGTAGGACAGGTGGGCAGTGAGGGTGAGGGCTAGGGCTAGGGTTACCCGACAAGCTCCTGACTCCGTGGTTCGGTGAGCAGAGTGATATCTAGAGCTGGATGACACAAAGGGCAGCGTATGGAGCTTACAACCCAACTTGTCACATCAGCAGTGGGAGGGGAAGACATTCACAGATGGAAGAATGTCACAGGACCCACTGAGGATGTCACGCACGCACAGACACGCTCCTACCTGGGTGGTCAGGATGCTGCTTTGCGAGGACAGCCCCGAACAGGCGTCTGAGTGGTTCGTCTCGCTCTCATACCCAGACGCTGCCTCATCTGCAACGGCAACAGAGGCCCTGGTGTAGGCGTGGCCAGGGAGCACTATGCAGTCACCCAACTCTCTTCTCTGGGGTGCTGGGGTTTCCCTTGAGACCCCAGCCCTGCAGACCAGAGGCATGTGCATGGGCAGCCAGCCGCTAACACCTCCGATGGAGGCAGCACTCCAGCAGCTGCTGGCAGCTGACTCACGGAGGAGGAAGGTGAAGCAGCAGTGATGGTGCTCCCGTGGGGCACAGGCCACAGGCCCAGTTCCATGACTTATAGGGGCAGACACAGGAGCCTAGCTCCGATACCTGAGTGTGACCGCGTGCTCCGCCCTGTGCGGTGACTGTCTCCTTCAAGGCCAGCCTCCCCATCTTCATCATCAAAAACCGCGTCCCTGTGACTCAGGATGACCCCCTGGCTCCTAGAGCAATGCCCCACGAGCTCGGCAGGGGGGTGCGACATCAGGAAGGGGTCCTGTGAGTCTGTGTTGGCGGCAGAGTCCTCTGGGGCGCTACACTGGGACGAAAACAAACTGCCTGAGCATCTGATGTCCCCGTCTAGCTGGGGTTCTGGGGATGCCTTTGCTGCTACCACCAGGGCTGCTGGCTCGAGAGTGCAGTCACAGGAGCTGGTCTGCATCGACCTCACGCTCCCTTCTGTTCCTTTGAACACGTGCTCCATCACGCTCCCTTCTGTTCCTTTGAACACATGCTCCATCGCAAGAGTGCTGGGCCTGGTGGACTGGGGAGTCCTGGTGCCCTTCGTGAACAGCAGGTGCTGGAAACAGGGGAGCTCTTCATCTTCGCTGGACACGTTCTCCTGTGAGAACTCCAGCTTCTGTGCCCTTCTTCGGTGACCCTGGGCCAAAGCCCTACGGGTCAGAGGGCTGGGGCTCCTGCTCAACTGTCTTCTCTGGACACCTCTGCCAAAAACAGCAGACGTTTCCTTCACGTCATCCTCAGCGAAGCTGGTATCGTCCCTTCTGTCCTCATCTAACAGGTCATCGGGCGTCTCGGAACAGACCTGAGAAGCAGGACTCCTTCCCACAGGCAGTGCCACGTTCTCCACGATGGGACCAGGAGGGAAACCTGTGCAGGCAGCCGGGGATAAGGCTGCACTTGCCCCGGGCTTCTGTGCTTCTGGTTGCTGGCAGTGGTCCCCGGGCAGACCCTGCCTGCAGGTCTCAGGCTGCAGCAGCCCTGACCTGAGCACCACATCCAGCTCGGGCGCCCTGGGTCTCCCGAGGGCTGCTGGGCCATGCCCGCCGCTGGAGCCCACTTCGTTAGGACCGGAGCCCGAGCCCGAGCCCGAGCCCGAGCCCGAGCCCAAGCCCAAGCCAGCTTCCTGTGGAGCGTGGTGCCCGGGGCTGGGCGTGCCCTGGAGGATGCTCTGGCTCCCACTCTCCTCCTCCTCGGGTGATGTAGAACGGGCCTTCCCGACAGCAGACACTGACGGCTCCTGATGCGGGTTTCGAGGGATTCCAAGTGTGTCGGTGGCCAGGGGCTCAGTTTCGTTGCCTCCAGCCTGAGCTGATGGGCAGAGCTGTGAGGCCCAGTGGACGCTGCGTGGGGCCCCAGACCCTGTACGTACGGCTCTGCCCTGCCTGTCCACACCTTCCATTTGCTCACACTCCGTGACTCCTGGGCTTTGTTTCTTCAGGGACTCGGAGCAGGCAGGGGCCTTTGTGGGCCCCTTCTCCGGGTTTCCTAAATTTGAAAACAGAGCAAATGACCTACGCCTGGAAGCCTGGAACGTGTCCTGCAGATACTGAGTGTCCAGCTCACTGTCTTCCATGTCACTCACCACCTCCTGGATGTGGCTCACTTTGAGGCTCAGTGGAACCCTGGAACCTTCTGTGCAACCTCTGGCATCAGGTGGAAGCTCCTGAGGCTCTGTGACCACCATCTTTGGAGCCATGCACCGTTGCGCCACCCCCCACACCAGCCCCCGGTCCATGTCCACCAGCAAGGAGGTGCTGCCCTGCAAGCCGCAGTCAGTATCGGGGACCAGCAAGCCGCTGGTGCTCCCCGTGGACCGCACAGTTTGCAAGCCCTTTTCTCTGCCTAACCCCGGACCTTTGGGGTCTCTGGGGCTGCCAGGCACTTGGACTGCTGCTGGGTCCTCTTCTGCCTCCTTTTTCTGTGGGCCTGGACTGACGAATCCTTTAAGTTGAGCAGGGCTTGAAGTGCTAGCAGGCGAGCTGGGCATGTTGGCTGACTTCGGTGTGGGGTTGGCTGCCTCGGCTGGTCTCTCCCTTCCCTGTTCGCATGGCTTCTTACTTTCCTTGGTTCCAATGGAAGTTTCCAGGTGCCCTGAGATGAGCAGCTTTCTGCTGCACCTGCCTGGCACTTGCTGGGAGCCTTTTGCCATTGTCTCCTCCCTGCTGGCAGGATTACCAGTCTGCAGCTCAGTGAGATCCGGCGGGCCAGGGCGGGGCACACGGCTGGCTGAGGACCTGTGCCCCAGCCTGTCTTCCTGGGGAGCCTGTGAACAGCTTGTGCTGGGCTCCGGCCCCGTGCTGTTCACGGGCTCTGCCCTGGTGCTGGAAGCGGACTCATTCTCCAGGGACTGCTCTGAGTCAGGATCCTGCTGCCTCTGAACATCACCTCCCTCTGTGTTGTCCTCACAACTGCCTTTAGGGATATTCGTCACCTGACTGCTCTCTGCCATCTGCCCTGTTCCAGGGAGTATCTTCTCAGAAGTCTCTTGAGCAATTGCCAGGTCAGCTTGCTTGATAAAATCCTCAGGGCGAAGGCAAGGTGTGGATCTCCTGCTCCGCTTTACTTGCTTGCAGAGAGGCCGCTCTGGTGTCACTGGTGCTGCAGTAGTGAGGGTGGGCATGACTTGATTCCCAGGCGCAAGGCCCATGCTGGGGGAGCCCATCTTCCGCCTGTAGGTTTTCCCGAACACCTGATCTTGTACATTGCCCTTTGCCCTTTTGAAGCAGGCTCTCCTGCCAGCGTGGGCTGCAGTTCCCTGAGCATCACTGGCCAGTGAGTCAATTTTCATGGAAGAGACAGGCAAGCCCTCTGATTCTTCTGGGGCTTTGAGTGCGCCGGTTTCCTCAGCATCAGATTCAGACTTCCTGTCGCAGGCATGGTTGGATGTCACTGTGTCGTCACTCCTGGAAAACCACTCGTTCACTTTCTGAATGCTGCTATTTAGGGTGACCCAAGAGATATCCTGGGCCTCTCCAAGAGCCTCTGAGTGTGGCAGGTTCTGCTCATGCTGCTTCCCTGCACTCTCTGTGCTGGGAGCCCCTCCGCCAACGCAGTTGCCCGCACGCCTAGGCTGTCTGCTTTCATCACAGGCTTCAGCCTTTTCTGTACCCGTGCAGTCTTTGGTGGGTAACGAGCTGGCTCGTGTCTTGGTGCCACATAGCTCCACACACGGGTCTGAAACACAGCCGGGCTGCAGACAGTGGGTTTCTGCAATGCTCTTCTCAGGAACCTTGCAGGCAGCTGGAAACATACAAATTAATGAGGTGCTTCAACACCGAACTGTGACAAAAGACAGCCACAACTTGAGAGTGGGAACCGAGCACTAGCTTTCAAGAGAAACTACCTTCAAAACCACCATTGAGATAGGCTTGCTCTCGCTAGGCAGTTCAGGCTGGCCTCAAGCTCACAGCGATCCTCCTGCCTCAGTCTCCCGCGTGCTGGAATTATACGTATGTGCCACCACTCACAGCCCCCATTTTTAAAATGTAGCTTATGTTCTTTTCATGTGGTTCCTTTTCCCATAGATTTCACTGTTTCCAGGCAAGGTAATCAAAGTGCATGTCAGGTTTCCCTTTGCACATACAACACCTCTAGGAAAGGATTGAAGCACAGTGTCTGGGCTTCAGACACAGCTCCATGTCCCTCCACACACTCACATGCCCTGCATTCAGAAACCAGTTGGGAAAAGATGAAACATGCACGTCAGTAGAACATGAAGGGTGTGGGGCACAGTGGTGCATGCCTATCATCCTAGCACTCAGGAGACTGAGGCAGGAGGGTTGTCTTGATTTCAAGACCAGCCTAAACTGCATAGAGACTATGTCTCAAAAAACTAAAAGAGTGGGAAGGAGATTTAGCTCAGTGGCACAAGTATCTGCCTGGCAAGCACAAGGTTGTGAGTTCAATCCCCAGTATAATTACACTCACCAGGCCTATTACACTCACAGCCATCACATTGCGTGGAAATGTAGGCTGTCTGTGACAGCCTGAGAGAATCCCACTCTAACTCTGCCAAGAGGGCTGTGACTTAGAAAGGCCCAGTGCTCTCCGGAGTAACCCAACCCAAGGACTGCACCTACCCACCCGCTCCTTGGGCTGTCTATTGGGGAGGCTCACCATCACTCTGCTTTGCAGAATCTGAGCCGGCTTCAGCCTTGGCAGCTTGCGGAGTGAAGAATAACAATTCTTCTTGGTCCCTCACACTGCAGGGAGAGAGGAGGATGTGAGTGACGTGCTCATAGGAGTGTGAGATGAACAAAGGTAAATTCAGCCTCTCTAGGTAAGGTGCAGGAGCTGAACAACAGATGATGCCCACATCCACCTGCTCGCTCTCCTAAATAACCTCAAGTCAAAGTGGGAACATACGGCCCCAGAAACCAGGCCAGCAGTGCAGAGCACAACTTTATGGACATATGGGTAAAAGCGAGGCTTAAATGCCTGTTTAAAGAGTGAAGAATGCTCATACGCGCACCTTAAGGAGAAAGCAGGAACAAAGATAGCGGGACAAGGGGTCCACACCCCACTATGGGCTGCATAGAATTCAGCTCTGCCAACTGCTGTGTTCCTCTTCCCAGCTAGAAGCTACTTCCTTCTGCTTCTGGAGAACAATCCTGTACGTAGTTCCAGCTGGCCTTGAACCTGCTGTGGAGCCCAGGCAAGGTGTGACCTCAGGGTGCCCTGCCTCTCCTGGGCTGGCTGACAGGCTGAGGCCCCCACACCCAGGAATTTCCCCCAGTCCTAAGATTAGGGAGAAGCCACTTGCAAATAAAATCTGATTGATAATAATGCCATTCCAGCTCATATCAGCAATGATGGTGATTCTCAAGGAAAGCGCTCTGGTAGGAACCCAACTGGGGCCCGCTGATCAGCTGCTCTGTAATGTACACAGACAACGTTGGCAGCAGCGCTAGGCAACAGGGAAAGAAAGAGTGGGAGTGGGCTCTTCTAGTACTTGCACTGATCCCTGTCCCCACCACATACGACAGACTCAGCTAGAGGAAAAGTACCTGCTAGCACAGCTGTGTGGGTCCCACTGTTAGCCCACATTCCTTGGACACTGCTAATAAATAAAACAGACAGGTACAGAACAAGAGAGCTCTATAGTTTTCTCTAATACCATGATCCTAATCTAAGGAAAAGTTAGTCCTTAATATTAATGAAGTACAAACACACTGGCCCCATGGGCAAGGCTCCTTATTCCTCACCTGCAGTGATACGACTTGGTAACTGAGTCTTCAGAGGAATCTGACCCTGAAAGAACAGTCCCAGCCCCCCCAAACAGACCAGTGAGTGATTTTCTGAATTCAGAGGTTAAGCTAAAAACACATTCCTGCTGCAAAACAGATCCTCATTTAGCTAGAAGTATTCATGGAGGATAGTGGACCTGCTGCATGTGCCTTGGGGGCCCAGAGAAGGGACTAAGGCCCAGGCTCTGAAGCCAGCTGCCCAGCTGTGAGCCCATCTCCTACACGCTGACTGATCTGGCCCAGTGTCCACATCTCTCTGATTTTCACTGCCAAGCAGGAAGTGTTATGGTGGTACGTGGGAGCTGGGTGACTACCCTTTCCCACACTAAAAGACAAGGCATCATGGGAATGTGTTCCAACATTAAGCTCGTCTTAGAAGCTCTGCTTTTCCCAATCGAGGGTGCTCATCTAACTCTCTCTGCATGGGACTTTCCTCTTGCTACTTGCCATTTTCCCAAAGTTCATTTCTCTGTACTCATAACCAGATATTCCTTCTTTTGCTCCCTTGACACAGCAAAGTTCTCCAAGATGGAAACTTCATCTTTTACATTATTTATAGCTTGCCACAGATTCCATAAAATTATTGTTTATATTTCCCAAAACTCCTTGCCAGATGCATAGACAACAGAGGTCCTCAGCTAAGACGTAACAGTGACCCAGCCACTGCAATTGTGGACTAGGGAACCCATGGTCCTTACCCAGTTCAATGTAGACAGATTTACTTGGAGGCTGCACTTGCTGCTGGATCTTCCGAGGCCTGGAGATGGCAAGGTCAGATAGCGGGGCCCCCAGGCCAGCTTCCTGCTAAGTGTGAAGAGCAGTCACCACTGAGGGCCCTGGGCTTCATCCCTAGAGGAGCTCCCGGCCACAGGCAAAGCCACCAGTCAACTGCAGTTCAGGGCTGCTTGGAAAATGCCTGGCAACGCACTCCCTGAGATATCTAGGCTACACATGGCTTCAGTAATTTTTTTCTCTGTTATTTAAAGAATTTTCAAACAGAGTATTATGTTTTAAATAATTTTTTTCTAGAAATCTTTTTTCGATATTGGGAATCAAACTCAAGACCTTGCACTTGCCAAGCAGGTGCTTTGTGCCACTGAGCTATATCCTCGGCCCTTTCAATATTTTAAATATTAAAATATTTTAAAGCTGACATTTGAACATAGTGCTGCACAACTGTAATATCAGCAACCTAGGCTGGGGCAGGAAAATTTCAAGTCTGAGGCCAGCCTGGACAACAATGTAAAACATTTCACACAAAAAAAGAACAGAGCATGATGGCACCTGCTTGTAACCACAGCATCCTCTGGATGCTGAGGCAGGAGGGTTGTGGCACCTGGAATAGAGACCCTCTCTCAAAACAAACAAACAAACCCAAACCACACACACACATACAACAATAAGCTTCTGTGTTCCTAATGTTAGTAAAGGAGAGAATATTTATGTCTGGGATTTTTGTTGGCACTAAGGACAGAACTTAGCACATGCTAGGCAAGGACTCGGAACACTGAGCCACATACCCAGGCCCTGAATATTTAAAAGCCCAACATTATTGTACTGAAACTTCTCTTTTTCCTATTCTGTCCACCGACATCTTCTGAAAAGTGAATGCCCATATCTCAAGAACTATTATTTCAAAATCTCCATTATTTATTCACAGAAGAGTAACAGCAGAATAAATAGCTGCATTTTCTCTGATAATCATACCTTTGAAGCTGAGTAACTTCCAAATGCTTATGAAGCCCAGTGACCCAGACACGTCAGCCCTAATGGCCAGCGAAGGGAAGGCCTGTGGCCTCTACCATGACTCTGGACACCTAACACATCCCCACCACACCACTCATGGAAGAGGTCCTCAGAGGAACGCAAGCGCCTTACCACAGCAGGGCTTCCGGGCTCACTCTGCCGAAGCCTTTTAGCACGGTTTCGGTAGCCCATGCTCTGGATGATGGAAATCTCCTCCTTTACACGTTCAGGAGAACTACTTTGCTTTTTTGACAAGCTATCACTGTTTTCAACTGTGAATTACAAGGGAACACACTGCATAGTTAGCAAAAATGTACCAATTTTCTTTAAAGAAACTGAGAGAAATTCTGCATGTGTTCTTGGTTGTATTAAGCTGATTACGACAGGTATTCAGGTTACCCAAAATTTTTCTTTTAAAAAAACCAGCTTTGGAAATTCTATTCCTAAGAAACAACATACACACAATTGGCAAAGTTATTTCTATTCTTTTTTTTTCCACTTCAAAACTCATACATCTCTCTATCAACAGGAATCTAAGACACCACCGCGGCTGCCCAGGCCTGTGTGGGAAGGTGGTAGAGCAGGGAAGACCATCGGTGGGGAAGTGCTCCCGACTGTGGTGAAGCTGTGCCTTCCAAGGGTTTAACGCAAACCCTGACACAGAGCTAGAACTAACCGAGGCCATCGGGTCTCTTCACCCACACCGTGGCGAACACCACAAACATCCGGGCTTTAGGGCTACCACTCGGTCAGGCCTGGCCACACTCACCCTGCGAGCTGCAGTCCAGCTCGAAAGCGTGGATGGTTTTCTGCAGCTCTTCAACCAGCTGGCCGAACCGTGTGCTCTCCTGCAGGCTTCTGAAATTAATTGTTGGAGAAGCATGCTTAGCAAGGGATTCCCAACTTGCCCTTCAACTTTTGAAGGACACTAAAATGGGGAAAGGGATGTAAACAAATACTCGGTCAGGTTTCCTGCTCAGCCACAGCACAGAACCAAGCAACCTCACACAATAGATAACCATGCAACACTGCCTGCAGCGTACTGTGTGCCTGAACGGACTCCTTCTCTAAGTCTGCCATTCATGTAAGTCTACCAAAAACCTAACTCCCCAATGTATATCAGTGTGAGTCCTTAATAAATACAAATCCCTCACGGTAGAGATTTCCATCAAATAGAAGAAGAGACAGACAACATTCAAAGAGATTTAAACTTAGGAGAGTGGAAGGAAAACACAATTCACCCATCCTGGTGGGTGGATGAGCACCTGCTAAGCTCTGGGCACTGGAGGAACAGTATTGAGAGAGAAAGTGACCACCACAGAATTTCACCAGGCGGTGACACACAAATGCACTGTGGGGGTAAATAGATAAAAAAAATATGCCACGAGAGAAGGAGAAGGGAGAGGAGTAGCCAGTTGGCGCGGGGCGATGTGGCCCTGCTCTCTCTGAGACTTCCAATTCTAAAGGTGGCGAGCATCTCCAGCCACCATGCCCTAAGACCTCGACGTCACCTGAGGATGACCAGGCGGGATTGGCCTGGCTGTGCACGCACAGGGAAAAGGCATGATGTTGCTAACACCTGTGGAGCATGGATATCATGCAAAACTTTCAGGAAAACAGCCGTGGAAATGATTCATTGCCTGCTTCTTCCTGCTGAGGAGCGGCTAGGAGGACCCCCGCTGTGTCAGTCAAGGGCTCCTTCGACCAGCCCTATCATTACCCAAATAACAGACCTTTTGGTTATGCTGCTCTTACACAGAGGACACTGCGAAAGTCCTTTCTTCTGGTCGAGAAATTTCAGCATACAGAATCTGGAAACAATAAAGAAAAACAAGAACTTTCTTTTGTATCAAGAACACTAGGAAGACAGTCATGAAAAGAAAATCTCGGGGCTGGGGATTTAGCTCAGCGGCATAAGTACCTGCCTTGCAAGCAGGCGGTCGTGAGTTCGATCCCCGGTACCGATAAAAAAAAAAAAAAAAAAAAAAAAGAAAATCTCACAACTGCCCCAAGACAGCCAATGTTTTTAATTGTTTTAGATGCTACATGAACAGAGAACCAAACTACATAAGAAATAACCTATGAAACTAAATGTATATGCATGTATGGTTGTTATCATCATAGAAAATTATATAAATCTATATATAAATGTATTAAATGTATTAAAAAGTTAGCACGGCCAGGGCTTTAGCTCAGTGGCATAAGCACCTGCCTGGCAAGCATGAAGTCATGCATACAAAAACAAGAGCTTCGGTGGAGTAAGGGGAAAGATCATGCATAACAACCCTAACTATGCCACACTGCATAGTCGACATAAGTAAGTAGTTTAGGGGACATGATTCTAATTAGTGTGGAAATATCACCTGTGGCTGTAGTGGGACTCGGTGGCACAGCACCCACCTGGCACAGAGGTCCTGGCACTCTGCGGTGAGGGTCCCGAAAGCTGCCTCTGAGGCACATCAATCTCATTCACGCACCCATTCATTCTTTCTCTTCTAGTCCATGCTTGCAATAATAACGATTACACTCCCTATAGGGAACTTGTACATGTGCGTAACAGTCCAGTTCTTCTCCCCTTTCTCTACCCAGTTTAGTTATTTAGGTTCTTGGGACAGTTTTGCTATGTGGTGCAAAACTCACTGTGGTCGTCCTGCCTGAGCCAGCTGTGTGACATCAACATCCTTTAAAAACACAGGATGAGCCAGGCATGGTGGCTCATGTCTGTAATCCCAATACTCGGGAGGTTGAGGTGGGAGGATCGTTGCAAGTTTGAAACCAGCCTGGGCCATAAAGTGAGCTCAAGGCCAGCCTGAACTGCATTGCGAGACCCTGTCTCAAAAAACACAAAAAAATAAAAAATTAAAAATTAAAAAAAAAGACACAGGATGGAGGCCACATTTAGACGGAAACTCCACCATCCACTGTAAAACTCGGAACAAAGAGACCTCCATGTACCCGCCTGGCGAGCAATGCAGCTGAACAATTCAGAGTGCAGAGGAAGGGAAGCCCCGCTCACTGTGCCACCACACAGCAGTGAGGGATGTGCCATGCTGCAGCCTGCACAACACTTCCGCAAGTAACAGCAGACCTAGGTATGGAGAAACCAACCAAGCCAGCGACCTGAGTCCCTCTTTACACTAGGAAAATAACACGTGAAGAACACAAAGGTTGCTAACTAAACTCAAAAGAGAAAATGAAGCTGGGCATGGTGGCATGGGCCTGAGAGCCCAGCACCCCGGGAGGCTGAGGCTGCACTGAAAGCTGGAGCTCAACCTGAGCAACTTGGCAAGAACCTATCTCAAAATATACAAAGGGCTGAGGACACAGCTCCGTGTGAAGGACCAGGGCTTAATCCCCACACCAAGGAAAGAAAAAGAAGAAATGAATTTTTACATGACTCCAAATGACTGCGCTAAGGGAAATCCTGAAGGATCAACAGAACACTGGCACCACCCGTGGGCTCAGAGAACGAATTCTGCTTGTGTTAGAGCTCTGGGAGGCTCCATGGTGTCCCCGCTCAAGGAGAACACATGAGTTCTACACAAGGCTCTCAATGGGAAGACTTTGGGCGTGGCAGTGCACCCTGCACCCTAGCACTCTGGAAGGCTGAGGCAAGAAGATGGCAAGTTTGAGCCCAGCCTGGGCAACTGGATGAGACTCATCTCAAAAAAGGGAATGCAGGTTGATGTGAAGGCCCTGGGTTCAATTCCACATGTACACATACACAAACACACAGGCACACACAAAGAGAACAGCTTTTAAATACTAGGACTTTCTTTACCTTACCACCACCTGTGAAAACACTGGCTGGCAACACTCTGAGGGCCACCCTGGGACATGAAACCCGACAGCCGCCCAGAGGGGCCTCCCAGCACTCTGTACACAGATAAGCGAGGCTTGTCCAGAGGTCGAGCTGGGGCCAAATACGGTGACTTGGTAGATACTCTCCCACCAGAAAGGAACCCAGGTAGATTTTTTCATTGTGACTTAACTGATGAAGCTAAAGAAAGCTTCTATCCAGTTTTCTGTCCAGTTTTCCCTGTGCTATAAGAAGAAGCATAAAAGCTAATAAGGGGGTCACAAAAACCCCTCAAACTTACTTGCAAAATATGTGGTCACATTTTGTGGAAACAGGTTCTTTTATCAATTCCAGACTAGGATGGTAGAAGAGAAAAAAGAGAATTATAAATTAGGCTCAGCAACTTATTTAAAAATAAGTGTATTTTGAATACAGCAGTTTACCGTGACTCAATTTTTAATTTTAATTTTGTATTTTTGGCTTTTTGAGACAGGGTCTCACTATATAGTTCAGACTGGCCTTGAGCTTACTATGTAGACCAGTCTGCCCTGGAACTTGCAGTGATCCTTTTGCCTTGGCCTCCTGAGTGTCACAGGTGTGCACCACAACGTCTAGCAGTATGGCTTTGCATTTCATCAGTACTTATTAAATGTCTGCTAGGCTAGGAGTAATATGATCCTTACCTTTCCTAAGCTTTCAGACATTAAAACAGAATTACAGGCAGGAATGTGGCTCAGGGGTAAAATATTTGCTCAACATTTACAAGGCCTTAGGTTACATCCCCAGCACACAAAGAAAACAGAACATAAAAGAAATACCCCCAGAATTAGACTGATGGTTTCAATATTCTATATTGTCATTAACATTTATGAAATTGATAATGGAGCCTGGCATGGTGGTGCATTCTTGTAATCCCAACACTTGGGAGGCTGAGGCAGGAGGATCATTGGGAGTTTGAGACCTGCCTGGGCTATAAACTTTCAAGGCCAGTCTAAACTGCGTAGTGAGACCCTGTCTCAAAAAGACAAAAACAACAACAACAACAACAACAAAAAAAAACCACTTCCTATTAATTTTCCCTATATTTTTGAGCTATATGTATATGTGCATTTATGAATATAGACATCTGTATATATAATTTTTTGAGACAGTTTCACTATGTAGTCCAGGCTGGCCTTGAAGTCACTATGTAGCTCAGGCTAACTGAACTTGGGGGTGGTCCTCCTGACTCAGCTTCCTAAGCAGAGGGACTGCAGGCATGTGTCACCACCCTGGCCTGAGCTAGCATTCTGAGTGCACCTCCTGCAGTTTAAGTAAACACTGAACTCTACAAAGAAGCTTTTGCTTACAGCAGTTTCCCCTTATGCCTGGTTTCACTCCCTGCAGTTTCAGTTATTTAGAGTCAACAATGGTCTAAAAATATCAAATGGGAAACTCCACAAATAAACAATGCTAACATTTAAGCTGTGTGACCTTCTGAGCAGCAGGAAGAAGCCTCCCTGCTGTTTCTTCCAGAAAGTGGTCATCCCCACCTAGCATGTGCAGCCTGCCCACCTGCCGGACAGTCACCTGGTGGAGGTCTTGGTGATCAGAGTGTCAGGTGACAGGTACTGTATTAACATGACATTTCGTTTCTTTAACATGGTTCCAAAGCACAGGAACAGCTGTACTGGCAATCGGATATGCCAGGGCTAAGCCAAAAAGTGAAAGCTGCAAGTGAACTGGCAGGCGGTCTTTCCACTCAAGGCTCTACCCACACAACCCTGGCCCCCATAGTGAGGGCCCACACCTGGTGTTTCTTTTGGATCCCCTATCATTTTTTGGGCAGCATATGATTGCCTTTCTTGTTAACATGGAAAATTCCCAACATCTTCATAAATACGGTAAAATGGGCCCCACGTGGTGGTGCACCCCAATAGCCCCACACTCAGGAGGCTGGAGCAGGAGGATGTGAGTTGGAGGGCAGCTTGGCCTGCCTCCCTATGTAAGTACATTAAAAAAAAAAAAAAAAAAAAGAACTCCATGTACCACCACCCAGTTTCAACAACTGCCAGTCCTGTTCAATCCACGTTTGCCACTGCCACAGGTTATTTGTAGACAAATCCCAGTCAAGAGGTCACTTCATCTTAGTGGCACTAGGTACTGAGCCTGGGGCATGTTGGGCAAGCACCCCTCCCCTGACCTACCTCCCCAGCCCTTTTGGTAAAATTTTGCTTTTAGACAGGCCTGCTAAATTGCCCAAGATGGCCTCAAACTTACAATTTTTCTCCTTAGCCTCCAGAGTAGCTGGGATTGGGGCTGGAGATTTAGCTCAGCGGCATAAGCGCCTGCCTTGCAAGCAGGCAGTCGTGAGTTCGATCCCTGGCACCGATAAAAATGAAAAAGACAAAAAAAACAAACAAACAAACAGAGTAGCTGGGATTACAGATGTGCATCACTGCAATAGGTTAGAAACTTTTTCTTGGGTACCAGGGATCAAACTCACAACCTTACAACTTGCCAGGCAGGTGCTGTGCTACTGAGCTATATCTCTGACCCCTTGGAGACTTTTTTTTAAGCCTAAGTGTAAAATCATTATTACTCCTAAAAATGAGTAATTGTCTTAATGTCATCTAATATTAATGTTTTATTGTTTCACACTAGTTTTTTTTTTTTTTTTTGAGACAGGGTCTTGCTGTGCAGTTCAGGCTAGACTTGAGCTCCCTTTGTAGCCCAAGCTGGTCTTGAACTCACAATGTTCCTCCTGCCTCAGTCTCCTGTGTACTGGGATTACAGGTAGCATTGCCATGCCCAGCCATGCAATTTGTTTTTAATAGTTGGGTGTGTTTCAATCAGTACCCAAACAGTAATCTGGTACCCAAACAGCACCTGGTTCATGGTGGCACCTCTTTTTTCTACAGATTTCCTCTCTCGTTTTTTCTTCTTCTCACTTAAAAAACTACATTACTTAATTGCAATTTCCCTCATTTTAGAACTTGACAACTGCAGCCTCAAGGTGTGGTTCGGCAGGTTCGTCTAGTTTGGGACAGGCGAGCCTGTGGCCCAGTGCCCAGGGCGGGCCGTTTTGTGTCACTGAAAACTTTGTCACTATGTTTTTCTTTTAAGACAAAAGACTTTTTTCCAGCTAAACTACAGCATTCAGGGTTTCTTTTTTTTCAGCATTCAGGGCACTTGGGTCTGAAAGGCTCGCCATGGCTGCTCTAGTGTCTTGATTTCCAGTGAACAGCACATGCAGCCCTATGAAGTTCAGGTTCAACCTGGGAAGTGCTGTGTACCTTGTGATGTCCCTTCAGGAGCGCAGGGTGCTTGGTTTCTGATTACTTTTTAAAAACACTGAAATAAACACATACTAAGGGAATTGCCCACCCCTCCCTGTTCACAAAATCTAAACACCTTTCTGAATTTAATTCACTTAAAATACACACACACACAGAAATACATATATATGAACTAAATCCAGACCCTTCGAACTGAGCAATACCCTAGCCATTTCTCTAACTTTTACAGACCAGTTCTCACTAAATTGGCTACACTGGGCTCAAATATGTGGTCCTTCTGCCTCAGGTTCCCAGAGTGCCAAGCTTATAGGTATGTGCCACCACCCAGCCACAAGAACAAGTTAAACCTTCAGTATGTGCAAGCACAGGCTGCAACACATACATCAGGGGACGTCCTGAAGCCGCCTCCAGGAGCGCACACCTAGATGTGGCACACAGGTGAGGAGAAATACCTAAGAGCTGATAGGAATTGGTGTCAGAGAAAGAGAGAGGCAGAAAACACGGGTGGGGAGGGGACCCCAGGGAACACAAGGAGACAAGAGGACAGTGCAAAGAAACCAGCCACATGGCAGCCCAGCAGGGGCACAGCCAGGGTGGAGCACAGCGGGGGTCTTGGCAAGGGGGGGGGGCGACATCGTGTGGAGATTGTTCCGCCTGAGCAGCCAGGATCTTACGCTGAGTTCAGGGCTCCTGTGCCTTTGCTGAATGAGGGCTTTAGAAGATGATTTTCCTCAGCACAGTCAGGCCAGACACTCAAGAAAGAACACAGGCAGGGACAGGAATGTGGTTCTTCTCATGGAACACCGAACTTTCAGACAGGGTCACAAGAAACACTGGGACAACAGCCCTGTTGTACTAACAGAGCCACCTCTGGGCACTGTTTCCTTCTGCCACCCGTGTGCCACCCTTCCAGGGCTGCTTTGAGGATGAAATCAGGTACAAGGAGTGACTTGCACAGAAATTAGTTATTATTATTGGGACTTTAAAAAGGAAAACAGCTGGAGGTGGAACTACAGCTGTGGCATAAGCACCTGCCCGGCAAGTACAAGGTCCTGAGTTTGCAACTTGATTTTCTTTTTTTTATTTGGTACCAGGGATCAAACTTACGAGCTCATGCTTGCCAGGCAGGCACGTATGCCACTAAGCTGAATCCCCAGCCCAAGGTCCTGAGTTTGAGTCCTGGTACAAAAAAAAGAAAAGAACAAAAAAGAGGAAAAAAAAACAGCTGATGTAATCCTAGCACTTGGGAGGCTGAGGCATGAGAACTGCTGTGAGTTCAAGGCCAGCCTGGACTACATAAAAGCAGGTTCAAAGTCAGCTTGACAGGGTCCAGGATTTAGCTCAGTGGCTCAAACACTTGCCTGGTAAGCATGAGATTGGGAGTTCAATCCCCAGAATCAAAAAAATAAAAAAATTAGAATTGGTCTCTAAAACAGAAGCCTGACTAGAAAAGGTCAGCTTGGACTACATAAAGACTGTCTCAAAAACTAAAGTTAAAAATGAAAACGGTCCCCACAAAGAGAATTCTGATTTGTCACTAAATCACTACTTGCTAGATAAGCTAGATAGCACAGAAACTCTCAGAAAAAGGGGAACTGGATCTAGCTATGGCACCAGATGGCTTTCACTCTCACCACTGATTCAAGCCTGAAATAATTACATTCCAGTATGGTAATTATACTCCAAGCTGCACAAACACACCATAAACACAAACCCTAAGCAGATGAAAACTCCAGCGTGGGAAAGGTAATGAGTGGAGGAGGAGTCTGAGGGTGGGACAGGAGTGGGAAACCCTGGGGCATCCTTCTCGGTCCAGAGGTCCAAGCTTCGACAGTTTCTTTTCTTTCTTTTTTTTTTTTTTTTTTGGTCTTTTTCCTTTTTATCGGTACCGGGGATCGAACTCACGACTGCCTGCTTGCAAGGCAGGCACTTATGCCGCTGAGCTAAATCCCCAGCCCCTGCTTCAACACTTTCTAACCAGGCAACATTTTGAGCCCTTAACAGATAATTCACTGAATAAAGAAGCTAGATTTAAGTTTAAAAAATAAGAAACTGCAAATTCATCTTAGCAAATTGTTTGAAGTCAGACATTTGATAGTCATGTGCAAAAAGTTAAGAGAACACTAGTGATCATCTTAGATAGTAGCCAGTTGAGGCAGGCATAGAGGCACACACCTGTCACCCAGCACGCAGGAGGTTGAGGCAGAAGGATGGCTGAGTTTGATGCAGCCTGGTCTACGTAATGAGTACAAATCCTGCCTGAACTACATAGCAAGACCGTCTCAGAAAACCAAAACCAAACCAAGACCAGCCAAGGTACCACAACTAGACCTTGTCCAAAAAAAGAATAGGACACTGGGCACTGTATACCCTTGGGGTACAGCTCAGAGGCAGAGCATCTGCCCAGTGGGCACAGGGCTCTGAGTGCAGTGCTCAGTGCTGCAAAAAAATAATAAAAAGAGAGAAGCAGGTACAGCCCTACCTGCAACTCCTCATATAACTGTGTACACTGCAACGGTGAATGTAATGGACAGCCTTAGCTTTAAATTATTCCAAGTTAGTTTTTAGACTACTTACAAAAGAAAACAGAAAAAAAAAAAAAAAAAAAACCAGTAAGATAGAAAATACACAAGTGCTGACCAAAAAGAAAGATTTAGCAGTGACTTTCCTTCTTGCATCTTTAATTTTTATGTATCTGAGGTTTTTGTGTTTTATGTCTTTTTTCGTTTTTATCGGTACCAGGGATCAAACTCACAACCGCACACTTGCAAGGCAGGCGCTTATGCTGCTGAGCTAAATTCCCAGCCCTTGTATCTGAGTTTTTTAATTGATGGTTTAATCTGGCAGAATAAGGAAGAACATTACCCTTTCATGACTGAGTATCATGAGAATGCAAAATAAATGGCCCCATGAGCCACATCATTGAAGACTTTTGATCACCCCATAATTACTGTGGGTGAGTTTTGTGCTTTTTCAAAAGTAATTTTTTCTTACAATTTTATTTCCTGTCTCTCAGGTTCTGATGTTTCATAAATGAGGCTGTAAATCTCATTTTAGCCTTTTTTGTTTGGCGAAATGTTGAGGGGTAGGAAGAGGACAGCTAGTCTTGTCTCTCTCCAAAAACACAGCTTGTACAAACCTAAATCTTATTAACTTGATTCCAAGTATGGAAAACAACTTTGTTGAAGCACAAAAGCAAGTTTACTTTGAATTTACTCTCTTTCATTGAGGGTAACTGGCAATTGATACAACATTTTCAGTTTATTTTCTGACTGCCATCCACTACTATTACCATTATTTAAAAAATTTTGGGGAATTGGGCATGGTGGCACATTTCCATAAGTCCAGTGCTCTGGGAAGCTGAGGCAGGAAGATCACAAATTTGAGCCCAGCTGAGCAACCCAGTGACTGAGAAACTGTCTTGAGTAAAAAAGGGAAGCCAAGGGTGGTGGCACATACCTCTAGTCCCTGCATTTGGGAGGCTGAGGCAGGGGAACTGCTGTAAATTCAAAGTCACTCTATGCTACATAGCAAGACCCTCAAAAATAAATAAAAATAAGAAATGCTGGGAGGTAGCTCAGGGACAAGAGCCTACGGTGAGCATGCTCAATTCTGCATTAATGTATTTCAACAAGATTCTGGCTTCCATCCCCAGCAGCTAAGATGAATAAACACCAACAGGAAAACAATGCATCTTGTCATTTAATTAGTTTATTGAGTGGCTAATGATATCCTAGATACTGTTATACTGTTCTGACTGCTAAAGATATAAAATTAAACAGAAGAAAAACTTGAGTGCTCATGGAGTTTATATTTTGTGGGTTTTGAAAAGGATGAAATAATTACACAGAATGTCAGGCAGTAACTAATATTACAGAGCAAAATAAAGGGGGACGTGGGATAAGAGTGTGCTGTTTTAAATAGAGCTGTTGGAAGCTGCCTCTTGGAAAAGGTGATCCCCAAGCCAGCATTCTCAAGTCACTGCTGGGAAGAGCATTCTAGGACAGGAACAGCAGGTGCCACCAACAGTCACAGGTCAGGGTGAGCAGAGTGGTGGGTAAGAGGGAGCAAGGAGGCAGTGATTCTAATTCTCATCGTCTGACTGTCTCACCAGAGACCCTGGATGTACGTTTTAATTTATTCTGTAGATTTAAGAGAAGTTGGACAGCTCATCTAATTACTGCTCAGGGTTTTTGACTTTCTCCGAGCAATGCTTTAACTGTATTTATTTTTCACAGTGCTGAAGACTGACTCTAGAGCATAATTCTAACCCCAGCCTCAAGAAATGCTTTTAAATTCATTAAAAAAAAAAAAAAAAAAAAGAGCTGACGATTTAGCTCAGCAGTGCAGCGCCTGCCTGACAAGCACAAGGTCTTGAGTTCAATTCCTGGTAAGAAACAAAAAAACAGACACAAAAGTTTGTGGCCAGCCCTGAACAACACAGCAAGACCTCGTCTCAAAATTTAAAAAAAAATAAGGCGGGGGCTGAGGATTCATTTCAGGTGCAATTTTTGAGGGATAAGGTCCTAGATTCAATACTCAGTACACAGGGGAACTCTTTGGAAACAGAAATGTCCTGCATCTTGGTTGGGTTGGATGCGCTAGATGTGTCTGCCTGTGGGTGCACTCCCTCCTCTGCTGGGAATGTGGCTGAGTATCAAGGGTGCTGGCCTGAGTTCAATCCCCAGTACTGCACAGCAAAGAGCAATGACAAAAACTAGCTCACAGCCTTGCACACCTAAGATCTCTGCATCTCACCACTGGTAAACTAAACTTCAATTATGAAAAAAAAAGTCTTGAACCGTGCAGTCCCTGCTTCATTTCATAGCTGGAGAAAAACAAAGACCCACACAGGGGTGCGCATGCCAAAAGCTTCCATGAGCTGCAGCACTCTTGTTAAATGTACAAAGCCAGCTTCAGCAAGAGGTCCTTCCAAGCACCAGTCCCCCACAGACCCTGAGCATCTGCAGAATTGTTTTGCCATTGTTAATGGCATTCATTCTAACAAGTATCAAAAAAAAAAAAAAGTACAAGTATTCTTTACCCAAGTCAGGTTCCTCCCCAAAGCGGAGCCCATCCAGACAGGAAAAGAAAGGGGGCTTAGTGGGCTGAGAAGTTGGGGGCAGGGGCAGGAAGCAGGGAGGAGGAAAAGAAATAGTACTTCATGGTGTCTTAAAGCGCTTCCATCAAGAAATGCAGAAACTATCGCAGCCTCATCTTGACAGATGTGGTTTACTGTTTTTCTGCTTAGTACATCAGGCCAATGCTACTCAAAGCTACTCGTTTGCTTAGGAGACAGTCACAAAAGGAAGACTTACCAAATTGGACACTCCAAGACTTTCTGCATAGCATTAAGGACATTTTGTACTTCAACTCGAACCGCTGATACATCCATTTCTTTATGTTCCATTTAACTTAAACATAAAAGTTTTAAAACATATAGTGATACAGAATTTATAAAAACAGTAAACATCATCTTTAAAAACAGCAGAAATTTTAAAAGTTGAAATGCTTCGAAAATTTTAACACCACAGAATGAATAGTAAAAGTATTTCCTTAAAAAGATTTTGGGGGGCCGTTTGATTTTTTGAGACTCACCATGTAGTTTGTGCTGGTACTGAATTCACCATGTAACCCAGGCTGGCCATGAAGTAGAAGCAACCCTCTTTGTCTCAATCTACTGAGTGCTAGGATTACACCCAAACAAAAATAATTTTTTTGAGATTGAGTCTCACTATGTAGCCCAGGCTGGCCTGGAACTCATGGGGATCCTTACTGTCTCAGCCTCCCAAGTGCTTCAGTTACAGGCCTGCACACTATACCTAGCCCTTGGAAATATTCTAACAGTTGCTTTTTGTAATTACCAATTTGCATTTTGTATCTTTCACAAATAACCTCTAACCCTTCCTTTGGTCTTTTCCTTTTTCCAAGAAAAGGAAGGCCACAGTGGGGAGACCAGCTTCTTGCATCACCCAGTCTTTTTTTTTTTTTTCTTTGGTATGGGGCTCAAACTCATGACCATGTGCTTGCAAAGCAGGTGCTTATGCTGCTGACCTAATCCCCAGCCCCTTGTTTTTTTCTTAACAGATGTGTGCATAAAGAAAATGTAGTATTAGCGCACAATGGAGTACTACTATCATAAAGGAAGATAAACTTGGGGCTTTGGTAGGCAAATAGATGCACCTTGAAACTATAATGTTAAGTGAAATAATCAGACACACCAGTTTAAATAGCACATGACTTCTTTTATACAAGAAACTCAATTGATGCAGGCAGCTGAGTTAGTTAGAAATACTATAGAAAGTCAGACAGGGGTGGGTCCTCAATAGAGGCAGTGCAAAAGCCCAGATAGATACCTGGCAACTGTGGGGGACACTGACACCTTCTGCTGTGGGCCACGCCTCAAGACAAAAGACCACACAAATGCACCCATATCCTGAGGATCCATGTTCTAAATAGTTCCCCATCCCCCTGAGGAAGTCTGGAGTCACCATTCCAACCCCCTAAGGGGAAGAGTCTAGGCTAAGAATGTCGTCTTCGTAGGCGACTCACTTCCCCATTTGTCCCCAACTTAATCAATTTTAACTGAACTATTAATCTTATTGGCTAACCACAGTTCTATCCCACTTTATGCCCATCAGCCTTGCAAGTTCCCAGTTTTCCCCACCTTAAACCCGTCTCTCCCCATATTTTACTCCATACAAGTCCCTAAAAAAGACAGAGTCCTTGGCAACAGGCTCCGGACCTCATCTGTCTCTCAGACAGAAACTGTCTTTCTCTCAATAAGTATATTCCACTCTTAATCTGCATTGTTCCTAAAATTCATTCTTCAATATTAGAGAACACAAACTCGTGGACATAGTAGGTCAGGAGTTTTATTCCCCTATATCAAATATACAATATATATGGGGGGAGGAAAAGCAGACGACTGATAAAAGAAGTAAGGAGATCTTTTGCAAATGGGTGGGGGAATAAGGAAGGGAAATGGGGGAAATGAGGGGAGGGAAAAAAGAATGGCAGGTGAAAAAAATGATGAAAACTTTGCGAAGGGAACCAAGAGTTGGAGGAAGGGGGGGGGTAGAAAGAAACGAATTAAAGAGTATCGCGCCCAGTACCAACTGGCACCGAGAACCTGTACCGAGCAGGGCACGGCGTCCAGGCCAACGGCCGCAGCGGTCGGGAGGCTGCGAGGCTCAGGCGCTGCGGCCACGGCCCCCCCGGCCGCGCCTGCTCTTACTGGCGCCCTCCAGCGCTTCCCCAGCCCCTCGGGACGCCGACGGGACAGGGTTCTGCCCCGAACCCACTGGGCAGCTCTGGCTGGCCGCGAACCCGTGACCCTCTCGCCTCGGCCAGCAGAGCGTTCGGTCCGGGTCTCGAGGATTCTCCCCGCCCGGCCCTCTCCTTTCTCGCGGATCCCTCTTGCCGTTCTAGTCCGCTTTCCTGTGCCCCTCAGGCCGCGTTCCAGGTCCTGTCTCTAGGATTCCCCCCCGCCCCCGAACACAGAGTCCCCCACGAGCACTGGCCCACAAGCGGCCGTCCCGCCCCCACGGCTCAGAAACACCAGTCCTCGCTCCTTTAGGAGGCCGCTAGCTTCCCGCCGGCCCGCAGGAGCACCCACCGCTTACCTCTCCCGTTCCCCAGAGTCTCCAGCTTCACCCCGCGCAGAACGTCGGGGTTCCCCACGCCGGGGGTCGCAGGTATCTGACCAGAACGCCAGCTGTGTTCTGTCTCGAAAGCCCCTGAGAACTCACTCCGCGCAATCGCAGTTTCAATTTATCCGTAATTCCCGCGCTTTCTGTCGCCACGGCAACCAGCAGCGGCCGCCGCGCGTTAGCCCTTCAAAACGCGAGAACGAGCACGTGAACGGAAGGCCGGGACAGGGAGTGCCGAGCGTGTTCTAGGCTCGGGATTGGTTGCCCAGTCGTTCCGTGCGTGACGTTTTACTGACGCAAAACGCCGGCGCCCCTCCCTCCGACTCTAGGCTGCGAGTTCCGGTTTGTTACGTCCAAGAGTTTTGCAAAAGGATTGGAATGGCTAACACGTCTGAATTTGAGCGCAGGATAACGCTCGACGCAGCCTCAAGATGGGGTTCCATCCCCCTACCCGTTCTACTGCAATGGACGTATTCAGCGGGGGCAAATAAAAGGATCGTGAGGAACAAAACTACAACATCCGAAATGCATTGCGGAATGAAAAGTTTTCTGCCCAGTGCTCCTTGCAGACCGTAGTCCTAAACAGACGCGCTTCTGACTCCGAAACAAGCACGATTCCCACAACAACACATTTGGTAGATTAGAGACCTCTTAGTCATGCATGTCGATAGCAATGGGCTGGACTATTGTGTTTTTGTTTCTTATTAGCAGAGGCTAGGCTAAAAAAATATACAAATCCGAGGAAGACTACGATTCCCATCGAGCCCCGCGAATCCTGACAGTCCTCCAAGGTCACGTACCTGCGGGAACGTACAGGGAGCGCAAATGACCGGAGAGGGGAAGGCGCTCTGGCCCGCGCCTGCGCACTCCCGCTCCTCCATCCTTGGGTTTGTTATTGTTGTGAGGGTCAGCTGTCTCTGCCCCGCCCCCGCCCTACGCATTCTCGACCAATAAGTGGGGAACGAGGTTTGAAGGACAAGCCATAGGAGCCAATCGCCTTGCGAGGAACTTAGGGGCAACAAGGACTGGGCCCAGTCTCTCTCCGCCATGTTAGATGCGCCCCGCAGGGGTAGCCGTTGAGCTGGCGCCGGACGCTTGGTGCCCTGGCCTGCAGCAGGCGCCCCCAGGGGGCGGGAATCGGGTAAGGAAGCGGCTGCGGTGACCTGGGGGTGGGGTCTCATCACCCCTAGCGGGCTGACGGAAGTTAGGGGGGGCGTCCTGCGAAGTGCGGTGACTTTTCCGTGGTCTTGGGCAGCGGTCTCCGCGGTGGCCTCCGAGAGAGCCGCTGTGTCCTGAGGGCCGGAGGTATAAAGAATCTGGTCTCGGATCGCCGAGGGAGGCCGAGACCCTCTAGGCAGAGGAAACGAGAGCTCTCGGGACTGGTGACACAGTCGTGGGGACGTGGAGTAGTAGAAAACGCAGACGAGAGTGAAGTCTGGAGGAGAGAAGTGACAGTGCCCACACGTCTTCCCCTTCGCGTCCTCCTCCTCCTCGAGGACTTTTGGGGGCACCCCCATCCTGCTTTTAAGGAACAGTTCGCCGCTGTCGTAGTCCTTTTTGTCAAAAACGCAGCTTTCAGATTACGCATTTTAAGGCCTGGAGAGCTCCTTCGGGCTCTTGCTGTAGTCCGTAGTCAAAGCTCGGGTTCCCAGGTCGGCTTAGTTGAAGGTATTTGCGCAGGGCGAAAATCAACGTAGAGGAAAAGCCGAATTGTGCCAAGTGGAGGTGAGGCAGTGGCCTGGGTGTACAGCAGCGCCAGTTAAGAAGCTAGGCTGCCTCGACCTAACTGCCCCGTGCTGGCTTCAAACCTAAAGGAACAGATGAGGCTGGCTGTGGCGCTGGGATTTCCACAAGCTCAGAAGGAATGCTCCTGTTTAGGGAGTTTCACCTGTAATGGGGAAGGGGATTGCATACATCTGTAATCCCGGCCCTGCACTTGGGAAGCTGAGGCAGGAGAGGCCAGTTTGAGGCCAGCCTGGGCTGTATAGGAAGTTCAAGGCTATCCTGAAGTATAGAGCAGGACGCTGTCTCACAAAAACAACAACAACAACAACAAATTTTTCACATGAAGGCCAGAGAGGAATGGGCAGTTCTTAATGAAGACCTGGACATGGGCCACCTAAACTAGAATCTCCCACTTCCTGTTTCCTCCCATTGGCAGATCATCTGGATGAGCTCCAAAGTACAGAACTGATTTCTGATTGTGTCACTTGAGAAGAGAGGAAGAGTAGTTTTCTTCCAGACATTTAAAGTATGGAAGTGTGCTTCTTGACATTGGAAAGTCAGAATGCATTTCAAAATTTCCCCGGTGGGCAAGAATGAATCATCCGTCACTTTTTATTTCCCTCATTTTTTTTGCCCAGTGTCCTGTGGGACGCTCCCTGGATTGTAAGGACACCAAGAATCACATTCTATGGGAGTGAATCATGATTGTTGGCAGGATTGGTGCCACAAACTCACTTTATTTTGGGGGCGTGTCTACTTTTAAATGAAGGCAAAGAATAGAAAAAATGGATTCTAATGTTGGGTATGAAATGACCTCTGATCTTCATAGAGTTCAGGATCCTTCATATGACAGTTTCACAGAGCGCTGTGTTACATGATACAAAACTACTGTTAAGGTCCTAAAGACCATTTTTTTTGGAGACAGGCACCACCATGCCCAGTTTGAGACTGATTTATTATAATAACTTTGTGTTTGGGTACTGTTTTCGGGTAACCTGCACACACTTTGTGTTTGTTTATTGCCAGGGATCCAATTCGTGGCTTTTCTTATGCCAGGACACACTGTTCCCTAAGCTATAACCTTTGTCCCGTGCTCTGTTTATACTTGATTCTTATGTAGTAATAACATTATAATGTAGGCAAGGGCAGCTCTGTTCTGTAGATAGCATGACCAAAGCTCAGGGATGAGGTAACTCACTTGCCTTGTTACTGTTGACCCCAAGCTGTGTCTAGAAGCCATGTATGGCCAGCTCTTGTGACCTCTTCCCCCAGAATTTGAAGCTCCCAGACTTAATCTTGTTTTATCTCTCATCTCCTGTGCCTGAGGTAGAATCTGGCTCCATGTGGCTGCAAATTAAAAAGTGTCAATGATTATGTTTGAAAGCTAATATTTGCCCCATACCTGTAATCCCAGCACTAGAGAGGCTGAGGCAGGAGGATTGCCATGAGTTTAAGGCCAGCCTGAACTGCATAGTAAGGTACTGTCTTGAAAAAAAAAAAAATTGCTCTCCACTTTTGTCTGAATTTGATGTTCCTCTTTTTTTTTGTTTTTTCCCCTCTTGGTACTAGGGATTGAACTCATTGACCTTGCACTTGCCAGGCAGGTGCTTATGCTACTGAGCTAAATCCCCAGCTGATGTTCCTCATTTTAAGAATCCAGTGGACTACAAAAGCAATCATTTGGGAGACAGTGTTGAGTGCTGCCCCTTTGGTGGATCTTGTTTGGGCCTTTTAAGTCATTAAAACAGTTCTAGTAGAAAACCTGCATCTTCCAAGTTAAGAAAAGCCTGCTAGAAAAATGTGGACTGTCACTTTGAGTCTCCAGAGAATGAGAGTTCGTCTTACCCAACTTGGCTGCTACAAATATTTAATTGCCAAAGCTCTGTAATGTGCAGTAGAATCCTCAAGAGACTACAAATGCTAGATGATTTCTGTGGGTGTGATCAAAATAATCTCAGCAGGCTTTTATTTCTTTAGTTTTCTTTGAGACATGATCTCACTGTGAGGCCCAAAATGACCTTGCATTCCTCGGCTCAGGAGATCCTGCTGCCTCAGCCTGCGAAATACCTGGGAGTGTAGGTGCTCCTCCCTGAACTGCTGCAGTGGTTTCTAAGAAGAGTAGTGTTTGTGGCCTATTTGAAGTGCAGGTCTTTGTGGCATAGTCTGAGCACTAATACGTTTCTCACGAGGAACAATTGCTACGTAAACAGATTCAGCTTCCTGCTGGATTTTAGGTCTGTAAAGTAGGGAGGTTGATTTGTTCACTGCTGTTTTCCAAGCCTCCTCCTCCTCCTGGGTCTGCAGGAGTCCTTGTTGAATGCAGTTTATGCCACTTTCTCTTGTGCTATGTTCTCTCCCACTCCGCCCTCAGCTCCAGCCCCACAGCATGGAACCGCAGGTTACACTAAATGTGACTTTCAGGAATGAGACACAAAGCTTTCTGGTTTCCGATCCAGAGAACACAACTTGGGCTGACGTTGAAGCTATGGTAAGTATTCTGCTTTGTATCTTCACATTTTGTCCAGAGGTGTCTGCTTATGGCATACCTGTGAGCTCTGTCATATTTGCATTTCTGGGTTCCTCCAGAGGTTGGGCAGTGCCCTGTTCGAAGGCACAGGTAAATGGGTTTCTTTTGAAGAGCTTAGAGAAGATCAAGTGATTTTTTTTTTTTTTTAAGAGAGCCAGATTTTGAGAACCTGCCTACTTAGTCTGAGGAATGAATGGATCAGTTGGGCCCTACCCAAGCTGGGCCCCAAGGTGTGTCCTCCTCTAGGGCAGTGGGTCCACTGTCTCCAGCTGCCCTGGATACAAGAGCTCACTTTGTGCCAGAGCTGTGGGTGGCTTTTATTGCCCGGTGCTTACATAGCAGCCCTTCCCCACCTTTCCCTTGTCTTGATTTGCTCTTTGGACTGTGCGGATTCTATTGACTTTACTGTGATGAATGATTTACTTCATGTGTGTCTGTTCTGGGTTTGCACCACCACTCTGGGTAATTCCAGTGCTCTGGGAGGCTGAGGCAGGAGGATTACATCGAAAGTTCAAGCCCAGCCTGGGCAACTTAGTGGCTTTGCAAGACTGCATCTCTAAATAAAAGAACCTGGGCTTAGAAGTCTCTGAGTTCATTCTCAGGCACCATGTGCACGCCCACCCGCACATACACGCATACACACACCCTGCTTCCCCAGCCATTTGTGATACTAACTACAAGGAGGAAGTGGCCGCCCAAGCGGTGCATGCCTGTAATTCCAGCAGTTGGGAGGCGGGCATAAAGGACCTTGTGAGCTGGAGGCCAGCCTAGGCTACTAGTGAGACCCTGTCTCCAAAAGAAAGTGTAACGTAGAAGGAATAAGATGATAGCAACGCCTTAAAAAATGGGCTGATGGGGGCTGGGGATTTGCAAGCAGGCAGTCGTGAGTTCGATCCCTGGTACTGATAAAAACGAAAAAGAAAAAAAAAAAAATGGGCTGATGTCATTCTCTGCCCTCCAGCAAGTGTCTGTGTTGTCCTAGAAGGGTGGAATGCAGAAAAGGGTCAGCTCCCTGAGCCAGCAGGACACATCTGCAGGCCCTGCCCTTGTGAGGATGAGCCAGGCCAGGCTGAGTGACAGGTAGTGAAATCCAGCCTCTAAAAGAAAAAAGCTGGATCTTGTGCATCAGATGATCTGAAGAGCAGACCCCTTTTGTTTTTCTTTTCCAACTGGATAAGTGAGCTGACGGTTTGTCTTTCTCTTTTATTGTAAATTTTATTTATATTTAGATTTTTAAAAGTTTTTTTTTTTTTGAGACGGCGTTACTGAGGGCCCAGGTAGGACTTTTCATCCTCCTGCCTCAGCCTCTTAAGTGTTGGGATTACAGGCAGCACCATCGTGCCTGGCTTTTTTGTTGTTGTTGTTTTCTGAGAGAGCATCTTGTTGGTCAGGCCAAGTTGACCTAGAACTCGCTGTGTGGCTCAGCTGGCCTAGAACTCAGAATTCTGCCTCAGCCTCCTAAGTGTTAGGACCACAAGTATAATGCCAGCAAAAAGTTAAGAGAATGCTCCCCCCCCCTTTGAACTCAGGACTACGTGTGTGATAGCCAGCACTGTACCACTGAGCTGCACGTCCAGCCCAGAGCGCCCTTTCTTTTCTGATTTCTAGGTTTATGTTATGGCCTCCTTTTTGATGTCTTAATCCTATAATATGTGCATTTCATTTGCAGGTAAAAGTTTCTTTTGATCTGAACACTATTCAAATAAAATACCTGGATGAGGAGAATGAAGAGGTAAAGTACATTAGAGATCCACTGTTAAAACGTTCAGACCAGAGGTTTTGGGTGATTTGTTTGGGACGTGGACTTACCAAGTAGCACAGGTTGTCCTGGAACACAGCAGTCCTCCTTCCTCAGCCTCCTAAGTGTAGAAATCACAGCATGTGCCATCACGCCAGTCCACAGTAAAGTTGTTACTTTTGCAGAGTGATGTGGGGCTTGGAAAAGTTCGGAATCTTCCTCATCCTGTGCGTGTGATGATTAAATGCTGTTTGATTGGGGCTGGGGATTTAGCTCAGCGGCATAAGCGCCTGCCTTGCAAGCAGGCAGTCGTTCGATCCCCGGTACCGATAAAAAGGAAAAAAACAAAAAAAAAATGCTGTTTGATAGCTCAGCCTTGGTGGACTTGGGGAAGGGCATTAAAGGGAACCTACAGGGCAGCTTACAGTTAAGCTGGGGTGGGGCGCACGCCCCTCATCCCCACTCACCCCTCATCCCCGCTCTCGGGAGGCTGAGGCCGGAGGGCTGCTGGGCATTCAAAGCCCGCCTGAAAAATGTGGAGAGGCCCCACCTCACAAGAAGAGAAGAAGAAAGACAACTGAAAATGATGAAGTGGTCTTAGCTTTGAATGTAGTGCAAGCTTCCTCTTAGCTCAGGACAGTAAAGCAGCAGTGATGGCCTGCACTGGGCCCTGGCAGTGCTGTGCGTGCTGCACTCTTGTTACTGCTATTGTGCACAGGGAAACCGATCCCTTGTGCTCCTCTCTTTCAGATTTCCATCAACAGTCAAGGTGAGACCGAGGCCCGCGCACTCTGCCTGCCATCCCTGCTGCCCTGTCCTGCTCACTCGGAGCAGAGTGTGATGCCCCTGTGGCACCCACACACATGGCTTATGGTGGTTCCCGTCCTGCTACACCAGCCCTTGCTGTTTGCTGTGTGTTTTGTACGGGGAGGCCCATGGGTTTGGGCTGAGCATTCTGCTGCGTCCGTGTTGGGGAAGGGGTGCTTGTGAAGTGGGGCTGGCAGTGTGTTTTCCCCAGAGGCGCTGTGGTGTTGGGAGTTCAGGCTCCCAGGCCGGGACCAGAAAGCCCGTGCTGATCAGCAGGAAGGACAGTGTTGCTTATAGCTCTGTGACCCTGTGTGGCACCGGCCTCCTGTGAGCAAGCTGGGCCCAGTGCTTGCACCTGGTGTCTCCAGGAGCGAGGAAAGGGGCTCAGCGGCAGCTTCCGACATGGCGGCATGGGAAGGGAGTTTGCCAGCAGAGCCTGGAGGCTGCTGCTAATCTGTGCGGATCGTGAGCTGAGCCTTCTCCCAGCACAGTGCAGGCAGGGTGATGTAAGATGCGCACAGTAAAACTCAGCAAGCCAACCCATGTGGTCACCCGTTCCTGCACCCACCGCACAGGGCCCCTGTCATCCACTCCTTCGGCAATGATTCTGACTCTGGTCAGGTTGGGGGCACTGCCTGGAATCCCAGCACTTTGAGGCAGAGGCAGGAAGTGCAGCCTGGACTGCAAAAACAAGCAAGTCCTGAACAGGACACCCTGTCCCTAACTGTGCTCTTGGTGTCACACATTCGGTTTCAAGAGTGACTCTTAATAGAATTTTAAGGCTGGAGAAGCATCGTCACTGTTGTTTCTTTTGTTTTAGGGGAGTATGAAGAAGCACTGAAGGTAATGGTGTTTCATCTCATTGTCAAACGACTTCAGAGGATGTTCGTTGAGGGAAATGTGAGGGCCAAGGGTGGACTCAGTAGCAGTGTGGAAAGCACAAGCAGAAGTCACCCTCCACCAACATAGCGGGAAGCAAGTGGCAGTGGCCTGTCCCACTCTAATAGAAAGTGCTGCCCTGTCCCTCCTGCCCTCTTTGCTCACCATGGCACCACCAGCCTCCATTTGCCAGTACCGAGGCGGTGGTTTAGTGCTCTGTGCTGGAGGTCCCAGTTCTTCCAGAGGCTGAGACAGGAGGTTGGCAAGCTGGAGGCCAGCCTGGGAACTTAGCGAGACCCTGTCTCAATTTTAAAGATGTGAAAATGCTGGCCGGAGAAGTAGCTCAGTGGTGGAGTGCTGCCTGCCTGTGCAGGACCCTAGTTCGATTCCCAGTACTGCCAAGAAGCCCAGCTCTTGGTGTCTGAGGAATTTTATAATTCTCAGTGCTGGAGGCCCAATCCAGGGCCTCACGAACCAGGCAGGTACCCACCACTGAGCCACATCCATAGTGCCCGAGCCAAGAGGTGATCACCACAGTCACTGAGGGTGCTGTCTTCTCACGGAGTCCTGAGGACTGGCATGGCAGCTCACACCCGCAATCCCAGCACTGGGAGGCTGAGCCAGGAGGGTCCTGAGTTCAAAGGCAGCCTGGGCTACATAGTGAGCCCATCTCCGAAGAGAGAGTAAGGGATTTCTAAGTCTAATGTATAAAAATAGATAAAGGGGGGCTGGGGATTTAGTTCAGAGGCATAAGTACCTGCCTTGCAAGCAGACAGTTGTGAGTTCAATCCCCGGTACCCATAAAGTTTAAAAAAAAAAAAAAAGTGGATAAAGGGCCAGGCATGTAGCTCAGCAGCACTGTGCCTGCCTGGCAAGCGTGAAGTTGTAAGTTCAATTCCTGGTACAAAAAATTAAAAATTACCTTAAAAATTTAAAAAAAAAATAGTTGAAAGAACAGCACTGGTGGCTGATGACTAGGGGGTCTGGTTGTCCCCAGATCTCTTCATGAACCCTAAAGTGCCTTATGGAACCCCAAATGTTTATTGAAGTAGTTTGCAAACTAGAATTTTTCAGAAAGTTTTATTCAAAAAGGTGTGGCTACTTTGCCTTGCCTGCCAGTACTTTTAGTGGAAAAGTACACATTTCTTTTTTTTGTCTTTTTCCTTTTTATCAGTACCAGGGATCGAACTCACAACTGCCTGCTTACAAGGCAGGCGCTTATGCCACTGAGCTAAATCCCCAGCCCCCGAAAAGTACACATTTAATTACATGAGCTAGCTTGAAGTTCCTCAAGTTCTGTTAGCCTGGCATTGATTTTTGGAAACCTGATAGAGAGTTGATAGATGGTGGCTAGGCGTGATGGTGCACTCCTTTCACGCAGCACCATGGGAGGCTGAGGCAGGAGGATCTCCACAGGTTTATGCCCAGCCTGGGCTCCTCAGCAAGAACATGGCTCACCTGGAGGCCTTGCACTTATTCCCTTGTCCTGCGAGGCATGGGGCGAAGGCCTGACGGTCTCCGGCCTGGCTGCCTGCCCTCTCACACTTTGGGACTCTGAAGCTCCATGTGTACCAGGCCACCCACACTGGGGCTTTTGTTTCCTCCCCTGCTCCCAGATGGCGGGGAAGCAGGGGCACCAACTGCAGATGCAGGTGCTCGCAGGGCACCTCGCTGCTAACGAAGCCCCAGCCGTGGTGGGAGCAGAAAGACACAGCACCTCCCCGACTGGCAAGAAGCCACTGGCACACTACTCTGCCCTGGTGAGGGCCATGGGGTCGGAGCTGAGGAACCCTGCAGTGCCAGCCCCTGAGGTAGGTGGTGCACGAGCTGGATTCTGTTGGGGCCTCTTGGCTCTCCTCCTCCTCCTCCTCCTCCTCCTCTGCCCTGGACCTTGCTTTGACCTCACCCTGATGACGCTTGGGAGAAAGCCCACAGTGAGCCAGAAGGGGGGTGCCAGGCACCTGGAGTGACCTTGGTCCTGCTGTGTCCCTTCCCAGCCATTTCCGCTTACCCTGGGTGACCCAGACCACACTCAGGATAGACCTCCAGACTGGTTCACACGCTCCCTGGAGACCGTGAGTGTCCCCAGCATCCCCTGGGCTAGTCCTGGAGCATTTGCAGGGCGGGAGCAGGGAGACAGCTGGAGGCTGAGCCCGGGAGTGGCATGTGGGGCAGCCCTGCACAGGGAGGGAGGTGAGACCGGGTGGGGGTACCTCCACGTGTGCCCTTAGTGTCTGGCACCATCCTGCTGTGGCACACAAGGCAGGCCCCCACTCATCACCACCTCTGCCCCGTCCCAGCTCGCCTCCTTCCTGGTTTTTGTCACAGTTCAGAGAGCAAGTGGTGAAGGAAACCGTGGAGAAGCTGGAGCAGAGGTTCCAGCTCATCCTGCAGAGCCCACCCGGGGGCTCCCTCACCCCCGACTCTGCCCTGCCTGCTGCGGAGGAAGCGCCCCCACTGCCAGTGGCCCCGTTCAGCTGGCCTCTGGTGTGCAGCGGCTGCCACCGGCGGATTGTGGGCACACGCTACCAGTGCAGGTGAGCAGTCAGGCAGGGAAAGGGGCTGTCCACGGCCACGAGCCGCTGTCACTGAAGGAGCCTTACCCACCCTCCATACAGTCCCTGCAGGCCCCAGGGCAGACTCAGTGTCTTCAGTCTCCTGTGACCATTCCGGTGTGGGCAGGCCGGCCTTGGGCCGCACTGAGTTGGGGGTCTGTCCTCAGTGTGCCCCACGTCTTCCACACTGTGCCCCACAGCCTGTGCCCATCGTACAACATCTGTGAGGCCTGCGAGGCAGGCCCGTACGCCCACAGCGCCAGCCATGTGCTGCTGAAGCTGCGGAGACCCGTGCCCAGCACCCTGGACCCATGCTTGCACCCCAGGCTGCCTACACCCCAGCTCCCCACCGCCCTGGAGCAAGTCAGGTGACACTGGGGCTCAGGGCTATGAGAAGCCGAGGCAGTTCGGGGCCTGAGGGGTGTCCAAGCGCACTCTGTCCTCTGTGACGCCACCCTCACTGCACAGGCTCCAGAAACAGGTGGATAAGAACCTTCTGAAGGCAGAGAAGCAGAGGCTGCGCGCAGAGAAGAAGCAGCGGAAGGCAGAGGTGAAGGAGCTGAAGAAGCAGCTCAAGCTGCACCGGAAGATCCACCTGTGGAGCTCACTGCATGGCCTGCAGGGCACCCGGTCCCCACCAGGCCGGCCTGAGAGCCTGCTGCCGCCTGGCAGCCTGGGGTAAGCCAGGGCTGGGCCAGGCCTTAGGACCGCTGGCTTATTCGTCTGTCTGTGTCTCCTCTTCTTTGGAGATGGGGTGCCCGGGTCCCCTGACTGCTGTCATCCACAGTGGCCTTCAGGGGGAGGGTAGTGCTGCAGCTGCTCCCCAGCCTTGCTCTGCCTTGGCAGGCACTTAGGGACTGGCAGCCACTCTGGGGCTCTGGGGTCAGGGAGCCCTATCTCCAGCTGGGCTCCAGCCACACAGTTAGTCTCGTGCATGCAAATGCTGAGAGAGCAGAAGTGGGGGGCATTTTCCTGGCACCTCAGGCACGCGTGGAGCATCCCAAAGTCTCAGCCAGCTCATGGGCCCAGGACTGAAACCCCCAAGGAGTGGCTGAGCCCGAGTCTCCCCCAGGCTCCCCACGCGGCCCAATGCCCCGGTGCTGCCGACCTTTGGCGCCGCCTTCGTGGATGAGAACCTGCCGGACGGGACGCATCTGCCGCCGGGGACCAGGTTCCTGAAGCACTGGCGGATGAGGAACACAGGCACCATCAGCTGGAGCGCGGACACCAAGGTGCCTCCTCGCCCCACCCCCAGCACTCGGCATCTGCTCACTGCCACCCAGCCTCAGCACCCATCTTGCCCTACCCCTGTGCCCGCAGCTCAAGTTCATGTGGGGGAACCTGACACTTGCATCTGCCGAGAGGAAGGACGTCCTCGTGCCCTTCCTGGAGGCAGGCCATGTGGGTGTGGTGTCCGTGGAGTTTGTTGCACCTGCCCTGGAAGGGACCTACACGTCCCACTGGCGCCTGGCCCAGAATGGCCAGCAGTTTGGACCTCGGGTCTGGTGCAGCATCGTGGTGGACCCCTCTGCCCCTGCACAGCATCCTAGCGACACCAGCGATATGGAAGGGCCCATGAGCAGCTCCAGCGAAGGCGGCGGCCTCGGCTGCCCACAGGAGGTGAGCGTGGGGACCTGGCCGGCATGCCCACAGCTTCCTGCCCATCTGACAGGTACCCAAGACCTCTGGGAACCTCCCTGCTGGCTCCATTTCAGAGGCCCTCATCTGTAATCAGGCCACCCAAGGCTTAGGGCTGAGGTTGGGATACAGGGTTGTGCTGGTGGGGGTAGAGGGGCCTGGGCTTGTCTGCCCCCAGTGGCCCCTGCTGACCACAGGCCCGGCAGCCCTCCCACCAGTGAGGCCACTACCATGTGTCCTTCCTCTCTCCTTTTGCTGTACTGGGGGTTGAACCCAAGGTCTTGGTACCAAGCCACATCCCTGGCTCTCTCTAGTTTTGAGGCAGCTGGCTGTCACCCAGGGTGGACTCAAAGTTAGAGATCTCTTGCCTCAGCCTTCCAGAGTGCTGGGGTGGCCACTCACCTCATCAGGCCTGGCTGTTCCTTTTCTCATGGAGATTTAGCAGCAACTTCTCTGTGTATTTGCTTGCTCTAGGAGGCTGCAAGGGTCTGTCATGTGGCTTCTGTCAGGGATCTAAGGTTTGTCCCCATGGCTTGTCTCTGCAGGACGCCTTGGTCCTGGCTAAAGGAGAAACCCCTCTTTGGGTCAGGACTGAGCGCACAGGAGGGACCAGGGCCCACACCCTGCAGAAGGCGAAGAGCACAGCCAGCGAGCAGGGCTTGTACATCCCGTCTGTGGACCTGACTGCGCAGGTGGGGCGAGGGGAAGACTTGCACCCAGCCTCACATGGGGAGTGGTACGGCAAGGGCCTGTGTGTGTCCTGCGGCGGCTTCTGCCACCTCTATGCGCTGTCACACAGTGCTATCTCCTGCTACCTGGGCCATCCCTGGAGGGGGCAGGGCACACTCAGGGCTCCATGTGGAGTCCCAGCTGCTGCAGCCTCACACACCGCGTCTCCCCAGGACCTGCTGTCCTTTGAGCTGCTGGACATAAACATTGTGCAGGAGCTAGAGCAGGTGCCACACAACACCCCTGTGGGTAAGCATACTTTTGGGGTTCTGAGGGTTGCTCCCAGGAGGGAGCACAGGAGCCAGCTGCACCCTCACCTTACTATAAGGTGAGGGTGCATCCGCCTTCTCTATGTCCTCCCTTTGCCCCTTTACTTTTTGTGCTCTGTACCTTGGCCATGGCCACCAGGCCAGGGAAGTGCTGGCAATCTCTGGGTCTGGGGTCAGTGCCCACCTGTCGGCACAGGAGCACCCTAGGTCCAAGTCACATGGGAGGCGGGAAGCCACTGTGCTGCTGCTTCAGGGCCTTCCTTCTCCTGCTGTTCCTCCTCCTCCTTTCCTCCTCCTTTCTTTTTCCTCTTTTCCCCTTCTCCTCTTTCCCGTCCTCCTTCTCTTCCTCCTCCTCTTGCTCCCCCACCTGTCCCCCTTCTCCTTCCCCCTTCCTCAGCGCTGGGTCTCATGTCCTCACTCTCCAGACATGACTCCCTGCATGTCCCCTCTGCCACGTGACAGTCCGCTCCTGGAGAAGCCAGGCTTGGGCCAGATTCGGGAAGAGAGCGAGGGCCTGGAGCGTGAGGCGCTGCTGGGTAAGGCTCGGTGTCTGGACAGCCTTGCTGCCCCTTTCCACACCACCAGCCACCCACACTGCCCTCCCTGCCCGGGACACCTCGCCTGCGTGGTATCTCAGGCCTCCTGAGCTGGGCTCCCTGGCTCTGAGTGCCGACTCGCGCGCTCAGCCCCACACTCTCTCCAGATTCCACAGCCCCAGGAGAGAGCCAGGTGGAGAGCACAGCTGTAGTGGAAGACGTGGAGGAAGACCTGAGTGGGACCCAGTTTGTGTGTGAGACCGTCATCCGCTCCCTCACCCTGGACGCGGCCCCAGACCACAACCCGCCCTGCAGGCCCAAGGCCCCGCAGCAGCGTGAGTCTGCTCCACAACCAAGGCGCGCCCTGTTTCTGCAAAGGGCTCCTGGCAGGCTTGCATCTCCTCGCTACACTCCCCCAGCTGACTGCTCTATCCAGAAAGCAATGCGGGTGTTGGGCCTGGCTGTACAGGGAGGACTCCCCAGGAAGTCCCTGCCAGCAGTGGGGAGACGCAGGCATCCCAAGGCTCAGTTCTGCTTGAAGAAATAATGGAACAGGAACCACGGGCCAGACTTAGGTGGAGCAGCGCTGGGTGCCCTAGAAACTATCAAAATTCAGAGTGTGGGGCCCACGTCTGGGATCCCAGCACTCGTGAGGCTAAGGCAGGAGGATCGGCATGAATTTTTTTTTTTTTTTTGGTACTGGGGATCAAATTCACAACCATGTACTTGCAAGGCAGGCGCATATGCCACTGAGCTAAATCCCCAGCAGTCGGCATGATTTTAAGACCACACTGGGCTGTATAGTGAGACCATCACAAAGGGAAAAAAAACCCAAATCCAAATGTCAGGATATAGAGGTACCGAGACATAGTAGTGACAGCGCCCTCGCTGGTGGCGCAGAGCCTTCCCAGTGTCGCCTCTCAGGTGGGTCCTTCTATCCTTCAGTGAACCTCACCTCGCAGCAGGAGGGACCCCTGGGGAACGAGGAGGAGGAAGAGGACGCTGTCCACCTCACTGAGCCCGGTGCTGAGCAGGAAGACGACGAGGAGCTTGGGGATGAGGTGCAGAGCCAGTCATCCAGCTCCTCGGAGGACTACATCATCGTCCTGCCCGAGTGTTTTGACACCAGTCGCCCGCTCTCCGACTCCATGTACAGCGCTGCACCCTGGCAGCCGGGCCCGGGCCAAGGGGCTGAGGATGAGCCCAGGATGGAGTCCAAGCAGGAGCCCACTGAGGCGGGGACTGGTACTGGGACAGGGACGGGGCTCCCTGCTGGAGAGAGCCCATTGCAGGAGCACATCCCCAGTCCCTTCCCGGAGGCCTTCCAGACCCTGGAGATGACGGGGCTGCTGCCGGCGCCACCCAGGTACTAGTCATGGTCCCCCTAGGGCTGAGCAGAGCCCGGAGCACTGGCTTGGTCCCAGACATGCCCCCCTCAGTCCCGGAAGAGACTTGCTGTAGTAACGTCCGAGCATAGAGCAGGATACATGGTTTTCCTGGTGTTCACAGCACTGGGGCTGCCGAAGTGCTTGGTTTAGGCTCCCCTGGTCTCGGATACAGTCCGAGCACTCCTGAGTTTCTGGGAACCAGGCACTGTGGGGCCACGTTGCTGTTCCATGTATGGGCAAAGGCGGCAGCAGCTCGAGTGTGGGCATCAGGGACGTTGGGCCCATGGCAGTCCCTGCCTCTCTGTGCTGCAGCAAGTGCTGCTGTCCTGCCCCAGAGGCCAGCACTCGGGGCTGTCGCCGAAATAAGCAGACAGGGATGGGTATGGTGACACAGACCGGTCCTTTTGGCACTTTGGGAGGCTGAGGCAGGAGAATTTTCCCACGTGAGCCAAGCATGGGCCACTCAATAATTTAATAAGACCCTGTCTCAAAAAATTAGAGGGCTGGGGACGTAGTTCAGGGTGAACCCTTGGGTTCAATCCCTAGTACTGTAATAAAAAGTGGGAAAAAGAAAAAATTTTAAAAATACAGAGAGCCCAGGCTCTTCTAGCCTGCTGAGGAGCAAAATCGGGAGGAGCAGCCCCAGCCTGAGCCTGGGTCCCCTGTGGATGCAGGACTGGGCCTCTAGAGGGCAGGGTGGCGCCGCCCTGTGCCTGTGACTGTTCCCACCGCCACAGCTGTTCACCTGCTCACGCTCCCTGTGGGCTCTCCGCAGGCACCCTGTGTGTGTGCAGCCCGGCTCCCCTGGAGAGGATGTCCTAGTCACCTTGCCAGAATCCTCTGCTGTCCCCAGGCAGATGAGAGCAGGTAAGGCTGCCCACAGACTCTGTCACCCCACTTCATACGGCTCCTATGCACCCCTGGGGTCCAGCTGAGGACCCAGAGGATCTGGCAGAGGTGGCTGTCATGGGGGCAGGGGAGAGCCTAGGCGTGGAGTCATTGCTTCCTCAAGTCCATAGCCCCCGCAGTTGGGGTGCTGGTGCAGGGTGGGGCTTGTCCACCCCCAGAGGCACTTCCGCTACCCCAAGTACTGGTCCAGAAGTGCTGGAGAGCTAGTTCCTGTGTGAGAGGGTGGCCAAGGGGCCTCTCCTGACTCCCCACACCTCTATTGGGTCTCCATGGGTTCTCCTACTATTTTTCCGCCCTGCAAAGCTGCCCCAAAGGCCCAGCGCCCATGGGCAGGGTGCCGAGGGTGCTGCCTCTAACCAGCAGGTCTTTTGCTTTCAGAGTCCCGGAGCTCCCCAGGCCTGGCGAGCAGCAGACCGAAGAGCTGCGACCAAGCAAGGTGATGGCTTGTGTGTGCCCCAGGACCCTCATGGCAGCCGGGGAGGCCATGGCCCTGGGGTCCTGCTACTCCCGAACCAAACTTCGAGGAGCAACAGGCGTGTGTGGGGCAGATATGGGCGTGCAGCACCTGGGCTGCTTCTGGGTGCCAGTGGGGGCCAGGATTCTTCACCTACCCCACAGTGTCCAGAGCGAGGTGCTTCCTCTGAAAAGGGCATGGGCCCTGGGCCCCAGGCGCTTCACTAAGCTGTGGTGCAGCCCACACCTAGTACTGCAGGAGGAGCACAGGACTCTGCTTCCTGGGCCAACAATAGACCAAGATTTGCAGGCAGAGAGCTGATGGGAAGTGGTCTGTCCTCCCCTTACCTCGGGGTCTCTTTAGGAAACCTGGCCTGCTGGGAAGTTGGCGTATGGCCATCGTGTAAGGCATGATGGCTTTCCCTCCACAGGCACCTGCAAGGCAGCAGCATCGCCGGAGGGCTGGTGAAAGGCGCCTTGTCTGTTGCCACCTCTGCATACAAGGCCCTGTTTTCTGGGCCCCCAGTGACTGCCCAGGTCAGTGCCTGCCCATCTCTACCAAGCACGAGGATTGTGATACTGCAGAAAGCACACCTGCCTTTGGGTCGGTCTTTGCAGGCATAGAGCCGTGCGCCTTCCCAGTCCCAGCTGCAGTCAAGTTGTGTTAGGGGAAGTACAAGGCCCTTGAGTGCTCTGAGGACCCTCCAGGGCTGGAACCACAAGACAAGAAAGACTGGGCTCCTCAAAGGCTGGGAGATGTCGCCAGGTGGACAAAACAGGGAGGGTGTGGTTCACACAAACCATAAGGCCAGGGACCAGGGTACAGGCAGAGACCAGACTCTGGGAGAAGAGTAGGGATCTGGGGGGCTGGACTTCACATTGAGGTGAAAGGAGGTGACTCAAGGTATTCACACCGGCCCCCCAGCTCCTCTACTGCAGTATGTGGGTACCAGGAAGTCGGTGGAGAAACCACGTGAAACAGAAAGAGGGCATGTGCACGCCCGGAACCCTCGGCCTCCAGCAGCTGGAGCAGGAAGGTGGCAGGCTGGAGCCCAGCCTGGGAAAATAAGTGCAGAGCTTCTGGGTTCTATCCTAATAGGCAGCTGGTGATTTTACACAGCCACTATAAATGAGTTTGGAGAGGCCTCAGAAAGTCAAGATAGAGCTACTGTCTGTTTTTCTTTTTGAAATAGTTGAGGCTGGCCTTGAGCTCACCATAGTCCAGGCTGGCCTCAGCCACCTGAGGGAGGGAATCACAGGCCTGCATCACCATGCCTAGGCCGGAGCTCCTGTTTGACCCTGACCCTGCTATGCACTAGGTGGTGGTACACTGTGGCACAGGCACATGCAGCCCTCTCAGCGCATAAGCCACGTTGCCCCAGCGTCACCCACAGCCAGGCTTGCAAGTGTGACTGCAGTATGGGAATTGCAGCTAGATGAATGAGTTTGGGTTGTAGTTGGGGTGCCCTAAGGAGCATCCTGGGAAAGGCAGCATGCTGGAGGGCACCCTTGACACATCAGCCCACACGTGAAGCATGTGTTATCTCACACTAAAGTGGTCCTCAGGCAAAATAAAACCCATGGTGTTTGTAGAAAGACAGACGAAGCTGGAGACCTCCTGCTGAGTGAACTGTCTGCCCTGTCTAGGTGCGCAGTGGTTGGGTGGGGGTGCAGTGGGGATTCCTGTGCGGCAGGGACAGTTTCAAACACAAAGCCAGGGAAGAGAATCGCATGGGTTTCAACGCTGAGGCAGGCAAGGAGGACTCAAGGGACACCTGTGGTGATGAGGAGTAGGCACACAGCAGGCCCTGTGTAGGGGAAGGGTTGCGGGTGTCCGGGGGAGCCAATCTCCTGCAGAGCGGGTCCTGCTGCCACTGCAGGCGGCCTCCCTGCTGTGGTCCAAGGTGGGGCTGGAACCAGAGCAACGCAGAGGGGCCAGGAGAGGCTGCATGGCTCCCTGAGGGGCACCATGCATGGTGCCCTCCCCACACCCTGCTGTCCTTGGAGTCCCCTGGCTAAAGATCACTGCTTCCCAAATCACCTGCCTGCAGCCTTTGCCCCTCCCCAGACCGGCACCCTTTGCTTTCCTGATGCAAGCCCTCCAGCCGTCACTAGCATTTGGGGTGCACCTGGGACAAGTGGTGTGACTTAGGAGTCCAGGGGAGCTGGGGGCTGGGACTCCCGTGTTGCACAGCGGAGGCCAAGTACTGGTCTTGTCTTTCCACAGCCCCTGGTTTCTGAGCCCCAAACAGCAGCCCTGATGGCCCACCTCTTTGAGATGGGCTTCTGTGACCGGCAACTTAACCTCTGGCTGCTGAAGAAGCACAACCACAACCTCTTGCAGGTGGTGACCGAGCTCCTGCAGCTCAGCAACAACGACTGGTACAGCCAGCGCTACTGAGGCCCCATCCTGTTTGCCCACCCTGTCCTTGGGTGTGGTGGCGCCTGCCCGTTTTTACTCTGATGAATTTTTAGCGAGCCCTCCATGGAATCCACATGACAGTACCTGTTACAATATTTTTTGAAGCAAATCAAAGACCAGTACTTCCTAGGGGTTGACAGCTGGCAGAGGCAGGCCTCCACAATGGGGAGAGGTGCCCGGCCGTGCACTGGGCGGAGCTGCCTGTCCGGCTGTTTTTCTTTCTGCTTGTACTGAGGTTGAGTGTCCTCCTTTGGTCCAGCTGGAGATCTTAGTGGGTACCTCTTAATCGTCTTTATAAGAAATTAACCTTGGAGTTTTTTTGGATTCTCATGATTTCTGTGACCAACCCTAAGCCTCATGGCTGTGAGCACCTGCTCCCCTTTCCTGCAGAGAAAGTGGTCTCCAAAAGATGGGGATTCCAGCAGCACGGCGGGGCTTTCACCTTGCAGACTCTGATGGGGGGACCTATTGAGTGGTGCCTAGTAGTAGTCTTGCATATATTTTATTTAAGAGGAGAAACGGAGGTAGTGTATCCACTCACCTGTTGGGAAGGAAAAAGCCCCCCGGGTACCCAAAAGGAAAAGGGAGTTGGTAGGTGGCCAGGGAGCCCCAGGAGCTGCCTGCCCCCCAGACCAGCATCCTGCTTCCTGGAGTGGGGCGGAGATATGTCCAGGGAAATGACTTCAGAACAGCAGGCATCTGAGCCCCAGCCAGAGGGGCAGGGACGGTCACCGTGTTGTCATATGCCCAGTTGGTGTGTGTGACAGTGGCAGTTTAAGTTACTCATTGTACTATGTTTATCTTCGTGTAACTCCCGATCGCTACTAAGCCAGGGTTCAGACCGCAACTGGCCGGCCTGCTCTGCATTTGTAGCGTGGCTGTGGCTTGGGTGCTGGGCAGGCGCCGGATGGCCTGTGGTCCCCCACCGCGGCTAGAAGGGTGAAATAAATGATCTTGGATGCACTGCCTGGACCTGATTCTTGGGGACGGGGCTCTGGAGCTTTCGGTTCCGCGGGCCCTGGCCCTCTACCGAACACCAGGCCAGGAGAGTCCTGGAGCCTCCTCCACCGCCACAGACCCACTGGGTCAGGGGCTCGCTGCATGCATCCTCCAGGGCTAATCCTGCCCATGCTCCTCCCTGCCCGTTTCACCTCGGGCTCTACGGTCACTGCCTGCCCCCTGCCCAGGGCTGCTTCCGGCTGTGGCAGCAGAGAGGAGTGCAATCTCAGCCCTAAACCAGGTGAGGCTGCCTCTGCTTCAGAGGCAAAGATCTACAAGGCGTGGCGTGGCACACGCCTGTAGTCTAAGCACTCGGGAAGCTCCAAGGCAGGAGGATACTGCGAGTTGAGGCCAGCCTGGGCTACATACTGCGTTCAAGGTAGTCTGAACCTCAGTAGCAAGACCTTGCCTTGCACAGCAGGAAATTCCTGGCAAAATTCTGTGTGGCTCTATGGACCTGCCTCATCCGCCCACCACTTTGGGACTCAGGGGAAAGGAGGGAGGGCCTGGACCCTTCCTAGTGCCGGATAGACACCAAGGACTGTAGCCTCCAGCTTCCCTGCCTGCCCCACCTCAGAAACCAGTGAGGAAGAGGAGTGTGGCCACCCGGGCCTGTGGTTCCAGACTCCTTGGCACCCAGGACCGGCAGCCTCCTGCTAGGGGGAACAAAGCCCTGCCCCTGGTTGAGCCAGCACCACCAGGCGCAGGAAAGAACCTGTCATCCCAGCACTCAGGAGGCTAAGGCAGGAGGATCGCTGGAGTCTGAGTCCAACCTGGGCTACACAGTAAGACCTGTCTCAAAAAAGAAAAGAAAACTGGAAATCTGAGTACTCTCAAGACTACCAGAAGGCTGGCAGTCTTTCTGGAGGGCTGCTTTTCCTCCTGCAGAGAGGGCTGACGGCTGGGGGTGGGACCCTCTACTGCTCATTTAGGGAAGACCCGTCAGGTGCGGTCACTTTTGCTTTTGTTGTTCAGTTTTGTAGACAGTTGGCCTCCTGCAGTACAGCGAGGGGAGGTGCATGCAGGTTTTCCACCTTCAAGTCTGGTGTGACCACTCAGGCTGCCCCGGGCTGGGTTCAGCCCCTAGATTGTGGTAGGCTGCCTACCAAGCAAGCACCTGGCACTGGATGCTGCCAACCTGCCCACAGTGCGTGCGGGCCTCACCTGCCAGGTTCTCGTCACTAGCACAAAGCCCCCTGAGCCATGGGTGAGATGCTTTCCTGGCTGGGCTCCCCCGAGGAGGATGAGCACAGGCTTCTCCTGTGCCCCCGCCTGGCCACAGCCAGCTGCCACGCCAGCAGCGCCCAATCACCCTGCTCCTGTGTGCCTGGTAGAGGCGTGGCCAGTGGCAGCTGTGTGACTTGTCCTACCTGCCAGGGCAGCGGGAGGATCCCCCAAGGTGAGTGGCCATGCTCTGGTCCCCTTCGATGGCCAGGTCACTCTGGCCCAAGGTCCTTGGCTCCATGCTCCTTCCTCCCAGCTCCCATATGGCTCCCACCTCTGCTTAAACAGCAGTACTGTCTCGGCTGGGGGTGGGATGGTCACCTCCAGGGAAGCCAGGTGTTTTTGATTTGCCAGTGCAGACTCCACCCCTGTGCTGGGGCTTCCACTTCCAGTTTTGCTCAGAGCTGAGCTGCCAGACCAATGGGTTCACAGAGGTGGCGCCTGCTGCTGGCATGGAGTTTGGAGGTTGGGGTGCAGGGTCCCAGGCACACCTCTTACACTGTTCTCTCCAGAGCTGAAGAAGCAGCTGGTGGCCGTCATCCCCTATGGGGACCAGAGGCTGAAGCCCAGACACACGTAAGCTGCCTGTGCCCCAGTTCTATGGATGTCCACCTTGGGGTGGCATCACTTGTTTCCCGTGTTGAGGCTGCCTGTCTCCCCCAGGGTCGCTCGGCCCTGGGGCTTGCATGCCTCCCCCTTGCTGAGGGTCAGGGCTGGGTGCAGCAGCAGTGGCACAGAAAGGAAAGGGAAGGAAAGGAAAGCCAGGTGTGGCGCCCACCTGTCATTGCACCTACTCAGGAGGCTGAGGCAGACCTGCAAAGTCGAGGGCACCTGGCAGCTACTGAGACCCTGCCTCAAAAATAAGAGGGTGTTGGGGCTGGGGATTTAGCTCAGTGGCATAAGAGCCTGCCTTGCAAGTGTGTGGTGGTGAGTTCGATCCCTGGTACCAATAAAAAGAAAAGAAAAAAAAAATAAGAGGGTGTCGTTCAATGCTCCTGGGTTCTGTCCCAGTGCACCAGTCCTGGGATCACATGCTGATCGCCCTCTTCACAGCATGTGGCACAGTGGGGATACCTGAGGCCCCTGGTCCTTCACTGGTTCTGGGCTTCTCCCAGAAGGGAACCCTGGCCCTGACCACGCTCCTGGGGCATCCATTTTTCCTGGCCCAGCCCAGGTGACCCTCGCCTGGTGGGGAGTCAGGTGCCACGAGGTCCTTCTCCATGGCCTCAGCTTCGTCCCACCCACCTGCACTCTGGGAATTAAGACGCCAGTCCTGCCTGCTCCCTGCTCTGCTAGGACTGGGATGCAGGGGTGGTGCTGAGTGTGACCAGAGCACGGGAACCGGGGTGGGATGGGCAGGGCTACTTCTAGGAGATGTCAGGACCCCCAGCTTGGCTTCTCCCAGCTCCCCTCCGGCGCCACCTTCCTGCAGGAAGCTCTTTGTGTCCCTGGCAGTGCTCCTGTGCCTGGCCACCACCTCCTTGGTCACCTTCGTCTTCTTTCTTTAGAGCCTGGCTGTGTGCCCTGTGAGCCTCAACTCCTCTTCCGTGGCCTTTGACAAGGCCAATATCCTGCTCAATGCCACTGTGGGTGCCCTAGGTATGCCCCTTCCCGGCCACACCTCCCTGTGATACCCAGAGGGTCCCTGGGGTCCAGGAAGGTGCAGTGCAGGGTCAGATCTAGGCCACGTAAGTGATGGATGAGGAGGGCGCCCACAACATGAGAGAATCAGGAGTTGAGACTTTTGGTTTGGAGACTGGATCTCCCTATGTGGCTGGTGTGGTCCTAAGCTCAAGTGACCCTCCCGCCTCAGCCTCCTGAGTAGTTCAAACTTAGCAGCAACATGGGGGCAGCTCAGTGTAACTTTTCTTTTTTCTTTCCTTTTTAGTCCTGGGATTGAACCCAGGGCCTTCGCATTGAGCGTCATCCCCAGCCCTTTTCTTATTTAGAGACAGAGTCCAGGGTGTCACTGAGTGGCCTAGGCTGGGCTTGAACTTTTGACACTCCTGCCTCAGCCTCCCAGAGTGTTGGGACTACATGTGTGAGCCACCACACACAGCTCGGTGTAACCTTTTTAGAGACAGGGTCTCCTGTATAGCCCAGGCTGGCCTCGAACTCGAAACAGTTCTGCCTCAGCCTCCTGAGTGCCAGAATGACAGACAGCCATTCACATGGCCACCAAGGGATAGGGGTGCGCTGTTTGGTTGCTTCCTTCCCAGGGTTGGACCCCTCACCCCATTCCGCGTCTTCACCCCAGATCGTCTTGGACATCTCCAACCCCAACTACTGGCCATCACTGTGACCCAGCTGGCCATCCAGGTCCTGCACCTGTCCCTGGTGGTGGGCCAGCTCTCCGAGAGCTTCCTGCTCCATGTCGGCACTCTGGCCAAGGAGCAGGTGTGCCCTCCCAGATGGGCGGCCCCGCCGTGGGTGCGGGACGCAGGGCATGGGATGCAGGGTGCGGGGTACGGGGTGGAAAGGGCCTCGGGGGCTGAGCTCCTGCCCTGTCCTTCAGCTGTTCTACACCTTGGCTAGCAGGATTCACACAGCAGAATTGCAGACCAGAGCACGTAGAGAATGCCCGCCCAGGGCTCCCTCCCCACCGCACCGCTCAGGCAGGCTCAGGTGCTGCTGTTGGGCCTTGACGGGGTGGAACATGGGCGGGCCAGGTTAGCTTCACCAAGGCTGATCCCAAGGGCTCTGTGCCAAGAGCCACAGGAGCAGTGTCACAGCAGGTGACCGCGCTGGCCCCAGAGGGCAGAGGTGGTACCTGGGACCCAGTGGGAGGGAAAGGATATGGGGGTGTAGGGCTGCTGTGTGTGACCCCAGGGGCTCCATGTGACACGCTCTCTCTGTCCCAGCAAAATCTGTACCTGGCTGGAAATCAAGGTCTACCACATGCTGCTCCATATCCAGGAAGGGGGCCTCTGCTCATGCCTCTTTAGCTTTGGGTTTGGATTTTTTGAGACAGAACCTTGCTGTGTGGCCCAGGCTGGCCTTTAACACCAGGAAATTCTCCTGCCTCAGCCTTGCTTCAGTTGCGTCTCATGGGGGAAGGACACACCCTCGCCCTTAACCCCAAGTCTTCAGGATTGACACTGGGGAAACAGAGCAGAGAAAGTGAGGCCCCACTCCTGTAGCCTTGCCACTGCCCAATTCCTCCAGGGGGACGCTGACCTACTCCTGCCTGGGCTGCACCAAAGAGCCAGTCTTTGAGAGCTTCCAGTACGTGAACTGCCAGGGAAAGGCGCTGGCCCACCGGCCCACCGGCCCGCCACCCAGCCTTGGGAACTGGCCCCCATGTGAGCATGGAGGGGGACTGTGGCCTCTCGGGACCACAGCTGCTGTCATGCAGCTGCTCAGCTCTGGTCACGCGGTAGTGGCCATGCGGACCTGCTGTCTGGGAGTTCCCCCCGCTGGACAGGAAGGGACCCACTGTCCTTCCCAACTAGTGACTATCCCTGGCGCCCGGAGGACCACCATGTGCAGCCCCATTCCCTCCCTAGAAGACAGGTTACTACTGTCTTCCCTCACAGAGCTGAGGAGGAGCTGAGTCTGGAGCCACATGGGGGCCAGGCTGCATCGGCAGGGCCAGTGTGAGGTGTGCGGCAGCCTCGGGCCGGCCACTCCCTCCCAGAGGCCTCTGCAGCCCTTCCTGTCACTCAGCAGAGCCAGCCCCAGAGGACCGAGGTTCCCACAGGCCCCCGAAGGCTGTGGTCCTCATCACTCATCATTCACAGGTGGGCATAGGGGTGGCCGACCTGGGTGACAGCAGGGTCTTCGAGGGGAAGAGGCCAGGGGCTGGGGGAGCACATGTCAAGGATTTACAGTTAGTAAATCACACAAGCACCATGTGGAAGGAAGCTGCCTGGAGGGAGGGCGCCAGGCTTGCTCCAGCCTCACAGCCTGTTCCCTGCGGCTGGAGCACAAAAAGACACCCTGTGTCCCCCACTGAGCAGGCGCAGACCCCAGGCCTTCACACCACGTGATGCCCCAGGCCTGAGACCTGGGTCCCAACTGCAGTTTCCACAGCCGTCCTCGGGATGGAGGAAAAAAGGACCCCCCATGCCTGTCCCTTCTGCCTGGGCTGCTGGGCCTGGGAACCTTTGGGGGGTCTCTCCTGGGGGGTGTGGCTCAGGTCCCCCGGAGCAACTGCCTCCCCCATGCCCGCCAGCCAGCTGCTCAGGTGTAAGGCAGCCCTCCTGGACAGGACCTCAAACGGCACAGGACTGGGAAGGGGTGACATCTCCAGGGACCCACGGAGCCCAAAGCCCCACCCACTGGCTTCAGCTGCTGAACAAGGGCAGTGGCAGCTGCAGGGTGAGATCCTGTCTCAAAAAAAAAAAAGCCCATGAATTGCTTCCCCCCCCCCCCCGCCCTGAACTCACAAAGCTGGCCAGGCCCCACTCCAGGAGCCCCACTTTACTGCAGCCAAGGCTTCCCGGGGTGAGGGCTCCTCGGCACCCCCTTCAGGCTGTCACAGGTGCAGCTGCTCATTGTCTGTTCTTGGCCTGTTCATGGCCTGTGGTGTGCCCTGTGGTCACCACTGCTGGAGGTAATCAGTTGACTGAGAAAAGGGAGGGACAGAAGCCAACAGGTCAGCATCTGCGTACCCCCTGAGGCCAGGGACCTCATCCTGCAGTTCACCCTAAATCCTGCACAGAGGAACCTCACACTTGGACCTCTCCAAAGCTTGCACCGCCTGCGATCCTCCTTAAGTTACCATCTCAGTGGGGCCTCTGGGAGGCTGAGGCAGGAGGATCCCAAGTTTGAGCCCAGCCTGGGTAATTCAGTGACTTAGCATAACTGTTTCAAAATACAATTAAAAAGGAGTGGAGGGGCTGTAGCTCAGTGCTAATGCCTAGCAAGGTAAGAAGCAGTTACTATGTTGCTCTCAAGGAATGTGAAGAGCAAAAAAAAAACAAACAAAAAACCCCCACAAAAAACAGTTATTATGTTGTCAGGCAGGGTGACACACACCTGCAGGCCCTGGGAGGCCCGAGCTTCACAAGTTGAAGGCCAGGGGCAACTCTGCAAGGCCCAAAGGGCGAGGGTGTAGCTCAGTGATGGGCACCTGGTCTGTGTTCTCTCCCGAGTGCCTCACTAGTTAAATCTCATAAACACCCCAGTGCCCTCAGTTGACAAAGAGGTAAAGAAGATGTGGTTTTAAATGCAGTGGAGTAGTACTCTGCCATGAAGAAGGACAGACTTGAAAAAGTTCTAGGTAAATGCGTGCAACTCAGCTTGCTGCCTTACGCCTGTGCACACTCACTCACTCTCACTCACTCCTGACCACAGCCCCGCTCCCCCTCCTGCTAGGTCCCTGCCTCACCGTGAGCCGTGGGTACCGGGTGGTTTTGGCAGGGCCAGGCTGGCATGGGTTCTGGAGGCCTGGGGACAGAAGCAAACACAGGTGACCGGAGCCCAGAGAGGGAAGTGCTGGCGCTGGGGGTAGGGACAGAAAGCTGCTGCCCTGGGGAGAGGACAGGTGAGTTCGGACTGGCAGGCAGCCAGGGCCCCTGCCTTGTGGGGTGCAGGACATATGCACTGGTGAAACTGCAGTCCCGTCCACCCCTGCCTGCCCACCTCCCACCCACAGCAGAAGGCCTGGCTTCCCCTCCTCAGCCTTGGGTCAGCACGAAACCACCCAGAGGCAGTGGGCACTGAAGCGGGGAAGGCTGGAGTCTTGGCCAGCCAGGCAATGGATCAGGGACTCAGGGTGCAGGGCAGGGCAGGGATTGGGGCGCCATCCTCACCCCTCCACCTCAGCACCCCACTGACCAGGTCTGGGGAGGATGGGTGGCCAGGCTTGGGATCTACAGTCCTCACAGGGGGTCTGCCCCGCTGCATCAAGGCCTGGCCTGTAAGAGCACTGAGGGAGGGTGTCCTGTCCCCCTGGTGGCGCTGGCTGCTGGGCTGGTTGTGGCTGGCCCGGTGGTGGCTGGACTGGTGGGAGCTGGGCTGCTGGGCGCTGGGCCGATGGTGGCTGCAGTTGCTCCTTGGGCTCTGGCGGTGTTGGGGGTCTCTTCTCGGGGTGATACCCCTCCTTTTGGTCTTCCTGCAGTTTCTGGCAAGAAGCCCCCAAAGTGTTACCTTCTGCCTCTCACCTGTCATCTCCGGCCAAGGAACTTGGGGCAGCAGGCACAGGACAGTGGTGGTGGGCATGCCTGCCCCAGGCTGTCCCCCCACCCCACAGCCCCTGCCTAGGAACAGAATCTTTGGGGCACCTGCATTCTGATTCACTGGAGCTGGCTGAGTACAGTGGCTGTGGGGTGCAGGGACCAGGGATTGGGCGGGGCTGCCCACAGGGCTGTCCGGCCAGGTGAGCCAACTGTAACACAGCTGATGTAACCAAAGGCCCAATGCTGTGATCAATATGAAAATAGTAACTGATCATTCTAAGTCTTCAAAACCCAGCACACAGTTATACTTAACAGCACATCCTCATTGGGATACCATGCCAGGTGGGGTGTTGTGTCTATGACTCCCATCCCATGGAGAGGCTGGGGCAGGAGGATCACAAGTTCAAGCCCAGCCTGGGGGACTTAGCCACTTATGACTCTGTCTCAAAATAATCTTTTTTTTTGGGGGGGGGTCTTTTTTCCTTTTTATCGGTACTGGGGATCGAACTCACGACTGCCTGCTTGTAAGGCAGGTACTTATGCCCCTGAGCTAAATCCCCAGCCCCTCAAAATAATCTTTTGAGGCAAGGTCTCACTATGTAGTTCAGGTTGGCTTTGAACTCACTATGTAGCCCTGGCTGCTTTCAAACTCTTGGAAATCCTCCTGCCTCAGCCTCCGGAGTGCAGGGATTACAGGTGTGTGCTACCATGTCAGTTGTAAAGGAATTTTTTTAAAGGTTGGGATTGAGCTGGGCATGGTGATGCATGCCTGTAAACCCAGCACTAGGGAGGCTGAGGCAGGAGGATCATTGCAATTTCCAGACCAGCCTGAGCTACAGAGAGAGCTCAAGGCCAGCCTGAACTGCATAGAGACCCTGTTTCAAAAAGACAAAAAAAAAAAAAAAAAAAAAGGCTAGGAATGTAGCTTAGTGCAAAGGCCCTGGGTTCAATCAGTACCCCCTGCACACACCTGGCAGTGGGTGCTGTACCTAAGGCACATCCCCGCCCTTCAGACAGCATCTGGCTCAGCTGCCCAAGCTGGCTTCCGGAGATCCTGTTATCTTTCTGCCTCAGCCTCCTGAGTAGTTAGGCTTAGAGCCATGCATCTCCACACCAGCTTCATCAACAATGTTTTGGGGCTGGGGATTTAGCTCAGCAGCATAAGCGCCTGCCTTGCAAGCAGGCAGTCGTAAGTTCAATCCTTGGTACCAATAAAAAGGAAAAAGACAAAAAAAAATGTTTTTTTTTTTTTTTTTAACAAGGTATTGGAACTGGAAAAAAAATGTTTTATCTGTATTTAAATTTCATATGACTTACAGTTGAAAAAGTAGATTCCTATATCCAAATGGTGGCAAACGTACTTAAAATTTATTAAACAAGTCAATTGAATATTTGCCCTCATTTTATATTTAAATGTAAGAAAGATAAAATTCAGCTCCTCCTTCTCAGCAGCCTGGCTGACAAACTCCCGGGCTCACGAGCTGGGGCCACGGGTGGTGCTGCTACCTGTGTGTGTGAGGCCACGGGTTGGATTCCCAGCAGCAGAAGCACATAAAGCAGTCTCTCTGGGGAGCCTGGTGGAAGGCCTTTGAGGCCGGGCCTCTGGGCAGCCTCCAGGGTGCCCCATCTCCCCTACCTTCCCTGTCCTCACCCCGCACCTGCTGCTGCTGCTGCTGCTGGGCCAGCAGCCTCTGCCTCCCGTCCAGAGCCATCTGGCGGCGCCGGGCCTCCCAGTGGTAGGCGCTGCCCATGATGGGGAGGCCAGGACCCCGCCCGGCCCCTGCAGTAGCTTGGCCACCTCACAATGCAGCCCCCGTGGACTGGCTGGGCGGGGCTGTCCCTGCAGCGCTGGGGGTCCAGGCAGCAGGGAGGCGTCTACCCAGTGTGGAGCCACAGTGTGCCCCAGTAGGGTTCCCTCCGCACCCCCCAGGAGGCTTCCGCAGCAGAGCCCGGCCCTTCCTGCACTTTGGTGTTGGACCCAAATTCAGTCCTGGCTGGGCCACCCACCCACTAGTTTGGGGACTTGGGTAGGACACCCAGCATCCTCTTCCCAGAGAAACTGCTGGAAGATTCCAGCGGATGCTTGATGAGTACCTGCCTGGGTCCGGTGGACCTCCCAGCTCTGTGGTGGGCTGGCAGTGTGCTGAGCTGAGCCCCACTGGGTCTTTTTTTTTTTTTTTTTTTTTGTCTTTTTCCTTTTTATCGGTACCAGGGATCGAACTCACGACTGCCTGCTTGCAAGGCAGGCGTTTATGCCGCTGAGCTAAATCCCCAGCCCCCAGCCCCACTGGGTCTTGTCCTCCCTTGGTAAAAACAGGGTTAGTGCCCATCATGGTGGTACAAAGGTGTCGATCAGTGACATGGGAGGCTGAGGCATGAGGATCGAAAGTCCAAGGTCAACTCAATGAGACCGTGTCTCAAAATAAAAAATAAAAAGGGCTTAAAAAATCCAAAACAATGTGGCTGCCTTGCAAGCAGGCAGTTGTGAGTTTGATCCCCAGTACCGATAAAAAGGAAAAAGACAAAAAAAAAAAAAAATCCAAAACAATAAGCCAAACATATATGCACATCCTACACACGTGTGAGCCGACGTATCCACATGTCTGTCTGTCTGTCTGTCTGCTACAAGACAGGCAGTAGTATGGAAAAAGAAAAGCCAGGTGAGGTGGAAGTGGAGTAGAGGAGCCGAGGATGGGGATTCCTCGAACGCTCCCTCTTCTGGTACTGGGAGCAAACCCAGGGCTTTAGCTCTGAGCTATGTCCCTAAGTCTTCGTGTTTGTTTGTTTTTTACCTCTGAGACAGGTTCTCCCTAAGTGGTCCAGCCAGGACTGCATCTTCCTGTCTCAGCCTCCCAGAGTGCGGGGATTACAGGCGAAGTCCAGCACAAAGGCTCTTCGCAATTTAGCTTCTCAATTTAGCTTGTGGAGCTGGGATCGGGAAGCTCCGGCCTGCTCGCCCACCAGGCTGCCCAGGGGCTTCCCTCTTCGCGACCAAAGATAAGTCCATCCAAACGCAGGTGCCATGCGCGCATGCGCGGAGAGCGGGGGTGGGGGTGGGGGTGGGTGATGGGACGGGGGCGGTTACACCTCCGCAAGGCGAGGGGAGACATGCAGATGAAGATGGTGAGTTCGTCGGCAGAATGCAAGCGTGGAATTCCATGTGGAAACCTTGAAGAAGGAAGGAGCCGAGGAAGGGGCACAGGCGAGAGGATAAGGACCCAGGCAGGAGGGCAGGAGCCGGGCGGGTCGGCGACGGTGATCTCAGAGTGAGGGCAGCGGACGGTCCAGAGGGTGCGCGTACTCACAGATGCTAGTTTAGATCCTAAATACGGTGTGTGCTCAGCTGGATGCTTAGAGTGCTCTCTTTTATTCTAATTAGTTGAGTCTGATAGGTGGTCTTTGAATGGGCCCTGAAGCAGGGCTGACTTGAGATTCGAGCAGTACCGGGCTTGGGTCCCGCCGCATTCCTTTATTATTTCCTTCCTGCTGGCCGCAGGGTGCTCGGCTTAAACCTACTAGCTTCTTTTCTATCTTCTCCACCTCTGTCTCCCATCCCTTAACCTTCTTTATTGCAGAGTACTGCTCCCCGTGCGTAAACACCTCATTCCCTCCGGCCAATTGTCCAATGATGGCTGTGCGGGCTGCTTCCAAGATTGAGCCTCTGTCAATTGTGCTGTTATAAACCCAGGTGTGGGGGATCACTGGCTTCACCTCGTGGGAAGATAGGTGCCCAGGAGGCACAGGGCTGCCTGGAACTAGATCCAGCTTGTGGGTGGCTAATTAGGTGGGATTAATGCAGTCGGGAGGTGGTGGGGGAGGGTGGACCTGAGCCCTCAAGGGAGCCAGCGCTATGGCTGGAGCTCAGGCAAAGGGGCCAGGGCAGCACAGGGGCGTGGGTCTGGGCCTCCCCGCTAGGGACTGCAGTGACTTGGAGTTACCCTGCAATCAGCACCCGGGTTGGGGTGGGGGGGCAACTGGATACAGACCCAGATAGCAGCCAGAGCAGCCCGGCCCATGCTCCTTCCCGGAAGCCTCGCCCACCCCTGCGCCCCAGGCCTTGCGGATCAGGATCCGCTCAGGGTCAGGATCTGCTCAGCACTGTCCTGAGTCCTGTGGGTTGACTGGGGTCCGCCCGGCACTGAGTCCACCCGGACAGGGGGCCTCGGGGACCGCTCTCACGTCACCCCTCCTGCCTTCCAGAGCTTCCCTTGTCCCATTTGGTTTTGGCTCCCATGTGGCCACACGCTCACAGTCTTAACCATGGCCAGCTTTCACTTTATCCAACCAAGGATACAGTCCTGCCAAGAACAATTCTTAACCATCTTCTTCACAACTGTAACCTCTCTCATGTACATCAGCTGCCTAACTAGATACCCCAAACCACAGCTACAGACACACCATAGAAACTCCCCCATCGGGGAGCCACTGCCGGGATGTCTCCTCAGACCTCTGACATGCCCCCCCCCCCCAGTCTATACCCAGCCTCAAACCAAAACGCTATGCTTTTACCCTTAGCACACTCCACAGATGGCAGGCCGCAACCTTGAGTTCCAAGGATAATGGCTCGAACCAGCTGAACTGGAGGGACTCCAAACCCCATGTTATGGTCCGATGGATCAATGTATCCAGCCCAGGAAAAGACTCATCAGGGAGAGAAATCCCGGGAACCCCCGACTCTGGGTCACTATATGTCCTGAAAATTCGCACCACGACTCCTGTTTTAACATCTGCTGATATCACTGCCGTTACTGGAGCTGTGAAAGTATTGGTTCAAGTGGCCCAAAAGGATTTTACAAAAACAGTGACAAATACAGTAACGCCTCCTCTGAGCCCAAACCTGACAGGTTCACAGATGGGATGGCTTCTGTTCACCATAGAAGACCCCCTCAAATTCCCAGCTGCTCTAAGATGGGGTTTTGCAATGTACTGCAACCAACAGGAGGGTACCAATTCTTTACCATAAAAAAGACATTAATCGGGGGCTGGGGATTTAGCTCGGTGGCATAAGCACTTGCCTTGCAAGTAGGCGGTCATGAGTTCGATCCCCAGTACCCATAAAAAAAAAAAAAGATTAATCCCAAGGCTTAGTACTGTTCCTCTCCTGATGTCTCGGGACCCAAAGAAAGCACACACAGAACTAAATCAGTTTACTTCACTAACCGTGACTCAGATTTTCGACATGACCTACACTTTGCTCTGGAAGGAGCCAATTAGCCCCATACTGACTGCTGGCTATGCCTGCCTTTCCCAGCAGACATTTACATGGTTTAACCCATAATACTCAGCCAATCAAGTCTTGAACCAAACATGACCTCACATCCAGTTGCTGGCCCTCTCCAGATAGCTCCAGACCAGCCCTGGCCCCACCTGCATACAGTCCACTCTGAGAGACTCTAACTGTACCAATACTCCAACCCCCTTCCTGATCTCTCTGAGCTATTTTGGGGGAACTACCGGCCTGAACCCACTACATCATCCTTAATCCCCAAAGTCAGACTCTACACCCTCCCCTAGACACCTCTTCCACCTGTGGCCACGGAGCGTCCTCCCACCTCCCCGCACACTGGGCAAGCACATGCACCGTTGGATTGGATTTTTAGCTCCGCATGTCTCCCTCTTAACGGATAAGAAAACTCTGAGGAACCCTCAAGCCCTAAATACCACTGAAACTGCAGAGCCGTATGGTTAGTTAGCTCCAGGACTAGCAGGTACGGGGGTCTTTGCGGCTACTGGAATGGTGGCGGGGGACTGGGAAGGAGCCTCAGCTCCTATCCTGTATGATCCACAATCCCGAAAGGCCCATAACATCGGTCTCCCAAAGCGTTAGTTCACTGCAAGGCCAAATCCAACTCGTTGGCAATGGTGGTCCTTCAGTGAGGCAGGGCACTTGATGTGCCCACAGCAGAGAAAGAGGGGTTCTGTGCTGTGGTGGGAGAGGAATGCTGCTGCTTTGTCAACCAATCAGGATAGCCAGAGACCAGGAATAAAAACTCAAAAAACGGGCTAGGGATTTAGCTCTGCGGTATAAGTGCCTGCCAGGCAAGTGTGAGATTGTGAGTTCAGACCTTGGCACCACAAAAAAACAAAAAAACCGTCAAAAATCCAGCAGCTAATATATGAGGGAGGCAATATTTTCCAGAAGCTACCTCTTCATCTTCATGGTGGGGCTCCCTAGGGTCCTGGATGCCATTCTAATTCCCATTATGGGTCCCCTAATAACCGTAGTAATTTTTTTTGCTTTTTGCCCCCTGTGCCATCAGGCTCCTCTTATATTTTCTCCAAATTAGAATACAGGCGCTCACTACCAAAGAACCTGCTACTGAGCGACATCACTACCCCATAAGCGCAGACAAAACGCACCCCTCAATCACATCCCCTTCTACCCTAGGCCCAAAGACGCGCCGCCCCCCCCCCCCAGCAGGAAGCAGCCAGAGAGACTCCAACAGCGCCCCCTAACACCAAAGAGATGGGAATGTTAGGTCCCCAACTGCGAGGCAGAGGGTCATCAATTGGTTCAAAGCTGAGCCCTGATAATGCACAGCTCCTTCTTCCCGGAAACCCCTATGGCTTCTCCTTCCCAAAAGTCTGCCAAATCTCGGGCATGTGAAGATTTACCCAGCTTTCTGCACTCCACTAAATAAATTGGCTCACACCAGTGCCCAGAGCACTGCATCGGGACTCTTTAACAGTATTGCCTATAGACTCCAACGTCATGCATACCAGAGACAAGACTTACCGACCTACCTTTTAACTTTTATGCTTTCAGATGCCTTCCCCATCAGAGCCTGCATCAGGCAGAGCCTGCCCTTTGTCTGCGGAGCCACCACAGCCTTCCCTGTGCTGACTCCTTCCATGCCCCTCTTAAACTCTTTCTTACCTACTCATCTCCTCTCTTTAATGTTCTGCCCTGCTCTAGATTGAGTATAGGTCACTCAATCACTTTCTCTCGGATGGACCCTTCCCACCCCTCACTTCTGCTGTCCCTGGAGTTCATTCCTGGGTTTCAGGGGACATGAATGCATCACACCTGACACCCAGCAGGACAGGGATATCTGCACCCCAAGCCCCAGGAGGCTCTGCATGCTGCCAGCCACAAGGATATGCTTCCTGAAGAGAACTGTGCCCACCATCACCTGCTGCACTGTCCCTGCACCTTCTGTCCCCTGGACAGCTGGCCAGTCACCGAGGACCACCCCTTTCCCTCCTTCAGCCCTCTTCTATTGCCACCTGGGCCCTGTAGTTTCTCGGTTACTTATTTATTTATTTACTAGTGTTCTGTTTTGTTGTTTTGAGCCAGCCATGCAGTGCAGACTGGCTTTGAACTCGTCATTGATAGAACTGTGAGGGGAGGACCGGCGGTGGCTGAGAAGATAAGAAGTATGAAATATAAATGACCTTTATTTTGAGAATGTGGGGAGAGACACCCCTGACCCACTGGGGTGCGCCATCTCCACCCTGGGGCCCGCGATCTCTCCATGGAACATGTGTTGTAAGGCACATAAAGTAGCCTCGGCTTGGGGTGGAACCTAAGGGGGACATTAGGGATGCACAGGTAGCCCATTGGTCTTTGTTTGGTGCCAGAGGTAGATTCCTAAGGGTGGGGGAGATAGGAGCTCCTTGGCTTTACTGGCTACAGTATCCGGCCTGGGCCAAAACCCTTTCAGTCATGCAGTTTGGGCTGGCCTTAAACTTGCGTCGATCCTCCTGCCTCAGCCTTCTGAGCACTGGGATGACAGGTGTGTGCCACCATGCCCAGCTTCAAGTAGTATCAGTCTGATCTCACATTCATACAAACTTAAGGGGCCACATTGCCTCAGACTGTGGGATGGGGCCTGTAGAAAGGAAGGCTTCAGAAGGCCAAGGAACCTGGGTAAGGTCATCCAGAGGTCCAGTCCACGCACTGGGAACCCAGCAGTGACAAGCTTGCCACCAGGGGGCAGCATCGGCCCCGCTGGCTCTATCGGTGGAGGGCAGCTGTGGCCCTGGCACACACGCTGCACTCACTTTGAGAGGTTTTGTGTCTTCGTTTTATTCAAGAGGAAGAGAACCAGGGCTTGAGTCAGGCCTGATAGTGGACACCTGTAACCCCATCACTCGGGAGGCTGAGGCAGGAGGATCACCACAAGTTTGAGGCCAGCCTGGGCTATATAACAAGATTCTGTCTCACCACCCCTCTCCCCAAAAGCTGGGATTGAACCCTGGGCCTGGGACTTCCAGCAGGCAGCTGCTTCTGTCCTGTCCCCCTCCCGTGACCACCCCTGGGCGAGAGGCTGTGGGAACAGGGATGGGTCCTCAGTGCTCCCTTCCTGAGCAACTCTGTCCTCCTTACGGATTAAAAACTGGTGATCAACTTAACACCAGCAAGGTTAAATCAGCAAGATGCTGAGTGTAGATGGGCACCTGAGGAAAGCTGCCAGCATAAACAGAAATGTGGAGAGGAAGTGTGGCTGTTCGAGCCGTTGGTTTTCCTGGAGGAGCTCATCATGACTAGTGTCCCCGATATGAATTCCACTGTTATCACTGGGGGAGCTCAGGACCTTGTGGCTGAGAGTGGCTGTGGTTCACTTTGGGGGAGCTCTGGTCCTTACATTGAACACTGCTTCCTGGCTCCAGAGGGGAAGACGTGTGCTGTTTAATCTCCAGGACAAACTCGTCATGCTGGCTTTCTGGCATGTACTCGGCATTCTTATCATTGGAGGAGCTCTGGGCCTCTGTATCCCTGAGGATGGCTGTAGTGCTTTTCAGGACAGTCCTGATCTTTGTTTTGAGTGTGACTTTTTGGTTCTAGCATAGAACCCTCAACCTACCAGCATAGCTCCTTCACCCTGCTGGCATAGACTTCCTAGCTTCCACCACTGACCTTTGGGCTTTCTCAGCACAGATCTGAAAAACAGACTGGTGTGAGTCCTTGTCGTGGGCTCTAGACCTCCAGTTAGACTTGTGGGAACCACTGTCATGAGTTCTAGGTCTTCATCTGGACTCATGCAGGACATTGCTGTGGGATCCAGGCCCTTGGCTGGATTTTCTATGTCTTTAGTGTTGTGGACAGATTTTCTGCACTGTCTTGTATTTATCTCTGGCTGACCATATAAAGTAATAATATAAATTCTGTATCCTGTCTGTAATTGTCCTTCTTGCAACCCCCGACCACAACACCCTCTTACCCACAACACCCAACCCAAGGCTGAGTTGTCCAAACCCTCTCACATGTTCAGGAAGTGATGCACCCAGGGGACAAGGCCTTTCCAAATCCAGGTACTGGGGGACAGAGCTCACCCCAGTTCTTAGCCCACAGTGGGGGTGCTGTCCCATGTCAGGGCTCTGGGAGTTTGATGCCACCAGGACCTCCTGACCTGCAGAGTCTCACCGGCACTGCAGCAGCCTGAAGTGTGGGTGTTACCCCGTGAAACCAGCTAAGGGATGAGGCTGGGCTCTGCATGCAGGGAGCTCAGGGTCAGTCTGGTCACCCACCATGCACTCATCCATCTGTTCACACGCTGGGAAGCCCAGGTTATCCTGCCCAGCTGCAGCTGCAAGAGGGGGACAGTGCCACAGGAGAAACAGATAGTATCCACCATCTGTCCCTCTGCCTGGGACACTCACCTGACTTCTGTCACTTATACAGGGCTCTAATTAGCACCTTTTTCATTTTTAAATGTTTACTTATTTTTTTGGACTTTTGAAGACAGGTCTCCCTGTGTAGTTCACAAGGGCCTTGAAGGTGGATTCTCCTGCCTCAGCCTCCTGAGTCCCACCTTGCATCTGGCAAGGATACCTTTCTGAAAAGCCCCCCACCCAGCACCCTTTCCCCTCTCCTGCTTGGATGCCTTACACGGAACTCAGATCCTGCTCAAAACCAGTGGCCATAGCAGTGCCCTGCTCTGCAGCGCGTGCCCAGGTGGCAGGGCTGCCTGAAGGAGATCTATCCTGGGTGTTGGACAGAGATCTATCCTGGGGGTGCAGGGAGATGGAAGCCAGGCCCCGCCCACCTCCTGTCCATCTATTCTTCAGCACGACCCAGGGCAACTTGAAAGCAGTAGGAGGTGGGGCTCCTTCATCAGAAAGTGGTTTCCACCTGGGTGTGGCCAGGAGTCCTGGAGAGACTACCAGAAGTCCTGGAGAGACCACCAGCAACCGTGAAGAAACTGGCCCTGAGTCATTGGTTTTAGAGGCTCCTAAGTTTGGTTTGACACCAGGTCGGCTCATTTTAGCTTGGCAACCTTGGACAATCACCTAACCTCTCTGTGCTTCCGTTTCTTCTTTTTCTTTTTTAATCCCAGCACTGGGAATTGAACCCAGGGCTTTTGTGCTGAGCAACTTCCCAGCCCATTTTTAATTTTCTGTTTTGAGATAGAGTCTCACTAAATTGCCTGGGCTGGGCTTGAACTTGTGATCCTCCTGCCTCAGCCTTCCAGAGTGCTAGGATTCCTCATGTGTACCACGTAGATGGCCCCGTTTCTTCTTGTTAGGTTAACCATACTCAGGCTGAGTTAGGTATTTTAAAAGGAAAAATAGGTGTGATGGGAATCCCAGCACCGGGAAAGACCATTGATGCCACAAATCCAAGGTCACCCTGGGAGTTTGGGTTCAAAGCCAGGCTGGACTACACATGGAGACGCTGTCTCAGGACCAAAGAGGAAAACATGTAAAATTCCCAGAAACTGGTGTGCTGTGGTCACTGAGCAGGGTATCCCCTCCGCTGGCATCCCAGGGCTCAGCTCTGCCTCTGTGGCCGCCCGAAGCTGCAATCCTTCACCGTCACCCCGACCTGGGGTGTCACAAACTCATTTCCTGCGTTTGGGGCAGGTGGACTCCTGCACAGTGGGAGCCAGGTGCCAGGTGTGGCGGGAGGTGGTGCCCAGCCCGCTGGTGTTGAAGGACAGACGGACGAGCGTGGGCGCTGGATGGTGCAGGGTGGCAGGAAAGGGCGGGCCCTGTGTCTGCCAGCAACTTCCTTTGCGTCAGCCCCCTGCGTAAGGAGCCGCCTGCCAACGCGGGGTGCTTCGATCCGTTGCCCGGGTACAGCCCCTCCCCTCGAGGGGGGCCGGTCCGGTTTCCTAGGCGGGGTCTCTATCCCAGTGCTCTCTGGTCCTCCTGGATCAGCCTCAGCAGGGAGCCCAGCTCCGCGTAGACCTGGCCACCGGGACCTCTCTGCCTCCCGCCCGGGGTGCCACGCCGGCTGCGGGCTCAGCTGCAGAGGGCAGCACGCGGCAGACCGCCATGAATGGGCATCCGCGCCCCGCCCCCTCATCTGATTGGCTCGTGGTCCGTGACGTCACGAGAGCTTTTTAAGGCAGAGCCGCGGCCCGCTCCACAGTCGGCTAGGCGCCGGAGGTGGGGGTGCTGCGTCCCAGTAAGACGTGCGGGAGCGGTAGTGCGGAGGTAGGGGTTCCGGGAGCCGCCGTGCACCGGGGAGGCCGCGTCGGCGAACGTAGGGGGAGATGCGGAGAGAGTCACCTAGCGAGAGCCTAGGTCGAGGGGCTGAGGGCCGGGGAGCAGAACCCTGAGCCGCACCCGGACTCCTGGGCTCCAGGGTGCTCTCCTAGACAAGGAGGTCCTGGCATCCCGGAGAAGAGCTGTTTGGAGCAGGTCACCTGCGGGCTCTGACTCTCCTCTGAGCGTCTCCAGGGAGGGGGACACCGGCTTCACACCTGCCACTGTTAAGAGACGAAATGCAGGGACAGCAGCTGAATGAGAGCGGACCCCCGAGGTGCACATTTGGCCTTCAGTACTAAACGTGTGCTTTTCCTCCGGCGCCCTCTCCTCCAGGTAACTGCTGACCTCGCCGCGGGGCTGGCCATTTCCAGGTCCCCGCCCCCTTCTGCCTGAGCCCGCTCCCGAGGGGCCAAGTGCCCTCCTCCCCATGGGCAACCACTTGACGGAGCTGGCGTCCGGCGTCCCCTTCCTGCCGCACCTGCAGGCCCTGCACGTGGTAGTGCTGGGGTTGGACGCGGCCGGCAAGACCTCCCTTCTCTACCGCCTTAAATTCGAGGAGTTTATCCGGAGTGCGCCCACCAAGGGCTTCAACACGGAGAAGATCCGGGTGCCGCTGGGGGACTCCCGCGGCGTCACCTTCCAGGTGTGGGACGTCGGCGGACAGGAGAAACTGCGGCCGCTGTGGCGTTCCTATACCCGCGGCACCGACGGGCTGGTGTTCGTGGTGGATGCCGTGGAGACCGAGAGGCTGGAGGAGGCCAGGGCAGAGCTACATCGCATCAGCCTGGCCTCGGCCAACCAGGGGCTGCCAGTGCTTGTGCTGGCCAACAAGCAGGACCAGCCCGGCGCACTGAGCGCTGCTGAGGTGGAAAAGCGGCTGGGGGTCCGAGAGCTGGCAGCTGCTACCCTCACCCACGTGCAGGGCTGCAGCGCCGTGGATGGGCTGGGGCTGCAGCTGGGTCTGGAGCGCCTCTACCAACTGATCCTCAGGAGAAAGAGGGCGCCCCGGGCCAGCAAGAAACGACGGTGACCTGGGCTCCCCGTGCCCACCACGGGGGTCTGCATACTCCAGAGCCAGCAGGGTCGCTCATGCCTGAGAAGCTAGGGCTGGAGCGTGACAGCTTTGTGACCTCCTCTACCCACCTCTACCCTTCTATGCTGTCTTTCTGGCTGTGTCCAGCAGGGTGGAAGTTGCTGGACTTCGTGGGGCTTCCTTAGTGCTCCCTCAAGACAGCAATCAGAGTCTGTGATGTGACTGTGACATTGCCCAGGACCCTCACCAATCCTGGCAGGTCCACAGCCTTTTTATAAGCCATGCGTGCTTCCTGTTTTATTATATTTTTTACCGTTCCCCTGTAAGTTATTAAAGATGAGGACTCACGCTCACTGCCTGGCCTGGCATGTTCCACTCTCCTTTTCCAGCCCGGGGCAGGATTCGGGAGGAGGCTTATTTTGAAGCTGAGTTTGCAGAACGAGCTCTCTCAAAACTGCATTGTCAGCCAGGCAGAGTGGTACACACTGAGCTCAGCAATCTGGGAAGCTGAGGCAGGAGGATCACAAGTTGGAGCCCAGCCTGGTGTAACTTAGCAAGACCCCATCTCAGAAAAAAAAAAAAAAAAAAAATAAGGACAAGAGATGTAGCAAAGGGCCTGGATTCAGTTCACAGGACCAGGAAAAAAAAAAAAAAAACCAATTAGCTATGTCCTTCTGGTATCACTGATACCAGAGGGTGCTTGGGGGCCCTTCGGTTGCTGCCTGGTGTCTGGTTTTTGGGTCACCTCCTCCCTGACTTCCCTTTCTTTCCTCCCCCTCTGGCTGTCCTGATATGATACCAGCTGCTCCTTGCAGGTTTACCCTGGATGCCACCACCACCAGCCTCAGGCGCCCCTCTCTCCTTGGCTGTGGGGCTTCCCTTCTCTGCCCTTGCCAGCTTGGTCTGGAAGAGCACAGAGAATGGAAAGTGTCTGGCCCTGAGCCACGAGTGGCTGTGTCCTGCTGACTGAGCTCCTGGCAGGCTCTAGGGTTCTCACAAGGGTGGTTACCCCTCAGGGACAGGAGGGGCAAGCAGGCCCGATTCAGTGCTAGAAGAGAATCTGAACAACCAGAGCCTCCTACTCCACTCAGAGGGAGCAGAGTCAATGTGCTGCGCAGATCCTTCCAGCCCCCGCACTTTGTGCAAACCCAGCAACTTGGGTGCAGGGTGTGGGTGTGGGAGTTGGGCCGCTCCAGGATGAGCTAAAAGAAGCAGGGGAGAAGAAGGTGGTACCCACCCTTGCTGGGGAGCTGGGGAGCTTCTTGGAGCTCCTTCCCCAGCCTGGCTGCCCTCCTTCACCCTGGCAGGACAGGCAAGTGGCAGGGACTCCTGAGGCTGCTCAGGCCTGCACAAGGTCCACTCCTCAGAGCTGCTGGCCTGGCTCTACAGGAGACACGTGCCACAGTGGCCTCCCCCAGGGCACACATGTGACTCAGCCTTGTTTTCTGGGGCAGAGCCCTGCAGGCTAGGAACAGCTCCTAAGTCTGGCTCTGCCACCCCACCCCATCCGGAAGAACCTTGGTTTCCACCTCCAGTGCTCAGGGTAGCAGAGCTCACCTGGGGAGGCTGGGACATGTTCTCCTTGCCCCTGGGCCCGGCTGTCAGCTGGGGGCAGTAGAAGGGGAATACAGAGGACAGGGGTGGGGCTCCCTTGCCCCGGGCCTGCTATGAAGGAGGCCATACTGTGTTTTGGGACTTGGAGTCACTCTCCTGCCTTGGCCTACTTTTGGGCAGGAAGGCCAATGGGCAGGGCCACTTCCTGTCTGAGAGGATCAAGGAAGGACATCCAGGTCTCTTGAGGCCACCCTGAACCCAAGTGGCCCAAACAGAGACTCAGAGAGGTCTCCTGAGGAGGCCCAGGGTGTCAAGGTCTCCTCTAGTGCCCTGTGCTGTCCCGGCTACGGGGGAGAGAAAGGAAAGTGGAAGGAGCGGCCCTGAGGCCCAGAGCAGGCAATGTCCCCGCTGGGCCTCCCTGTCCTGTCCTGATTAGATGATTAGCTTAAAGCCCAGCCTTTCTTCCTGGGCAGAGAAAGTTTGGTCCTGCTGTGGACGGAGCCCTGGCTGAAGCTCCGAGGACCTGGACACCTGGGGCACCACTTGTCCCCAGCAGGAGGCTCCTCACTGAGCTGGGAGAGGATTCCTACACCTCTTCCAACCCCTACAGGGAGCAAACCCAGGGTCTTCACATAGAGCCACAGCCCAGCATTTTGTAAAACTTAAAACTTTCAGACAGGGTCTTACTACATTGCTTAGGTTGATTGTTTTTTTTTTTTTTTTTTTACTGTAACCAGGGATCGAACTCATTACCGTGAGCTTGCAAGGCAGGTGCTTACACCACTGAGCTAAATCCCAGTCCCTCCTACATTGAGTTTTATTGTAAGATACTCCTGCCTCAGCCTCCCAGAGTGCTGGGGCTAAAGGTGTATGCCAGCTTCTTTCCCTTTCTTCTTCCTCTTCCTTATTTTCTCTCTATTATTATTATTATTATTATTATTATTATTATTGTTATTAATTTTTGCATGTGGGAGCTGGGTAGGGAGCCCAGGCACAAATGCTGTGCCTCTGAGTTAGGCAGGAGGCTTGAAAATTCAAATCCTACCTGAGGAGACCCTGTCTCCAAAAGGAGGGTAGCTGGCTGGGAATGTAGCTCATTTCAAAGGTTCAGCCCACTACCACACTCACACACTTACACACACTCACATATACACATACACTCACAGACACACACACACACACAAGTATGCCTCAGCACGGAGTGGTTGTATCCAGGGCACACGTACGGCCAGCCCTCAGCAAGGTGCTGAAGTTTGTGTTCATCTTGCAGTTGGGCTGAGCAGGGGCCCAGCTTCTCCTGCAGATCTGGGGTCCTGGACTCTGAGGAGCGGAGGGGGCAGCTGTGAAATCCCTGCCCACCTGCAGGCTGCCCGCTCAGAAGGTACCCGTGAGGCTGGGCTCTGAGGCTGCTGCCTGGGGGCGGCGCTGGGCAGGTAGCCAGGGTTCCCCGGCACCCACTGGCACAGACGTCAGCCGAGTAGGGAATGGAGCCTGGAATAAACCTCCTCCTCGCTCAGGGAGGGAGCCAGGCAGGGCCAGGGAGGCGGGCGGAGAGAGGACAAGAGGGGCCTGCAGCCCCCAGAGGACAAGGGGTCTGACCCTTCATGGGGCCTGAACTAAGCCCCCTGGAGCCCCCACCCCTCATTCTCAGTTGCCCAGGTGAGCCTTTCTCGGTGGGGGGCAGCCCCGGCTCTGGGACTGAAGCCCCACACCTCCTGGTCCAGGGTTACAGCTGCCTCAGCCTCCCGAGTTCTGGGATGACAGGTGTAGGCCATCACTGCAGTCAGGTAGGAAAAGGAGCTTCCAGACAGACATGCCTGGAGAGGGGCCTGGAGGCTTCCTGGAGGGGCGAGGACTGAGAACCGGATGGGAGCAACTTGAAACCAGCCAGGTACATCTTGATTTACATGGGGCTGGGCTCAGGCTCCTGCCTGGGTCCCACCTGCCACTCCGGAGGGCAGGGCCGAGTCCGGAGGTGGACCCAGTTTCATCCTCCCTACCCTGTGACTGCCTGGCCTGGGATGCCCCTGCCTGCTCCACCCACTGTCACCGAGGACAGCCCAGCTGTATGCCATAACCCGGGGGAACTGGGTGGGGCTCTGAGGTCCAGGGTGCCTCTGTCCACCGGGCAGACGCCAGGTGAGTGGAGAAGTGGGATGGGGTCTAGAAGGACCCTAAGTCCCTTAACCTGGGTGCGGCGTCCCAGCACTCAGGAGGCTGAGGCAGGAGGACAGCCACAAATTTGAGGTCAGCCTTGTGCTGCACAGCAAGACCCACTCTCAAAGAAACACAAAAACCAAGTACCCATGGGCACAATTTCACACTGACTGCATTTGATCATGATATTTCTTTTGTTATCCTGAGTAAGTAAAATACTTGCATAAAATTATTTCACCTGGGGCTGGGGATTTAGCTTAGCGGCATAAGCGCCTGCCTTGCAAGCAGGCAGTCCTGAGTTCGATCCCTGGTACCGATAAAAACGAAAAAGACAAAAAAAAAAAAATTATTTCACCTGTTTCTTGAGCTTTTAAAGAATGTGGCTATGGGGGCTGGGGATTTAGCTCAGTGGCATAAGTGCCTGCCTTGCAAGCAGGCAGTCATGAGTTCGATCCCTGGTACCAGTTTTTTTTAAAAAAAGAATGTGGCTATGTGGCCTGGGTTGGGGCCACAGAGTGAGACCCTGTGAAGAAAGAACCACAGACTCACAGACACAAGGCTTCTGGACCTGCTGCTGTGTGTGTCGATGAAGTGAGCCACTCCTTGTGACCCCACAGCTGGGTCCTCTCTACACACTGCCCAGGCTGGCCTTGAACTCACAGCAATCCTCCTGCCTCAAAGCCCCCCCCCCCACTGTGTAGGGGTTACAGGCGTGCACCTCCATGCTGGGCTGGGGCTCTGTACTTCTCATGTGGGGTGTAAGCCGGGTGCTTGGGGGAAGGAGCACGGGGGAGGGGATGAAGCGTCTTCCTTTCTGTGGGATCAGAAGAGGAACGGCCTGGAACCTTGAGGGTCAGGACTGGGGGCTGATGGCCCCTGGAACTTCCTGGACAGTGCAGGGCAGGGCTCTGCGTTTTCACATCCTCCCCACCTTCCCTGTGCTCCACTGATTCCTGGTCCTTGGCGTCCCCGGCTCAGTCCAGGGCATTTTTTACTCCCCACCGCTCCATGCTCCCTTGGTGCCAGCCAGGCCTCTGTGCTGTCCTGAGCCCACCTGGGCGGATGGATGGGGCCTCCACAGCGGCAGGGGGGCATCACCAGTGCAGATCTTGCTCTGGACACCCGGGTCACCCGATTGCCTGGCCTGACTCTGCACATGTAGAATGGGCAGCCCACGTGGATGTGGGATGCTTGGGCTGAGCGCCGGGCTCAGATGACTGAGTGTGCTCGGCCCTGTGGCACTGGCTCCGCCTTTCTTCTCCCAAGCTGAGCCTGCCACACTCATCCACTCATTCTCCCTTCTTTTTGAGGTCAGGTTCTGTCCTGGGAGGTGGCACCAGGTTACACCTCTGCAAGTTTCACGTGAGCCTCGCCCTGGCCAGACCTGGTATCGCCAGGTGGGCAGGAGGCTGGGGCAGCCGGGCCAGCCCCGTGACAGCAGGAAAGGAAAAGTGGCCCTCCTAGGGCACACAAGGGTGACCCAGTTTACCGCTGTGGAGGGAAGACCCCCAGGCCCGCCGGGTGGGGGCCCCTCCCTCTCTGGAGGCGCAGGTCTGGGGCGCAGCACAGGTCTGACCAGGGCAGTGGTCCTGGCACCGGGGGCCCTGATATGTAGTCAGAGTCAGGAGAGCCCAGGGCCGAG